TAGGTACATTTACTGCCTCTTCATAAATTTTGAGACATTTTTAGACTTTGAATAGTGCCAGTCTCTGAAAACGGTGTAAGGAATCAAGTTGGATGCTTACAAGTAAGTATTAGCTTCACTTTTTGCAATCGAAGTACTCACCAAAATGAAGATACAATGAGATCACCACTACTGTCTTAACAGCAAGGGACGTCATATGTGCAGCAAGTTCGATTAATGCAAGCAGGACTACATGTGTCCGTTGCTTTTGCACCTTTTGGACAAGCTCCCGTTTGACAGAATCTAAAGAATGAGAGAGAGCATTACTGATAAGAAAACCTTCTTTTCTTTTCTCTTTTGTATCAACATTGTACTTACGGAGCTGGTCCTTCTTGGGCTTGAATAAGCGTTGCAGTAAGAGCAATGAAGATGAATAAAAACATCTTGAAGGTGAAGTTATTGTTGACCATTTTTACTGAAATTGACATGTTAAAGTTTCTTTTTCGTTCGAATGTTTGAAAGGGAATATAGGATAGTGTAGCTTGAGGTGATGGGAGTAGTAAGAGATCTTGAAAGTCGTCTTTATATACCTTTCTTCCCGAATACAGAGAGCGGGATATCTTCGGCAGTGTAGTCCTACCAACCCGTCTTTGTGAAGAACGCCAAGCTTGGTCCTTCACGGCACAAGCATCGGAACCGCATTCTTGAAACTGAAGAGGGTTATTATGTTTTCTTATTGCTTTAGAAAGCTTACTTTACCTTGCAAGAGCACACTTGGCCGCATGTAATGTATATTCAAATTCCGCTTTTGCGGCCAAACAGAGAACACTTTAAAGTTCTTCTCAGTAATTCAACTTGTATCACGCACATATTAGAGAACACAGCAGCTTCCTCATACAATCTGCATCGGATAAAGTCACACACTATTCAAAGACAGAGACTTTTAATGTTCATTATATTAAGATTAACAATCATTCAGAGAGAGAAAATATACTTTTTTAATACAATAGTAGAAGAAGAAGAAGACGATCACAATTTGCTTGCCAAATCTTGTGCTACACCACCTTCGAATGAGATATTGTACACTGCTTTGAAAAGTGGGAAGTCATCCACTTTTCCACGGGCTGCTAAGAATTGATAAACTTCACGAGCAGTTTCACTTCCTTGTAGCTTTTGTCCGTTAAGGAGTTCCTTTTCAAGAACGTCAAAAGATTTTCCAGTTTTGACAAATGCTTCAGCGCATTTACGATTCCTTCCTCCGAAACAGGTTGTGATCAAATCAGCAATACCTGCACTTGTTTCTGTGAAAGTTTCAGCTTTAACGCCTTCAAAGAATTCTTCCGAGAAATTTTTCATTTCCATCAATCCGATTCTCATGATTGCTGCTTTGGCATTTGAACCCCATTCTAATCCATCGCAGAATCCGGCACCAATAGCGACGACGTTCTTCAAAGCACCGCACAAGCTCACACCTGCAACATCTTCAATCATTCCAACTTTGAAAGTAGGTCTGTCAAAGACTTTATGGAAGATCTCTGCGCTTTCTAGATCTCCTTCACGATATCCGATTGTGGTTTCGCTGAATTTGTCTTGAGCGACTTCGTTTGCAATGTTTGCTCCAGAAAGTGCCATTGTTTTGCATCCAAGAATTTCTTCAATCACATCAGCAAAGATACGAATGTTGCTATCCTTGACTTCAACACCTTTGATCATGGAAAGAGCACGAGCGTTTTTGCTAACCTTTCCACGCAATTGAGTGCAAATGCCAGGGATGAATTGATGAGGTAAGACGAAGATCAAAAGATCTGCTCCACTTGCAGCTTTGACAACATCATTGACAGCTACGATATTATCCGGAAGTGTGATTCCAGGTAGATATTTGACGTTTTCATGTTGTTTATTAATGATTTCCGTTAATGGTTTTCCATCAACTTGTTCTTCATAAACGTACATGTTTACTTGTTCTTCGAATAATTCAGGATATCTTTGAACGTTCATTCCTGCAATACGTGCGATTGCACTTCCCCAATTTCCTGAGCCAATGATGGCTAACTTGTACTTGTTTGCGACCATTTTTGAATGTGAGAATAATCGCTTTTGCGTGAGAGATACGGTTGTTTGTTTAGGAGGATATATGCTGTGACGAGAAATGGAAGCGAGAGGATGAAGACCTGATAAGAATCTTGCACCAATAGAACGAGTTTGAGGAAAAGAAGAAGATAATATGGTAAAGCCTGTTTGACCAAATATCCTTTGAGTTGTTGTTGATGGTCGAAAGAAGAACATATAATTCTCAGTAAGTCTTTTATACCTTTTCTCTTGCCTTGTTTTGTTTGACAGATGATGATCTATTTAGGAATGAGCGGGTTAACTTTTCGTCAACTGGATTGGTTCATCACCAAGGGGCTACAGGAGTGTGGCTGAATGTGGACCACATAGGAGGGCACTTTAGCAGTCTCCTTACTACCGGCTAAAACCCAAAACTTTTTTTGTGTTTCGAGATAAAAATTTTTTGGGCTGCATGAAATTGCTAGAGGATGGCTTGTGCTCTTGTGCCTGTACTGTTGCACGCGTATGAATGTTGCTCTTTAAGCTTACTCTAGTCAGTGAGTGACCCGGGAAGAATTGGGAAAGATTTGCAAACTTTTTGTTTCGCATAAACTTGACTGACGTTGTTATGCAGAAACGAAAGAGGGAGGATTGATAAAATAGCCGATAATCAATGCTACTTTGACAGACTAAAAAGATTTTTCATCCTTACAGGAAATTGGCTTCTATTCGGTCAATCGGTCATTCGATGGAAGAACGTTTTGTTCGAATGTGATCTCATCATGCTCATCAAGCCGAAAGCAAATATTTTAATAAACTGACCGAACGATCACAAGATAGGATCGACTAGGAGAAGTGGAATGTGATGATCACTTTGATAATAAGCTGTTAATAGGAGTGCATCCCTTATGCCTAGTGCCAATCCTATTCCGATCTCTTCCAATTCTATTAGTCAAGCTTTCATAAATGCTAATCTTCCATCAACCCGGTAAGCCGGGTTAAGAAGGTCGCGTTTGAAAGAGTAAGAGCTTCTTCTTAAAGCAGAGCAGCCGCTTGAAGCCTTGCGTGCGCTAAAAGATCTACGCCTGTGCTATGTTCAGGGCTTTTAAATTCTCCGGCGTTCTATTTGTGCATTGTGCAGCTGAAATGCCTCCACTTTCTTATGATCTCGATCAAACATAAAAACTTAAAAACTAAAAATATTTTCCGTTTGAGGTGCATATATGCAAATCATATCATCTTGCCTTCCGATGTCACAACATTTGCTGATTCACGTGAGTCAGATAAAGTCACACGACAGTCAATTTAGAGCGAAGATCAATAATCAGCTTTGTCGTATTGAAAACGATTGAAATTATCATTCAATTCTGTGTAGAAAGGACTTGAGAAGGGATAGCTCATTCGCCGCTATAGTTGATTACCACAACAAAGATAAGACTAAAGAAGTGAAGCAATCTTCAATTGTCAGTGAGCCATACATCTCGTAGAGCCTTATACACTCACCTCAAGTTGGCAGGATTTGCATTCCTAAACTTTCCTCATACTCGCTTCTTTGACTGTAGGATTACGATGGCACATACCCACAGTACGATCCAGGCTCATCACCGCAACGGAACTTTCTTGTAGGTTTGGTCTGAGGTTGAGGATTGGGTTGTGATTGCGGTTGTGGTTGCGTAACAGGTTGGGGTGTAGTGGTGCTAGGCCAATTGTTCCAAAAGTTGCCATAAGGTAAAGCATGAACGAATGCTAAGAGCACGAAAAGTGTGAGATAAAGAGTCAAAGACGACGTTGAGAGACGCATTTTGATGGTTGGGTTGGGGAGGAGGACAACTTTGTGTTGAGGTGGGGTCTGAGAGAAAAATTGATCAATCATACCTCGCTTTATAACTTTTCTTTATCTGGTCTTTTCTGTGCCAAGAAATGAAGTCTTGAAAGCGCCCATCGATGGTCACAGGAACACACTGGACACATGAGCGACTTTGCGGCCCGATTCAAAGGTCTGAATTACGTCTTGCGGAGGCGTACGACGATGACGAAGCTTCTAAATCCGGGCTCAAGAAGGCTAAATTGAAACTCCGCCTATCACAATTCAGTTCCCTAATCAAAAGGATCACAGAATGTCATACTCAGTTTTATGTGGGGAAATTAAGCGTCCTAGAAGTAAAAATACAATATGAGTGCGTGACTTTTCATTCATCGGACATGATGCGTATGTGAAAAGCATTCAATTTCGTGAGGACAATGTGACGTATGATAAAGTACAAGCGGCGCCGTTACTTCTGAAGGTGATGTGTGATAATAATATACAAAGTTCATGTAGGCTCAAGAGAAGGGAAAAATGAATCTTGCTTGATTCTCGACCTTCTAAAGCGATGTAATTTGCGAAAATTTGAATTCAAAGGACTTTTGAAGGCAGCAAAGTGAGACAAACGGTCAGTAAAAATATCAATAAACAAAACAGTACAAACTCACATTTTGATTAATTGAGGATAACGATAAGTTCATATGCTTTGATTGGATTGCTTAACAATTTCCTCCATTATATCCGCAATTTTGCCACCAGGGTTTAGTTGGAGGTATCCACCATGGATTCGCAGGTTGTGGCTGTGGTTGTGGTTGTGAGTTGCCATTATTATTCATATTTGGTTCCCAGATGATAGGTGCAGCAATTACGGTTGTGACGACGACAGCCTGGATTGCCAAAATGAGAAGAGAAAGGATGAATGAATGGTGAAAAGTTGTGAAACGCATTTGAACGACGATTAGCAATTACACGAAAAACTTGGAAAAAGCTTTTTTGCCGCAAAAGAGAGTGCAAGAATCAAAATCTTGTAACAAAACATAGGTGTATTTATATGTTCTATTTCGTCTTTTGTGGTCAGGAACTTTGGCTTCTTGGCGACGCCCAAAGCTTCAACGCCATGTCTACAAAATTATCCCAAAGAATAACAATCATTCGTTTTGCTGCGTAAAATCCAATGCGCCTTCGGTCGGCGTAAAATCGAACATTTATCTTACATCAACTTTACACCTTTGCTTCAAAATTCAGTTCATGTCACAAATTGATGATCAACATACTAAGGCTCGAACATTTGCAATCGATTTCAAGTGTATTCGCATCTCTGCGATTCGATTTCTCGACTTCCGGCGATCTAAAGGATAGAATATTCTCTGCCATCTTCTTTATCTTCCTCGACGGATACGCACGAAAATCCGAGCGGGCTGAAGTGTGATGTGCAAGCTGAGATTGAACTTCTCATTATCAATTCAGCCCGTCGAACCGGAACCGGACTGTTAAGGTATCGTTACGTCACGAACACTACGTCGTATTTCTCAGCTCATAATAAGCAAAAGGATTAGACAAGTAAAGAATCATTCAGCCTATTGGTCAAAAGGGGAGGTAGCATACCGGATAAAGATTTCGCGTTCATCACACATACTTGTTCAACTTAATGAGATCATTTGAAAGCTTGGCAAGAATACAAACACAAACAGTCTTGACAAAGGTATCTCAAACATTTTTGCTTACGTTTCCTTTAATTTCCATTATTTCTACGTTGACCATTCGATTGACCACCACCACCTCTTCCCCCACGCTTGCTACGCCCACCGCCGCCTCCACGAATTCCGCCTCTTCTGTTTGCATTGTTACCATAATGTCCTTTCCAAGCCGGACTTTCACAAACCGGTTTTGCAGGATATCCATCTGGACTTCCGCTTGGACTGACCCAAGGATGATGAGCATCATTGTTTGACAATTGCTCTAAAGCTGGTAACCAAGTTTTGAGGTACTTTGCTTCACGATCATAATCTTTTCCTTGTTTGATCGGATTGAATTGACGTGATGCGCGTGGATCGTTTCCAACACCTGCAACGTATTGCCAATTACCATAATTGCTCGAAGGGTCGTAATCCACCAAAAGACTTTCAAACCATTCAGCTCCCAATCTCCAATCGTAGTACAAATCCTTTGTCAAAAGGGAGGCAACATTTTGTCTTCCTCTGTTCGACATGAATCCGGTCAAAGCCAATTCCTTCATATTTGCGTCAATCAATGGAACACCAGTCTCAGCCGTTGCCCAACGTACGAATGGGTCTTTTTCATTCTCGAAAGAATCTGGTGCGTTCCATGATTTGGCTTTCTCTTGAGCTGCTTTGGAATCAAAGGATTCCTCAATACCCTTCAAGGTATACAATTGACTACCATACTTTTCGCTCACGAAGAAGAAGTAATCTCTCCATAAGAGTTCGAAGATGATCCAATAGCCACCTCCACGTCCAGAAGAGTTGCTCTTCTTGTCCACTTCTTCTGCACGTTTCGCAATCGTTCTGGGCGATAGCAAACCATGGGCCAAAGCGGCGGAGAATTTGGAGGAATAGTCCACACCTAACATGCCATTTCTTGTCTCCTTGTAGTTCGCAGCGTGCGAATTGGCATCTCCAGTGAAATAGTGCTCCAAACGCTTCAAAGCTTCTGTTTCACCACCTTTGAAGGGTAAAGCAGAAATTTTGTCTGCGTTTACATCATCCTTGACTGGTTTGATTGGACCTGGATCTTTCTCTAGAGGAGATAAGAGCTGTTGGAGAACTTCTTGCTCGGCTTGCTTTCCAACGTTGTAGACACCTTCTTCATTTTCGATCAAAGGAAGTTCGGGGAACGGCTTAAGCTTTTCGGGAGCCGGTAAAGGATCGTTGTACATATCCGGCGCTTCTACCCGCTTACGGAATTGGGTGAAGACGTCTGGTAAATCCTTGAGTGGGAAAGGAAGATCTTTTGGCAAGATCAAGCTCCTATGCTGAAATGATCTGACTGGAACTTGTGTTTCAGCCAAGGCCTTTTTGATTCGTTTTTCAGTCGCTTTTTCTTCTGTATGCGGTTCTTCGCCATACCAAACGCCATGGATATTGTCTCCATTCTTTTGCAAAGCTTTCACGATTTTGTGTAAAATCAAATGAGGATGACCTGACCAGATAGAGAGATCTGAACCGATACTTTGCAAACGTGATTGCAGATCATAAACGGATCTTGTCATGAATTGCACTCTTGGCTTTCCCGTTCGCCAGAATCCTGCGACTCTTGTTCGTGCTCCATGTTGATCACCGCCTGGACCTTTTCCTTTCTTGATGCCATTCAATCCTCCAACTTCTATGTATTGTTGATCAAACACATAGACTGGCAAGATATGCGTGACATTCTCCAAACCTCTTTGTGAAGAAGAAGATGCGAATTGGGAAAAGATTGGATGATCGGTTAAACGTAAGTCATTACGAAGGAAAGCGATCAGGATGTTTCGAGTCATTGTAGACTAGATGAATGAGTGAGGATGTAGTTGAAGGGGAAAGATGACAATGATCATCCCCTCAAACGATTATAATCTTCTTATTCGAACCCTTTAATGTACCTTTGTCAGCATGATTGATCTTTTTTTGACATTCTTCTTAATCAATAAATGCACTCTTTAGCCTCACACTTCTCCACTTATGTGCCGCCTGCGTTGTGAAGTCATTTGCTTACACAGCAACAACAATCGAGAAGATCGGGAGATCGGCCTCAACTTTAGCGCGCTTTCAGACAAAGTGGTGGAGAGAAGAACAACACTTTTGCAACATAATACCATACAAAGAATGGATCAACAAACGAATAAAGATGTACCTAAAACACAAGCACCACCTTCACTATCCCTAGGACTCCCTCGTGGTCATGGCAGATCAAAAGCAGGATCTAGCTCAATGGCTGGATCCGGCCCTGAATCAATGAATGGCAGACCACCTCAAAGTCAATCTTCAAAACAACGTGCAGATACAGCAATTCGTTCAACAGACAATGATGCTATGGGATCAAGACTATCTGCGATCATGCAGAGATACATCCCTGGAGATCCTTTCACGCCAATGTTGGCTTCCAATGAAGCATCAACTTCGGCAACAATCTCAAGACGATCTCCGATAATCAATATTGGCACATACTTACGTAGTAGGGCTATCGATCGTTTGGTTCACAACTTTCTCGTTCAATCGAATTCACCAAAACAGATTCTTAGCTTGGGAGCAGGTAGTGATTCACGCTTTTGGCGGTTAGAGTCTGATCCTGCGATCACAACACTAAGCCATTATGTCGAGCTGGATTTTCCACATCTCACAACAGCCAAAGTAGGAAGGATACGCAGAAGACAAGAACTAGCGGCAGGTATCGGAAAAGATCTGTGGATATCTGAAGATCAGTCTTGTTTCCAGACAGAACGATATTCTTTGATCGCTTGTGATTTACGCACACTGCCCGAAGATCAAAACGCAACCTCTATCCTAAAGAAGCATTTGGATTCAAGTAAAGAAACGTTGATCATTGCAGAATGTGTCTTGGCATATCTTTCGCCAGGAGAATCAAATGCATTGCTGTCGTTCTTGGGCAAATTGCTTTCACAACCTTCTGCGTTGTGCTATGAAATGTGTGTGGCTGGTGATGATGCCATAATCCGCGATGCACCACCTTCGAGATTTGGAAGTGTGATGTTGTCGAATTTGCAAAGTAGATCGTTGGATATGCCGGGTGCCAGAGCATTTTCTACTTTATCATCACACAAAGATCGATTTCAAATCGGACTTGGTCAATCGGATTTGCACGGAAATGGCAAGGGTGTCGTAAGAACCTTGAAAAATGTCTGGCAAGGAATTGAAGAAGAGGAAAAACAAAGATTATCCAGATTGGAAGGATTGGACGAAGTGGAAGAATTGGAGATTTTGCTGGCACATTATGCAATCAGCTGGTACACCTTTGATGAAGCAAAACAGGCTTCTTTCATTTCCACAAAATTGTAATTTTACAAGACAATATTGTTGTACAACAGTCTATTTCGATGATATGTGTATTAATGTACATTGCGTGATATGTTCCCCCTCAAACTTCACCTTCTTCTTCCTCACTATCTTCTTCAGCGGCGCCACCTTGATGTTTAGCTTTCTTTGCTGCACTTGGCTCATCAATATAGCCACTTCTACGTTCATGTCTCTCCCTTTCTCTCGTCGTACTATCCTTCTCGCCAGCTCTTCGTTCTTTACGACTTGCTTCGCGTGATTTGACTGGGGACATGCTACTCTCGCCCTCACTCTTTCGCTTGCGTCCTGATGAATGTGAACCATCTTGATCTTGCACCTTTCTTCGTTCGCTGAGCTTTTCTTTTTGCCTTTCGACGAAACGTTCCCAAGCCGATCTTCTTGCTTCATCAATTTGATCTTCTTCTAACTTGAACGGAGTTCGGTTGTATGCATCCCACTCATTCAGCTTCAGGTCTGCTAGAATAGGCTTCCATTCCGACCATGCTTTGTCCAATTCAGATTCATCCTCACCACCAAGTGCGTTTGAATGATGATGAGCATACTTCTTCAGAGCATAGCGCAGATCTTCACCGAGATGACGCAGTTTCCGCTCTACCCTACGCTTCTCATCCTGAACCTTTCGTATCAATTCATCCAATACCAACTTGAGCTCGTCATCAGGCCTGGATTCGATCTCGTTAAACTTGCTGTCTTTTGCCTTTTCGACAGACAAACGAATTGCTTCCTTCAGCTCGTTCAATGTTGTAGATTCCGATACTTGGTACGGTGCATTCGGGTGATTCTGCAGCGCATCGATGACAGTATCTGTTAATAAATCCAGCTCTCTTTGCAGATCATCCAATACGTCAAAGAAGAAGTCCAGAGGAGTACTGCCCGGTTGACCTAACATTTCTTGTAGTTGTGACTCTGATTTGATACGATCGTACACCTCACCAAATGTACTTCGAGCAGTAATCCAGCCGTCCTTCTTGCCTTCTTGCAGGAGTTTGCAGAACCACTCTCTACGTTGACGATCTTGACGTTTTTGTGTTACGTGCGCTTGTTTCATTTCTTGCGTCTTTTGCTTTTCGATTGATTGGATCAATTCATCAAATACTTCGATCATATCCACCAAGTCAATCTGACGTAACTTTTCATCCGCTTTCCACTCGTCTGACTCTAGAACAGTTTGTCTCGCATCTTTCCATCGGGTCAAAACGTCAGCTTCGAATGAATGCAGCAATTGCATAAACACCTTTCTGTTACGCTCTCGGAGATCCTTCTTGCGTTTTCGTTCTTCTTCTCGCAACTCTTTGCGGATACTTTCCCATGCTTCCTTCGCTTCCTTCAGCCCGATAGATTCCAGCTTCTTCCATGCGGACTTACTAGAACATCTCTGTAGCATACCTTCATAACTCAACCAAGCCACGATACGACCGTTAGCAATTTTATCCTTTATTGACTCACGAGCAAGCGGCTCAATTTCTTTAGCCTTTTGTTTTTTCGCTTTTTCTACTTCTTCCTCCTTCATTCGAACATACTTTGAAAATACTGCCTTTCGTTCCGCCAACGTTGCAAGGGCTTTGTAGAGTGGCTCAGTTATGATTTGACGCATGGTTTGTTCCCATGTCCATGATGCATCTACACCTTTTTCACGCAACAGCTGGATGAATGCTTCTTCTCCACCTGCTACTGGTGCAGCTTGAGCGGAATGATGACTTTGAGGTCCTCTGTATGGTTGTTGTTGACTTGGACCTGTCGGAGGCATGTGAATTACAGGACTTCTGCTCGCTGAAGGTGGCATGGGCGAATTGGAACCATTTGTCGAATGGTCCGGCGATTGAAATCCCGGAGGCGGACCTGAATACATTTGCCGTTGTTGAGGTCTTACTGAAGATCCCCCATATGGACTTGCCGATCCATTCACTGAACTTTCATCGGGAATACTGTCAAAGAGATTTTTGAGCTCTTTAGGCAATGTCCAACTGCTTTCTTTGGTGACACTATTCACATAGTACTTACGTTCACCACTTTGATATTCTTTCCATTGTGTTTGCGATAATGCACGTTCTCTTGCCGTTTTTAATTCTGTTGGCTTTTCCCAAACGCTTCGTTTTTCGGCTTGATTATACCAATATACCCTTCCTTGTGCATTTTTATGTTCTGTCCATCCTTGTATTGGCATTGGCGGTCGTGCCATAGGCGAGGAAGACATCTTGGAAGGAAAACAAAGTTGATTAGACAATTTCTCTCACCTTTTCTCTCCTGGTCCACCGCCTACAATTGCAAGTTGATGATGGAAGGAAATTGAAAAAGTTAAATATTTCCATCTTACACCAGTAAAATTACGCCGGTTGGCGTAACGCGTCAAAAGACGGAGAAAAGGTGCGGGGGGCTGTTTAAGAGGAAAGCAGCAATTGCTAAATCTCTAAAAATATCTTGCTATACTGCAAGCGGCTGAGTGATTGCCGATTACACAGCTTTAATTTATAAGCTGCACCCCACGCTTATTTTATGTTTAAAAGGGGGAGCAAGTAGACTCTACACAAATGACCTAACTCTTAACACAACGCCAAGACGCCATCCTGTGCAACTCACCACCATCATCATTGCAAGTAATACTACAATACCAACAGCAACATGAGCAGGTTACGATCAACAATGCATAGCATCAACATGCATTCAGAGAAAGGTTTACCTTTACCTGCTTCTTCGTCATCCCACGTTTCCGCAAGACCAAGACGGAGAAGAGTAATCATCTTTTTCTTGTTGGTTTTGATCACTTGCGTTTTCTTGACCCGTCGATCAGATTTTGATGAATTCATGAAAAGTAAGCCTTTGGATCGTTTCACAAAGAATGGAACATTCAAAGTTCCATTGCCACAACCTACAGATGAAGATGTCGACCAACATGTCACAGAAGTGCTTGTCAATGATAGCGATAAAACAGAACTGACGGAATCAGAAAATGACAAAGGTTACGCACCTACAGATGCACTACGCAAGCTAGCCAGTACGCTTCATATTCCTGTTCCACCATCCGAACCACATGAAGCCAAGATCAATCCAGCTGCCCCCCTCGAAGCTCTTTCAGGCACGCCCACGCCATCTCATACAGATCACGTTTTGCTTCTTCTGAACGCTGTCAAGAGCAAGACGTATTCTATTCCAGCGGAAGTGGAAAATCGCCTGAATGAACTACGTCCAAAGACGGCTTTAGCATTCTCTCATGCTCTGTCTCTACTTAACGGCACTCCTGTATCGCAAGAAGCATCGCATTCACCTCAACCCGATTCGGATTCAAACATCGATGACGCAAGAATGTATATGGAATCATACGACTCATGGCTATCGAAGCATAGAAAACAATCACCTTTGACTGTTTTCTCTAAATCATACTGCCCCTATTCGCGAAGGGCCAAAGAGCTGCTGACGAAGATGGGCGCTCAGTTCGACCTTTATGAAGTGGATTTACGCCCTGACGCTCAAGCACTTCAACAAGGACTGAAAGAAGTATCTGGTCATAGTACTTTCCCTACTATCTTTGTGCAAGATTCATTGATTGGTGGTAGTGACGATCTCCTTGGTCTAGAAAGTACGGGTGTCTTACGAGGTATCCTTGAAGCAGCAGGTGTGCATTTCAAAGCCACTAAAGCTGAATAATTCTCTTGTACAAACGAGATGGAGAGCAGAATCTTTCCCTTTGCGAGTTTCCTCACTGTAACATATATGCATCTTATCACTCCGCAAATCATATCACATCAATTTTTAATATTATGTTTGCCTCTTCATTGGTTGAAAGGGGCCGTAGTAGGTAGAAGTGCGTTATGTGAACAAATGTGATTAAGTGGTCCAACATTTTGTCATCAAAGCGCCAAATCCTTGAGATCTCGAAGTCACATCGACTACAAGACGTGCTGATTGTTGTTGTATGGAATGATATCAGGTTGCACACCCTATATAAGAGTGTTCCGGTTCTCCAAAACCCCCTTTCATAACTCCTTTCTACGTCGAATCACATGCTCCTTTGTTCACTCCTAGTTACGCCTTATTCTCTTATCCCCTGTGCGCCTCTCTATGATCAAATATATCTTACTTCGTTCTCTTTTCTATATAAGGCCGATAACTTTCTCTTTGATTGAAGATTATTCATTCTCTTTTATTTCATCTGATAGGTTCGAACTATCTCACCGTAAAAAGAGTAAATCCAATAATTATTCTTGACTTCCCTATCTATACAACTCATCCTCTCAAAGTGTTTCGTTCTCATGCATCCACGAGACTTTTTGTCTATCTCGGCGATGTTGCTCATTTGTATGATCATTCCGTCAGCATCATCGTCAAAACCAACGATCCAAAATGAAGAAAGAGACTCACAAAGCGGAGATACCCCAAATTCACCTATCCAAAATGAAGAAGGAGATTCACAAAGCGGAGAAGAAAGAGATTCACAAAGCGGAGAAGAAAGAGATTCACAAAGCGGAGAAGAAAGTGATTCACAAAGAGGAGAAGAAAGTGATTCACAAAGCAGAGATACCCCAAATTCACTTACTCAGCCATGCGACCCGACGGAAGAGAAAGATTGTTGAGTCATGCTTGCTTACAGTCCGAATATTCAAGACCACTACGTCATACAACTGAATGTCAGTACAACATCAATTCCCATGATTTAATTATTTCAGTCACGGCGTACTACTCTTTACTGAATTCGTTGGCAGAGCAAGTGTATCATATGTCACGGTTTAATTGATATAATTCAGGTGATATTAATAGCATTATGACAGAGCGCCGGCGCCAAATGGTAGCGAAAGTGACTGGAATGTCGTAATTGGCACCCCTTACAAAGATGCCGAGGTAGCTGAGATGTTAAGAGGCTATAGAGTCCGTTCAAAGCATACAAAATGCTACTAGAAAGGTACTTTCATACCTTTTTCTTGACTTCCCCCAACCATCCAAAGCTCTTGTCAAGGTATTTTCATCATAATTTCACAACATTTTAGAATCTTTTTGGTATTCCTCTTTCTCTGCATGGTAGTACCATCATCAGCATTACCAATCATTCAGAATGGAGCAAAAAGCTTACACATTCGCGACAGTACACCTGGGGTTCCAACTCAGCCTTGTCGGAAGGATAGAGGAGAGCATTGCTAAAGACGGCCTCCAAACTCGTGAAAGAATTACTGAAGACGATTCAGTAGATGTATTAAGAACGAAGTCTGGATACAGTGTAAGTTTGTCACTCATTACACTACTTAATAGCCATTTCTAATCTCTCTGATTCTGTGTTTTTGCTTTCAAGGTACAACACAGACTACATCAAACTGTTTCTTGCTAGTACATTTTACAGAATCTTTACGGTTGACGTTTTCGAAAATATCAAATATTTGATGGATAGATAATCATAATCGAATGCCGTAAGTAAGGCTCAGCTTCTAAAAATAATTTTTGCTTCACTCGCTTCATTATGGTTTGAGGCATCGAAATTGTACTCGGAAAGACTTAGCCGTAATGTAGTTCATCATTTGCTCTTTCATTTGTCCCGTTCATCCAACTACACAGATTCCCCACTACGTCTCAATCGGAAAAGATGCTCTGTTGCAAGTATTTTCTGATCGTCATACTTTTGTGCACGATGATGTGTACCCTGGTAGCATCTGTATTTCACGAGATTGCACGTTCTGAAGGACCCGGCCCTACCTGCCTACCAAGCCCTAATGGTTCATGTTGAAGACATGCAATCAATTGCGGCACCAATAAGTTATGAACATGTCAAAAAACGTGTACCAACCAGCACTTGCAAACCTCAGACGGATTCTAGCCAAACGAACTTTGAGGTGAGTAGTAGTTTGTTCTAAGCAGCATATTGTTACCTTGTAGCTGACTGAACTTTTTATCATTCTTTTCAAGAGTTACTTTCCAGTATCACTGCTAGACGTTTCGTACAAATTGAGCGCATATAAGTTGTTCATACATTCGCACTAGACAATGTCATACTGTTTTCTAATGGGAGTGAATACATTACAATTACCCTGTGATGAATAGATCACAACCCTTTAATTAACATCATGGCTGTAGGAGTAAAATCATCAGGACTTTAGCCTTAATGTATGCCAAGACGGCTTCATTAGGAATATCATCCTAATTGAAGCAATTATTTTTGATAAGCCATATGTTTCTCAAAACATACGAAAGGGGGGGGGGCGGCCGCTTTCATCGCCTTTTGAATGCGGCCGTGATAAGTTACTCCTTTTGCTCTACTTGAGCGGAGGCGGATTGAACGCTTCATCAATATTTACTAGAGCATAAACACCAGTCATTCTTGCTCATGTACTCCATTCAACCACCTACTAGTCAAATCTCAAAGATGCAAGCAAGAACCTTTACATACGTTTTTCTTACATTGGTTGCCAGTATGGCAATGCTTTCCAAGGCTGCTCCTATTGGTAAGATTGAAGGACGAGAATTCTCAAGCAATCAAACGCCAACTCCTGGTCAGGGTGATACTTGTTATACGCTTTGCTAGTTGTGAGTTCAGCAGCATTGAATGCATTAACAGTTGAACAAATTTAACCTTTCGCTTTGCAATTCCCACAGATAGCATAGATGGTGACAAGTCCCTTTCGCTATAAGGGAGTACCAATACTGTTCTCTTTACTCCTTTCGCTCTAATTTATCTATTGAATCTTAATTAGGTACACGCTCACCAGACTAACACTGCTTTAGCAATCCAAGCTTGGTATGCAAGTACGCTAATCACATTTAATCTCCTCAATCAAAATGCATGCATGATTTATTGTGAGTAGCGCGCCTGAAACAAACCGCGAACAAAAAAAGATTGTCTTCGGGATTGCGTATACACTGCCTTTAATAACCTCATTTAACGCCCTTCGGAGCCCGTTTATAATGAATGATTCTCCGCTTTCGGCTGTGTCACGATATGATCAGCTCCTATTCTGATACAGCCATAGCAAGAAAACTCATGCATCCCGAGCAAGGAACGCTAAAACATGTTTCAAGGAAGCTTTCCTTTAAGAAAAAAGATTGTCAAGATGCCGAAAAGGACACGGGTCCAATATTTCCCTTTGCATAAACCGGCTTAAGCACAGCAAATTTAACACTCATTTCACACCACCGCTTTGATCGAAGGAGGCGCGAGATGTGAACGCGTAAATGAAGTGCAGTAAAGTGCAGAAATGCATGCATCTTGGCACCACCAAAAGAAACAACCCTCTTGGTTGCCCGCCAGTGTTTAGTAAAGAATGCGCTAAAATGACATCGGAGATCAGTGGTCCGCTTTGGACATTTAATGTTCTCTCAATATGCAACAACTATTCTCCGATCCCATGTTGGAGGAGAAACAAGAGATGAAAAAGCAAAGGGTCAAAAAAGGATCTTTCTTCTTCATTCATCATCATCATCACCTACCCTACCTAAATCATCATGAAAGAACGAACGACTGCTATCGATTGGACGGTGGGCATATTCAATATCATCTTTGGTTTATTATGTTTGGCAGCAGCAGCAGGAAACATCTATCTTTATGATGTCTCATTAAGAATTATTGCTTTGGCAGTATTCTTTGTCAGCTCAGGCATTTTGTTCATCGTTCTTGAAATCGTTCATGCGGCCAAATTCATTCAAAGGCAAGCTTCCCATCTTAACTCATATCATGGTCGTGCATTGAACTATTTCATCTTGGCAATCCTTTCAAGTGAATCAGTCTCAATTCATAATCGTCAATATCGTCAATTCATTTGGTTATGGGCAATCACAATCGCAATGGCTTCTTTCTCAATAGCATTTGCAATAATGGCAATCATTTCTCCATTTACAGAAATGTTACCATTACCAAAGAGTATGGACTTTGTACGCGCTCAAGAAGAAAGTGGCGGTGCACTTCCAACAGGGGCCAGAAGACGAAGTGATGGTCGTCATGAATATCAAACCGCTTTGCCTCAACGCAGATATCACCGTACAAACTTATCTGTATACAGCAACGGAAGCGCGTTAGACTGTGATGCAGATAGGAGTGATTTCAAAGTCAGACCCCTTTCTTTTGTTTCCCAACAAGGAGGTCAAAGGGTTGATCAAATGTACGAAAAACACGAAGGATTCAAATTTCCACACTCTCCTCCCAACAGCCTAATGCATACTGATGACTATCCCGCTTCAAGCAGCAATCATACATTGATCGATATGCATAACGGAGCAATGTGGAAAGAGCACAACAGTCCATCAACTTCAAATTTAGCCAGAATCGATACACAAATACCTCGATCGCGTGATTCAAAGAGAGCTTCAACCGTTCAACAGAACGATGTTCCCACTCCAAGAACCGGTGGCGTGCAACGTGCCCGCAATGCAAAGAGACATTCTGCTGCCCTTTCCATCTCCTCTTTACGTTATGAAACATTCACAGATCGTAGCAGTGGTAACGAAGGTGCTGACCAATCACCAGGAAAGAATCCGCTTGGCGTTTCTGCTTATCACCGTGAAATCTCTTACGATGATCCAGGCTGTCATGAAAGTGATCAAGATGATGATGAACGTGCACCTTTGAGTCCACCCATGCCGCTCTCCAAAGATTCCAATTACAAACGACGCATCTTTGTGCCATCAGTAGGCGCTGCAATCGATCTTTCCAGCGGCTCAGAATCAGAAGGCAGTGAAGATGAAGGCGAAGGTGTGGATGACGATGAAAGCGTGTACAGTATGCCTTCCGGCATTTCACCAGCTGATGATTTCAAACAGCACGTCATGCCACGAGAAAGTACTACTGATAGTCAAGTGGGTCGTCGCTTATCCCGTGCTGAAACTCGATCTGTTCGCCGAAAGATTAAGCGTGGTATTCAAAGAGCCTTTGCACAAGGCAAATAAAGGTCAATATTTTCTCCATCTGGACCGATTTTTTTTCGTAAACTGTTTCATATTACTGTATTGTACATCAATTCCGAGAACCCATAAAAAAGCTGTTTGTGCGTGCATGAGAACCAATCTGAGATCATACCGGTTCATAAGCCCCACGCGAAGATCCTTGCCCTGATACGGTTGAGTAGATGTGCTTGCCCATATCCTTGGCGATATAAGGAGCTTCCCTCCAGAAGTCTTTGTTCGGCAGTTCAATGACGCCATACTCGTTGTAATTTCTCCATAGTCCGGCAACAAAGTACACGATCCCTCCAACGATCAACAAGAAAAAGAACCAGGAAAAGAATCCCCATCCGCCACTGTTCTTGTTTGGATCTTGATTTCCACCTTTATCGGTATCACTGCGATCATTATCCCCTGCTCCGCCCATATGTGTTGTGCAAGCATATGGCGTTGTCCACTCCAACTTCAGCTTTCCTTCTTCTCGATCGTATTTCTTCATGATTGGCTTTGCGTCTTTTGGGCCGTTTTTATTACATCTGAAATCGATCTCTGTTCGTTGTTTACGATCGCCATAATAGTCTCCAGCCATTTCGAGTTCGAGAACTCTTTCTGCACCATCAACATGTTCACCTAGCTGTACTGACCATTTACCATCATCTATTCCATTTCCACCTGCAGAAATCACTTGTGTTACCCGTTCGCCTTCCCCTTTCTTATCATTAATCACTCTCATGCATATCCTCGTTCCTTCTTTGCATTGTTCGACTGCAGGTCCATTTTCTTGTGGTAGTGGGGCACAAAGGTCGATTTTGATCGATGTCTTTGTAGTTGTTGGTGGTGTTTGTTCGGTATCCATTATTTCTACCGGAAAATTAAACCTTGACAGATCGAATTGATAATTTTCCGATCGTACATTTTTGCAATCAAACGCTTCTTGTGGTGCATATGCAGATATACTGGATGATGCCCATACGCCAACAGCGAGGATGAATATTTGCAAGGGTAACAGAGATGATAGGATGATCATCTTGATTACTCTATCGATGATATATAGCAATGATGATCGTTAAGGTGAATGTATGCAGTTTTAAATATTTTGAGTTTTAAATCTGTAGCTTGCAAGAACGCCTTTGTCTGCCCCTAAGCAGCTGAGTCCGGTATCAATCAATTCGGCGCAGTGATGCACTGTACAAACGCGTTTGATCGGTTCAAGTGATTTCCCTTTTACATAAGCAGCAAAAATTGGCTCCACTTTGAATGATTAAGAAGAAGATTATCATTTCCGTTCCATCATCTTGCTTATCATACCATCACAAACTTTTGAAGTCGAACAGGACAATATTACCGCCTACATATACAATTTTAATCCAGAGTAAGGTTAGGTTGAAGCGATAGCCAGAAATAAGCGCAAATACTAGCCTTCCCATCACAGATTAGTCAGTAATAACGCATCATGGCTTCCCAAGTGAAATTCCCCGAAGTAGAAGCAAGAAAAGCTCTCAATCCCGATGGAACACCAATTGAGGCAACATCAACAAAGTTTTGGCGAAAGTTGAGAGAGCAACCGCTAGTACCTATAGGTGAGTTTCGAGTTGTTGACTGCGAATAGAATGCATGCATGCTTACCTACAATTTCTTTGCGGGAAAATAGGTTCTCTGGCGACTTGCGGTGCTCTTGTGGCTGCTTCACACTACCTTCGTAAAGGAGACAGAAATCAATTCCAGAAAGCGTTGAGATGGCGTGTAGGATTACAAGGATTGACGGTAGTAGCAGCAGTTGTAGGAACGTTGTACCTAGGTAGCGGAACGCCAGCTGGTAAAGAAGGTGATGAAGCTGCTAGTACGATTGGAGGAATCGCTACTTCTCCAGGAAGACCTGCAACTGTACATCAACTAGGAAGAGCAGAAGAAAGAAGAGAAGCAGAAAGACAACAACTCTCACAACGTTTACGTGAAGCTGAATTACGTGAAGAACAAGATCAAAAACGTCAAGCAGAAGAAGTTTTATTGAGACCGGGCGGTCAAGGATTACGTACTCGACCAATCATCGGAAGAGACGGAAGGGATAGAAGCAAAGCAGAAAACGATCCTGCTCTAGCTCCTGAAAAGCAAATTTAAGCGCTTATCTTATCATTTTGTAATACACCATACCACCACTTCTTCACACTTGAAACAAAAAAATGGGAATACAATCGTGTATGGATTGACGGAAATGAGAACACGGGAAAGCTGTTGTTTGTCTCTCTAATCTTTCGATGAGGTACAATGATACATGGAAGCGCTGTTGCGATACTATACAGAAGGGTGACTACAAGAAAAAAGTATGATCAGAAAGAAGGGTTAAAAGAAGACGAAAGGAGCCCTAATTCATCCTGTTCCTTTAGTGTGCTTGCGTCAAAGGAGATGAAGCAGCAGACCAAGTACCAAAATAATCCATTGGTTGAGATGAAAAGACGTTGGGTAAAGCTGAATTTGACAAAACAGGTGAAGGCGAATTTGAATTCGAAAAAGATGCACAAAGAGAAGGTGCGTTGAAGTTGAGCGGCTTAGAATTTGCTAAAATTGAAGAGCTTCTATCGTGACGACGTGATTGTTTGGGATGATGAATGGAACGTACAGCCATGTTGTACTTCAATCGAGGCGCAACAACCATCTTGGATGATGGTGCCTCTCGAAGCTCATTCGGTGTACGGATCAAATAACTTGCATTGGAGACGGATCTGTGCATTGATGAAGATGATTCATGCTCTTGAAAGTGCTTAAGTAGATGTGTTTGTTTGATAAACGGAACGGATTGTTGAACGGTGTCATTTGTGCCTGCATGCGTTGCTGTACGTTGCAATTGGACAAGGAATGGTGTATTGCTAGAAGATTTCATGAATGGGTCAAAAGATTCTCCGAGAGTATTCTGAAGGGTCTGATTGCTTGAAGAGCCAGTGTATGCTCCGTGAATGCGTTGACTTGATAGGGTATATTTGAAATTGTCTACATGGTTTGATGTATGTGTGCTCCGAAAATTCTGTGTGTCCGGGAGGGGCATCATTTCTGAATCCTCTTCATCAATTGAGCGGGCTCTCTTACGACCGAGCTTTGCATCATCTTCGCCAGATAAAGGACTGTCAAATAGTGTAGAGCCAGATGATTGCAAAGTGTCGGAATTAGAGCTCAATGATTGTGGAGGACTTAGATGAGCTGGGTGAATGCGGATTGGTGACCCGGGCATCTTGGAAGCCAACGCAGGCTTTCTTGGTGCTGATTTGGGCGGCTGTCTACTCATCGATGATTCTCCAATGTCGTCCATGAATGTATATGTACCATCAAATCTAATTGAGTTCATCGGCCGACCATCATCCTCTCGGTCGCGACGATCATTCCCGCGATTGCATGCGTTACGAGCATGTCTGATGCCGCGTTTCTCCTTATCATCCTCCCGATCATCGAATGAGAGCTTGCGTGCGATTTGTGAAATATCTTGCATTCTTCTTTCATCGTTAGTCAGCCTATATGCTCTTTGCGATGCTTTGGGAGCAGGTGGAGGTGATAGCACATATCCTTGGCCATCTTGACCATTTCCAGCTCGGGAACTGTTCTTGATCGGAGTATGTGGAGAGCTGCCATCCTCCAAGGGATCCAATAGCGTATTTGTGTGATTGGTTGACATTGTTTTGCTTATATTTGTTGATATGACGTTTAATTCTTGCGATCTTGCTTGTTTCGTTTAAGTTTGGATTTTCTTGAAAAGGAAAGTGTGTGAGAGGTTATGAATTTGTAAAGATGAGAATGAGATATGCTTCGTTGGATTGTGATCGTAAAAGAGAAAGAATGATGGGTTATATCAGGTTAAAGGATACTTGTTACGAATGAATGCGTTTGTTTCACCAGACCATCTCTTTAGCCTGTGTGAATATTGAGAGTGAAGTGATAGCCCAGAAAATTGGAATCGGGCGTAATTGTTTGTCCCACAAAAAGGCGTTTAAGCAGAGGGCGGATTGTGAAGCGAATATGTTAGCTTAATCGGATACTTTTACCACAGCTGCGCAGCGCAGGGCATCGCATGATGTTGCAGAGTAGTGCACTGCAGTACAGTAGTGTTAGGCAGAAAAGTCTTGCATCCAGAAAGGTACACTTGCAGCACAAACACACACGTAATGCATTACAACACATTCGATTAGGCAAGTCATTTATGCTTTGTATATGTACGTGATGCATGAATGAATGGGAAAGAAAAGGAGTCATGCATGAATTTGTGATCAGAATGGCAAGTAAGAAGACGATCTTACCTAAAGTGTGTTCTTCTTATTCCGCCGCTCTTATGCCTGTCAACGCGTCACGCACATCTTGAAGATCAACACTTGCTGTTATTGTCAATCGCGTCAAACCTTATCCTCGCGAACGCGTTTCAGAAGAACAACACTGGGCTGATAAGTCGGTGTAATCTTATCATAAGAAAGATTCAAATAATCCTTTCGATCTTCCCAACTTCAAGCCAATACTCGCTAAAGTCAAGAACGGATTAGCCCGCTCATCCGCTGCAACAAAAGCAGGGTTCTTTGAATGTGTGGGCATAATTGCTATTGCAATTCCCACGCAAAACGGCAATTAGCAAGCTGCCAGATAAGTAGATAGAAGGTTGTACTATAAAGCAATTGCATGATTATGCAGAATAATAAACTTCCTTTTTGGGGACTAATTAAAATTCAGCATTAGCCTAAAAAGTTTGATTCCCCTGACATCAAATCAAATCTTTTAATACGCTAAAAGAAACCGTTGACCAAGGCCTTCTTTGCATAAATCATTAGATTATGGTATGGTACACGTGTACACAGAGAGAGTTTGCCAAGTTGGAAAATGCTCGCCTTTTCCCACACTTTTCCTTTGTTTATTCAACGGAAACAATAAACTTTAATTTTATGAAAACATACATTTAGCAGTGCCTCATACTTCTTACAACTCCTCGGATAGATACAACCTTATCTTTCCCTCTTGGTGGGGTCATAATGCAATGCCATGCACATTCGTCGACATTTTCGCTTGCATCTTTTGCGACTACGGCATTAAATGTATTTATGGCCCTGACGCTTATGTACGTAGGTTTCATATACGTACTTGCTACATCATTTACCGAGGAAAGGGTACAGAGAGATGGTCAGAACGAGATAATTTGCTATGGAAATGATTTCGTGTTTCATTTGCGATGCTTGCACGTATCCGATTTCTGAAGAAAAAATTCAAAGTATGAATCTCTGTTCTTCAGCGTCTTATGACCGCGGTGTTTGTAGTAATGGTCACACTTAACAGCAAAAAGTATATGTCATCGAAGCTGGGCTTCACAAATGTACATGTGACAATGATGTTTGCCCTTCATGAAAAGGCTAAAATCTTACGCCATTACTCTTGGCAGACGGAAGGCGCCGTGCTAGCGAATGGTCTTGACAATGTCGTAAAAGCTGTCAACAATTCACAGTCACATGGAAAGGCTTCTTCTCATATTTCCAGATCATCTTCAATCACAACATTCATCTGACTTGACGATGTGAGAATTAGGAGATTGATCGTTATTGACAACGGCGGGCTTATGTGGAACCATCTTTTAAGAATGCTCTTTCGCACTTCTAATTGAATGGCCGATTTCGATTCTCCTTCCGCCGAAGTTGTTGACTCGTATATGAGGTCATCCGAAACCTTTTGCTAATTACGCTCGGCGTAGGAACCATGAGCGGAACCTTGAATTTGTTCTTATATCACATCATATGCCGGTTCGGAGCTGAAAAGTAAACGAAATCGATCAGAACGGCGTTTCAAAGAAAGTTTCAGAAGGGCGCCAGATGTGGTTTGTTAAGCGTATATAACATCAAAAGTTTGCACAACTTCTTCTCAACTCTCCAACTCCAACAGAACTTTTTCTTCACAAGGCCAAACCAAGTCACTCTTTCCAATGCTTTTCACAATTTCTAATGCTGTTTCGCTCTTTTTGGCCATCATCATGATGTCTAGCGTTTCTGGAGCTCCTACCTTTCCTTGGAATCCCAATTGGCAGCCACCAACCAATACCCAACCACCACAACCGCAAGCGCAACCAAACCCAGAACCTCAGCCAAACAATCCTAATCCGCCTCCAAATCACATTCGTCCTTTGTCTTGTGACGAACCAAATTGTTATAAAGTTTACAATATACCCGAGCGAAATACCTGATTTTTCGATTCCGATAAAAGCGAGATCACACAAGGTTTCGGGAAATGTTTGTGAGTCAAAATGACATATATTTACTACCTCTATTCTGACACTGACCACCTTTTCTCAATTTACAGTTCAAAAGATAACTTCTGTCTTTGAAGTCAGTCTTTAAGATCATTTCAAAAGATATATTCGCAGATACACCTTGACAAATTTTGTAAGGAACAAGAATATACAGCTTCTCTCCAATTGTCTTAGTTGCCAAGTCTTGATCGGATGGTGTCGTACTCACTTTGCGTGATCGGTAAAACAGATCCATGTCGCATGTTTGAAGGGAATCCATCAACTGAGTCATGCGAATAATAGCCAGTAAAGATATCACTGGTTGCATATGCTTGATATCCATCACCGGTATAATTATCCAACCAAAGGTGAAATTTGTTGGGATCTTGATTATCACGAAAAGAAGCAGCACCTTCACGCAATTCGTCATTGATATGACCATCAACGCCATTTATTCTTTGCCAATTTCCGAATAAGCCATCATAAGAAACCTCTTGAAAGATATGCGTGTCATCACACATGAATCTTGCAAACGTTTTGTCTCCATCGATTAATTGGAATTCTTGATCTAGGCGTAATTGATCGTCACCTTTTGCATAATCTTTTGGGACAGAGAAAGATTTGAAATCTTTTGTTGTTGCATAACGAATGATTGGTTTTGAAGTTGCACTTCCGTTATGGTTTGGATCATCTTCTGCGTAAAATTGTGATGACCAGAAAACGAAATACTGAGAAGACGAAGGATCCCAAACAGCTGAAGGAGCCCAAACCATTCCTGCTTCTGGAATTTCGACTTCCACTAAATAATTTGCATCCCAATCAACCAAATTTGTACTATGCCAAATTACGATTGATCTACTTCCACGTGCTAATGCCTCATCAAAATTTGTCTTTCCAATTTGTAGATCAGTTGCTAAAGTCCAAAATTCTGTACGTTCAGGAGAAGCGACTAAGTAGGGATCACGAACACCTTCAATTCCAACATTGGAGCGTAAAACTGCATTACCATTATTCAAAGACGTGAACGAATAAGCATTGTTACCATTCGATACTCTCTGATAGATGGCTTCATCATTGCCAAGGAAGTGCGTAACAAAATAACCGACAAACGTTGTATCTCTTCCCTGTAGTGGTGCAGAGAAAGAAGAAGTGGCAGCAATGACTGCTGTGATTGCAGTAATCAGGATCAAACGCATGATGAAAAGTTGCAAAAGAAGAAAAACGGTGTGGGATGGAAAATGAGATTGCTTGAGAGGCATCAAATGCCATCTTATCAAATCTTTGTTACATCACCTTGATGTCCATCTTTTTCTCCTGTTTTCCCGCAAAGCAAAAGAACCCGGCATACTCATGGTAGCGATAAACAATAGAGAAGCATAGGTGTGGAAAGTGATGCAGGTGGTAGTAAAACAAGATTGCCGAATTGCGCTAACTTCAACGTCTCTTTCTTTGACAGGACAAACAAGTCAAGGCCAATAAGTGAATACATACAACGACTCTTCGGAAGCGCATGATGACGGCTATGCAGGTATGCATGCATGATCGATGCGGGGAATTCACATTAGCAAAGTCTTGGCATGATCTTAATATCATTCATCTTTCGGAATTCTCTGCTATTCAAAATTCAACAACGCCAAGTAAGCTTCAATAGAATCTAGGCATTTTAGATCAGGAGCATACGCAAGAGATTTATTACATTATTTCAATCTTTAATCAAATCTTTGCACGAAGAGCACTGTAAGAAGAAGTATCGGATGTGCCGGTCAGTATAAAGTCTTCATCTTCGTTTCAATATGTCTACTTACTCGTATTGCGACTGGGTGACAGGAATAACAGATCCATGTCGTAAGTTGGTCGGGAAGAGGTCCATGCTGTCTGCTGTATAACCACCTTGCTTAATGTTTGAGGTAGAATAAGGTTCATAACGACCTCCACCTTGATAACCATAATTGTCAAGCCATAGATGATACTTTGATGAATCCTGGTTATCGCGGAAAGAAGCAGGTCCTTCTCTGCCTTGATCGGTCACATATCCTTCTGCTCCTCCAATTCGGGTCCAAGTACCAAAGATGCCATCTGTAGAAATTTCTTGATAAACGCGAGAGTTTGTTTCATTTTTGATGAAACGTGCGAAAGAGTTATCTTCACCATCGATCTTTTGGAATTCTTGATCGATGACTGCATATCCGGGAGTTTGCAAGTAAGTTTCTGGATTGGTAAAGGTCTTAAAATCGGTTGTAGATGCTGTACGGATAACATGTTCGGTGACCGGATTTCCATCATGATTTGGATCATCGGAAGCAAAGAGTTGAGAAGCCCAAAATACATGATACTTTTGCGATGATTCATCATAAATTGCAGAAGGTGCCCAAACCATTCCCGCAGTCGGATCCTCTACTTCAACAAGATAATTCGTACCCCAGTTCACCAAATCTGTACTATGCCATACCACAATCGAACGACTTCCATGTCGAACAGCTTCTCCCCAATTTGTTTTACCGATTTGTAGATCTGTACCGATTGTCCAGTAGTTGCTATTATCGGGAGAGGATACCAGATATGGATCTCGTGCTCCTTCTGTTCCGACAGTTGAACGTAAGACTGCATTTCCTCCATTTAAAGCAGAGAAAGACAGAGGGTTGTTGCCATTAGATATGTGCTGATAGATTGCTTCATCATTGCTAATGAAGTGTGTAGCGAGATAGCCTACCAATGGATCATCTCGTTTTTGTAATGGGGCCGTTAGCACAGATGTGCTCAAGATTAAGGAAGAGATGAGGGCAACAAACGAAAGATGCATTCCGGTAAATCGAGATATGTGTGGTAGAATGGAAAGAGATGTCATCGCTGCCTCTCCTTCCCCATTTTATACTCTTTCCTGATTGAATCGTTCATCATCATCATACTGTATACACTTGATGTTCCTAAGCGAAGAATTGACAAAGATTCCCGATGGATTGTTTGTTTCTTATTTCTTGGCTAACATTAGTAAACTTTATTATTCCTTTAGCGTGGGGAGAAAGAATAAGCAAACGCGGGGAATTATTGTTGGCCTTATTTAAGCTCTTGACCGTCATCATGTTGTTGTGACAAAATATTTATCATTTTGAAAGAGATAATGACAAAACAATCATGACTTTGAAAGAAATAATGACAAGACACATCATAATGTACTTTGACCAATCCGCTCCATCAGGTCAGGAACACCGCATTTACGTTCTTTCGGCCAAGAGAATTGGCGGCCCGGTCCCGAACAAAGGCACGGCTCAATTTGCAAACGAAGGAACATATCTTGCCGCTTTGTTGAAAGAAGGACAAGAACTTCAGACAAATGAAAGATATAAATAGAGCGCTAAAGATTGTTTTTACCATTTCATCTCCTACATTTCAAGGTAATCTCAAAATCATACTTCTTCAGATATCCAACATCTACCCTATCAACGATGTACCCGACCAAAGTTATTTCAGTCGTGATCTCTATCGCTTGTCTCGCAATGACAGCTGAAGCGTAAGTTGAATCCATTCTAAGGATCGGCACGTAGAGAAATACAAACAAGTATGCTAATCTTACTTTCTACACTACAGCTATTACTGCACTGGTAGAGCCTGTAATTACGCCGATCCCGAGTATTGTAGTTACCAATGCGGTTCTGGCCAATCATGCTGTAAAGGCGATGGTCCTTGATATAGCCTGTATTGTATCATTGACGGCGATCGAACGCAAGCCGTCCATAGTATGGGATACAATATTGGATGCGCTCAAAACCTAACCCCTAATTATTCACATGTTGTACATAATATTGAGCCTCCAGATAGGACAAAAATCTTATTATCCTAGTGAATGCGATTTGAAATGAAGAAAGATATTGAAGTAACTTTAAGAGTGAGAGTAGCATTTAGCTTTTTGGTAAGTCAGCCCCTGAGCATCCGAACACAGGAGAATGAATAAAACGCCAAAGGTGTCTGCTCGTTTTTTCTCCTGGCCCCTTCCTTTATCTTTTACTGTCTGCTCTGTTCAAATAGACTGTATTCGAGACTTTCTTGTATCAAATTCATCTTTAAAGCCATACCAACGATTCTATCATAATCTTCTTACCAATAATGCATGTCACAAATCTTGTTTAATTTCCTTTATGGCCATTTGTTTCGCTATGGCAGATAATCCGTAAGCTGAAGGCATTCAATAGTTGTTATGCTAGATGTTGTGAATAAGAAGTCCCCTTTTCACATTATAACCACCATTACACAGGTGAAGGTTGTAAAAAGTACGCGGTAGATGACTCACATTGTGATTATGAACGGTAATGAATCGACGCCAGAACTGACCCCTGTCGATCCGTCCAGACTAGAATATCCGTCAAGCTTCTCATAGACCCTCACTTTTGACGCCGACGTCTCTTTGAAAGGGTGATCAGTAAAGTACCTTAGCTTTCCCCAGTACTCTTTCCCCTAATTGTAATGTACGCCACCTTTTTGCCAACATTGAAAAGATCAATCATAACGATTCATTGTTTCCTTCAAGTCCTCATCATCTTTTTCATTTTTATCCCGCAATGAACCAAAAAATATTCGTAACAATGTTTATTGCAATCGCATGTCTCGCAATGACAGCTAAAGCGTAAGTTAAATACGTTGATATAGAATCAGTATTTAGAGAACTATGAACAAGTATGCTAATCTTACTTTCTACACTTCAGCTTTTACTGCACTGGTAGAGCCTGTAATTACGCCGAACCCTCGGATTGTAATTACCAATGCGGTTCTGGTCAATCATGCTGTAAAGGAGATGTTCCATGATACGGTCAATATTGTACAGCCGAAAGTCGTGAAACGTAAGCAGCCGGCTTCGAAAATTCGATTGGAGTTGCGCCGCTTACTATCAATCATGCTGTTCATGGTGAGCCCTACAGGGGCTCAAATTGTGTTCGTCTTTCACCGTCATTTTGAGGCAAATTTCATAGATACACATACATCTTTGATGAATACCCTACAGAGAATTTTATTTTGTTTCCCTTGTCCTAACAAGCCTTGAATGCGGATTTGAGAAGTTTTCGAGTCTGTTTGATTCCGGGTGGCTTACGCCACCCTAAAAAAAGCTCCTTGCCTTTCGGATCGGACTCTAACGCCAAGACTATGTATAGGTACTCTTCCATGCTCAAAACGGTGTGGTAATTCCTTCGGTCCGATACCACATCAGAAGTGTACTCTTGCGGTATAGCTGAAAAAGGTATAAATCACCACTTTGTCAATCTGAAATGTTCTCACAGCACCCACAAACCAGATTTCATCTATTTGACTCAAACTTCACCAACGATGCAACAATTCGCAGTCATTTCGATCTTTGTCATTGCTTGTCTTGCATTGACAATTCAATGTCAAGAAAGAGACACGTTCACAATGCAACGTAGGGCAGGGTGAGTATGGAGATGTCTGGGGACTACGGAAACGAGAGCTGATCCGTCTTGATATAGCTACCATTGCTCTGGTCAAACGTGCGGTACCTATGGTGTGTCCCACAGCTTTTGTGGTAATGGATGCTCTTCTGATCAACAATGCTGTCCCAATTGATCTGCGTTGATACTGTGATACGAATTGATAATCTGGCTCACAGAAGGTTAATTGCCACCAGAAAGGACAATTAGGAAATTAGCAGGCGAACATATGTATCAATTGTTGAATTTCAATCACCTCAAATATGACTTTGTGTGAGTGTAGGTCCTGCCACACCGTGAGCTAACTGATACTAATGAGAAGATCAAAGATGTCTAAGCCATCATGTCTTTTTGTCACATTGAATGACACAATCGAATCGGCAGAGGAAATGGACCACTCATCGGAAGTAGAACCCGAGATTATGGTACTGACATTATTCTTTCTGTTGAGCAGGCAACTAAGTCAAGCATTTCCAGATCATCCTTGGCTGTATTTACTTGGCATCCAGCTCAAACTCATTGTTTCACACACTTCGTTATGGGGAGAATGAATACGATTATTAGAAAGATTTGTATAGGAGCTTCTCAAAAGCTATGACATGAAAGAGTATTTGTCTGTTCATAATTTGTGATGGTAGATTTTGATCGGCCGGCGATCATTGTGGCTAAAGATTGCGAGCTGGGCACAATACTTGACGACTCTCCATCAGTTTCAGATTTCACTTTGGAGCTTTGGCGGTAGTGTTCTTTGGACCAGCAGGTGCACCTTCGCCACTGTCATCCTTCAAATCTGCAGTTTGGTACAGCTTTGGAGGAACAGGGCCATTCTTGTCTTCACAGTTGCTGGGATCCTTTGGAGGTGTTTCAGTTGAGTTTGGCTTTGGAAGTAATGGATCTTTGCTGCTTGGGTCTTTGTCAGCATCACTTCCGTCATTGCCGAAAGGGTTCTTGCCATCCTTGTCAGAGTCATCTTTGTAGTCTTTGTCAGAAGAGTCGGAATCAATCTGGTCATCAGTGCTGGGATCCTTCTTGCCGTAATCACTTGAATCATTGCCAGAATCATCACCGGTTTGATCACCTGAGTCATTGCTGTCGCCATCTTTGCCATAGTCAGTCGAATCATCGCTTGCATCATCTCCATCCTTATCCGAATCGGCAGAATCATCGCTAGAGTCGTCTTTGCCATAATCACTGGCGTCATTGCCGTCTTTACCTGTATCGCCAGAATCAGTGCCAGAGCCATCTTTGTCACCAGTGGAGCCCTTGCTTGAATCACTGGAATCGCCATTAGAGTTTGCACTGGGATCACCGTTGGGTTGTTTGCCGGGCTTTTGGCTTGCATCACTGTTTTTACTGACGGTTGAATTCTTGCCGGTGTAATCACTGCTGTCGTCACTGGAGTCTTTGCTAGCATCGTCGCCGTCCTTGTCGCCATAGTCCTGGCTGGAGTCATCTCTGGAAGGATCGCTGCCAGTATCTTTGTCACCACTGCTTGAAGTGTCTGTGCTGTTCTTTCCATTTCCACCTTGAGTAATCGTGCCAGATGTGTCTTTGCCAGTACCACGTCCACTTCCAGTAGTTGTGCTAGAGGTATCTTTGCCAGGTCCACTACCATTTGGTGAGCTTGAGGTAGAAGTATCTGTGGTGTTTTTTCCATTTCCTCCTTGAGTGATTGAGCCGAAGGTATCTTTGCCAGTATCACTTCCACTTCCAGTAGTTGTTGTAGAGGTATCTTTCCCAGGTCCACTACCATTTGGTGAGCCTGAGGTGGAAGTATCTGTGGTGTTCTTTCCATTTCCTCCTTGAGTGATTGAGCCAGAGGTATCTTTGCCAGCACCACTTTCAGATCCAGTACCTGTGCCGGATGCATCAGTATCACTGTCACTTCCACTTGCAGAAATCGTAATGGTTGCAGAACCAGAAGAGCCAGCATATGCTTCAACAGCCAAAATTTGTGGAGAACTCAAAGTTCCCAAAACCATTCCAGCTTTTTCCCATGCAGAAACGTGATTCGCAAAAGTGATTGTACCTTTTGATCGTTTTGTATGACGACGTGACCAATATTGAATATGATTTTGACTTGAATTATCAACACATGGACCGCCCATCACGGTGCAAAAGGTATATGTGTCACCATCACTTTGGAGTGTACCTTTGCTGTCCGATCCACAAGGAGGATATTGACCCCAATTATCAACAACGTAATATTCAACGCATTTGCTGCCGACTGACCAACCATAGAGAGCCAAATAAGCACCATTTCCACTGACTTCAAATTGACCATCAAAAGTGAAAACACGATCTTTTGCACCATTTTTGAAACCTTTTCCGACGATTGCATCATCAATACCTTGCCATGTGAATTCATACTTTCCTGCACTATCACCTTTAGCGGAATAAGTACCTTTTCCTTTGTTATCCCAAACGGAAGCAAAGTATTTTCCACTTGTATCCCAACCGGAAGGCATAGGTTTCAAATCGCCACTGCCAGAAGAATCGCCAGCGTTGTTACTGGCAATACCGCCATTGCTACCGCTGGAGGCGCCACTGTTTGCATCAGGAGTTGCGGTTGTGTTCTTTGTGCGCTTGAACATCATCACTCCATTGCTCACGGATCGAAGCTTTGGATGACAATGAACGAATTGCGTCAGGAAACACAAAGAGATTAGAACGATGGGGATGGAAAACTTGGCCATCTTGGAAAGAGGAACTTAGGGGGAGAGAGAAAAAGAAAAGAATGTTGGGTTACAAGACAAAAAGTGTCGAAAAAAAGGTCTTCTTAAATACTTTTACCATGTCCGAATACAGTGCAACCCAAACATAATACCGGTCCGTAACAATCAATGCCTATATATAGTTTTCCTGCTCAGCGAACAAAAAGGTACACCCTCTTCTTACTCGAGAGTGGCGATGACTCTTACACCATTGATGAAGGCGTATTTAAGCTTTTTCCTGCGGAGTCTTCTGACGGAGAACTCGGACCTGAAATTAGACGCCGCATGCAAAATTAAGAATCCGTCTCTTTAACATCACACGTCATGCTTATTGGGTATCAAACACATAAATTGCACAGCACATAGCAAATTTTAACCGCTTTAGTCCCAAAGACTGCCGTCATTTGCACCTGTTTTCTGGCCACCCTTTCCACGTTTGCCTTTCAATTTTCCACCTTTGGTGCCGCCTTGTTCTTTGTACCAATCGCGCATCTCTTCTTTCGTGTACCCTTGCTGCTCCTGTTCACGCCATTCATCTTGTCTTTGTTCAGAAGCGGTCTTGATACCTTCATCACGTAACCTTTGCGTTCTACTCGGTGTTACTGCTCCGCTTCCTGGTAATGATTCTAAACGTTGTTGTTCTTTTGCTTCCATCTTTCTTTGTTTTGCATATTGCGTTTTCCAATCCATCTTACTTGCCCTTCTTGTCCATTTTGCACCACCAGAAGCAAGATCATCAGCCTGCTCCTCAACCATTGTACCTTTGTTGCATTGTCTGTACCAACAATAGTTCAATGTTGCACTCCGTCTGTATCGCTTATTAACTTGCGAAAGAGAGATCAAACTGGAAACCGGTAACGAAAGGAAGATACGCTGAGAAACCTCTTTTGGCAGCGTTCGGAGTGGATCAGTTTTACTCTTGCGTGCGATACCAGTCCCTATCGATTTACCAAGTGTTGATCGTTTGGAAGGCGTTGATCTTGTCATTCCACCAGGCGAAGGAGGTCTACTGATATGTGGCGTACCCGGCACAGTTCCGGGTAAAGAGACAACATTAACCAATTCATCATCACTTGTTATCTCTTCACCTTCCACTTTTTCCCAATCATCTATCGATTGTGATTGTGATTGTGATTGTGAATCTTTCACAACAATCTCTGGCGGTGGCATTGATGAATTTGTAGTTGAGGAAGAGGATGGCACGTTTCCATTTTCATCCGTTCCCAAGGTAGCTTGAGCTAGGCGTGAGGCCAAGACGTTCTGAAGTAAGGATGACATTTATTTGGATGTCAAATGAATAGTTGTTGTGATAGTGGTGGTTTAAGGATAAGATTACAAGTTATCAAATTAAGCTTTCCTTATAGACATTGATCATGAGACCCTAAAGTGGACGGGCGTATGTTTGTGTGGAGCAATTGACGCGTGAATGAAATGAAGTTAATATTAATATATTATGACTGGAATGAGCCATTCAGCCATTCAAGCAAAAGATATGATTTTCACCCTTTTCCCTTAATTTGCTCAGCAGGATTAACCAACAGGAGGAGACTGTATTCAAAAGCACAAATGAGGATGAATGACTCGATGAGCTGCTGAGGTAGGGTAACTACTCAGCAGTGTTCATTTGATTAATATGACGATATGATACAATTTGACAACCCTATGTTAATCAATATAAGTACAATGTGAATGCAATTTCAACATTCTCTCGATCCCCTCACCCTTTAAAAAGGACTTGAACGGAAAACGTCTTTGTGTCTGAGTCCCAATGACTCCATGTGCCAGGCTCATCCTTCATTTTAGATCCAGGTACGGCACTGAATAATACACCCTCAGATCGGTCTACCTCCCTTGATTGTAGCTTAAAAGCAATCGTTTCGTATGGCTCAGCAGCAACAACCAGATATTGCCATGCCCGATCTTGTTGTTCGATATGCTGCTCATAACTGCTCATAAATCGATGCATCGGTTTGACATCCTGTTTGATTTGAGGAAGATGAATTTGGAATAGCAGCCCTAGCCGTCCTCCAATCTGTCCATCTGCGTATGATGCATCCTCCTGCCCGTTTCTGCCATTAGCAATCATAGGCTCATGAATTTTGGTGATCTTGTATCCTGGTCTGCCAATCTTGATGAACCTCTTCTTTTCTACGCCTCCGTCTGGTGCACCTGTGAGTAGCTTTTGTGCATCTGCAAAATTGGAGACCTGCTTTGCTTCTCGAGCTGCTCTTCGTGCCAAGTTTGTCTGATGTTTCTTTCCTTGTGTGTGAGCTAGGTAAGATCCTTCATTGGTATGAAGTGTTAGACAAAGCCTACATTCCAATCCACCTAAATGATTTCGTAAGATGTATGGATCTTTGTTCACATCAATCGTCTCTAATGCCAGCTTACGTAGCCTTTCCCTTCGATCTACATTTGCTTCACTTGAGCCTGCCACACCTGCACCTTTGTTTCCTGCTCTGTTCTGGAAATCCATCTCTGATACACAGATGGATGGATGTGATGATGGATGTCAGGAAGGAAGTACTTGATTGTACGCCTACTTTGACACTTTTATTTTTTGCACGTGTTACATCTATTCTAATCATCTTCTCTGTACGCGTGTTAAAGTTCAAATTCAAGTCCGGTCCGGATGAGTGTTTATGAGGATGAAGCAAAATGTGAGAAAAGTCGTCCATTGAAACGCCACAAAAAGAAAGTGTGATTGATCTGTACCTGCTTTTCGGCATTGATAGGATGAATCGGTGACAATCGAAATTTGAAGCTCGGATAAGGGCATCATGACTGTTTTTAGTAATGAAATACCGAGCATGCGGATAGGGAAGTTTTAATCTTCTCACAAAAGTTTCAGCTCCTGGCATGAATCACTTCAAGACAATGAACTTGACCGACCGGATTGTCCGACTTTTGATCAAAAAATGCGAACAAAGGCGCGAGAATGTAATCAAATTAATTTTATCCGCAATAACACGCCATTTTTTACCTCTATTTAGCCTCCGCTCTATCTTTGACCTGAATAGAAACGGAAATAAGCTATGTAATTGCCTTCTATTCGGATTTTTGCACTTTGAAGCTAAGGCTTTTTTTAATCTTTGGCCGATGCAATGTGTAAGAAGCATTACATACAAATTGTTTCATTGTGAATTATAGGCTTGGCCTGGCTTGCTTGCCTGCTAGTCCGATAAGCCGATTATACGCGGGGGCGGATATCGGAATCAATTTCAAAAAAGATAAAATAAAATAATTATAGAGCGAGGGAGCAAAGCAAAGCAAAGCAGATTGACTGTGTTGTATCCTTCCGTACGAGTAGAATTCAGGAGACAAGTGTGTGTATGTACACACTTTATGCACAATTTCACTCGAATGCCGGTTGAGTCATTTGAACCCTCACCTCTCCCCTCTCTGCCCTTTATTTCGCATGCAGAATCTATCCGATATGAATTGCCGTCAAATTTAAAGGGATAGACAAATCTCTTCTTCCCATAACCATCATCATCTAATAGATCAAACGGTATGGATCATTCCATATCAGAAGCACAAAGAAGTGCTAACCTCGACTCAAGGAGATCGTCCGGTAATACAATGCTAGATGAACAACAAATTGCTGAAAAGGCAAACGATCTAGAAAAAGGTGATCAATCAGGTCTATCAAACGGCGATACACAAGCAGAACCAAGAAGTGAAGGTGATGCACCCATAACGACAAAGAGACCTAATTATGATGAAGAAGAATTTCCAGAAGGTGGTTTACGAGCATGGACGGTCGTCTTTGGATGTTCGCTTGTGATGGCTTTCTCATTTGGATATTTGAACGCATTTGGTGTTTTTCAAAGTTATTATGCTGAAACGTATTTACGTGGATATACACAAAGTGATATAGCATGGATTGGTGCGTTACAATACTTTTTCATCTTTGGAATGGGTTTGTTTGCAGGACGTGCTTTCGATTTAGGATTTTTTAAACCTTTGATGGCTTTTGCAATCTTATTGGCAACTTTTAGTCAAATGATGTTATCACTTTGTACATCTTATTATCAAATCATTCTCGCTCAAGGCGTTGGAGTTGGAATAGCGATGGGATTATCGTTCAATCTTGCCGTTACCGTTCCAACTCACTGGTTCAAGAGAAAGAGAGCAACGGCATTAGGTGTCAGTGCAGCAGGATCATCGATTGGGGGCGTAATCTTTCCAGTCATGCTAACAAAGCTATTTAAAGAGATTGGATTTCCATGGACAATGCGGATGATCGGTTTCGGATATCTCCTACTTGTTGGAGCTGCTTGGTTTATGATGGATACCAGGCTACCACCATTGGCTAGCGTGAAAGAAGGAGGGTGGCGTAAAGTGAAATGGTTCGATCCATCTGCTTTTCGTAATCCGGCATATTCGATGTTTGTTGCGGGCAACTTGATCGTCTTCTTTGGTCTTTATACGCCATTCGTTTATATGGACTTATTCACTGAATCATATCATATTCCTGCAAGTGGTTATTGGATCAGTATCTTGAACGCAGCTTCAACGTTTGGAAGAGTGATTCCGGGTATATTGGGTGACAAATTTGGTAGATTCAACACACTTCTACCACATATGATTTTGGCAACTATATTCTTATTCTTATTCCCGCTATTCACAAATTTGTCCCTCATCCTTTTCGCATTGGCTTTCGGTTATGCATCAGGATGTTTTGTCAGCATTATCGCTCCATGTGCCGTTCAACTTGGATCGATCGATACGGTTGGAACGAGAACGGGAATGATGTTAAGCATCATGAGCATCGGTGGATTGTTGGGAACGCCAATCTCTGGATTCATTCTAGGAGAAGCACAGCCTTATAGATGGTGGCCAACAGCTGGATACTCGGGTGGAATGTGTTGTGTGGGCACAGCACTTTGTATCGCTGCAAGACAATATGCCGTAAAGGGAAAACTCAAAGCGCATTTCTGAACACTTAGTACATCTGTAATCATATATTCACATTTTTTAATTATCAAATGGATCACATTTGCATTTCTAGATTGATGATCATAAGCTTTTGAGCAGGTAAACTGGATAAAGCTCAAACTTCCCGCGCTCCCACACATCGAGAACACGTGTAAAGATCGTACCTTTCTTTCTAACAGCCAATAACAAAGCACGGAAGCAGTCGGTAAATTGCACCCTATCAAAAGTTTATTCTGGCAAAATGACCGTGTCTGTTTGGGCGTCTGCGCCTGCGCCACGGCTTGGGATAGAGAGCCAGCCTTTGCGAGGTGTAGGGTAGGCTATGAAACACAGGAAGAGAGCAAAGCGCCGATGTCAAGAAGGAATGAAGGTAGACAATAGTAAGCGTCCTCGTTACCATCATCTTTTTTTCACAATCGTATTTAGAAAAGGTTGCCCAACATGTCTCGTATGCGTGCTTTGATGAAGAACTGGTGAGTATACAAGACATGCGTACCGGAAGGTTTTGGATCGGATTCGATTAGAGGAGGATGGTGGATGTGTGGGAGTAACATTTGCACTTCCCAACAAATGCAAGACTGGTTCAGATTGGACATGGTCAACTATCTGCTACAGTAGCGATCAGCAAGAGGTTGGCTTGGGTTCCGCTTGATCAGCTTCAGGCATTTCTATGCATCCAGGCACCTCCTCATCTCCTTCAATCGAATCCGATGTTCACCTTCCCGCCTTTCATCTGATCCCCTACAAACTCGACCCTCTGACACCTTCCCTCTCTCATCCCTTCCAGGTACTCCGTCGAGGTGTTGCCAATTTACGTCATCACAGCTGCAGCTTGCGGTGGTGCAGGCTGGTACCTTTACCGTCTCAGTACCCGTCCAGAAGTTGTATGGAATCACAAAGGAAACCCATACCCATGGCAAAGCATTGAACAAGGTACAAATACAAAGCTCATGAACGTTAATCAAAAGTTCGAAAAAGAATACAAGCGGGACAGATTTTAAGGAATTACTTGTTTGCAGTGCCTCCTCTTTCAATCCATGCAATTCACTTCTGATTCGTTGTGTGAAGTTCTCAAGTCTCATTTCGATTCTCAACAACTGTGTAAAGGCGGAAGAGATCATACAGGATAACAACTCCTTGTTGATACCTTCACAGGTCTTTTTTCGTTGGAAGTGATTGCTGGTCTGTACAAATTTAATACATTGTTCTCTGCCATCTTGACTATCCATAAGTGTGATCCTGAGTACAGCGCCATATTTCTGATTATTGGTCTATGATAATTAACATAGACCAAATGATGGCACTATTTTCTGGCAGAGAGTGTACAATGATTAGTTGAAAAGTGCATTGAGTGGTGTTGTACATCTTAAACAAAATTCTATTTAGTCGACATTACGGGAAAGCGACGCAGGAAAACTTCTGAAGAGTCTTTCTTTCCAATCATATCCTCTCTGCCTTTGCTTTCTCATCTCTTTTATCCTGCAAGAATTTTTTCCTTCTCTGAACCATTGCTTCTTCTCCTTGAATGCTTCTCATGCATTTTTGAACTTCTTTATGTTGCGATCTACAAGCCCAAACTACGGACACCGTTCTACCGGTTTGACATGCTGCAAATTCTGCAAACAAAGAAAGGTGCAGTAGGGTGGAATTTATCAGTCTGTGATCTCGATAATCGTCACCGAGTCAACGTATCGTACCCACCTTTTACGATTGGATCACATGCTTTCAAGGCTTCTGCTCGAACTGTTTTACGTAGTTCATCTTCTTCTCTATTGCTCAGTGCGATAGGAGCGGTTGTAAGAGTGAATGGCTGAGATTCTGTAGCACTTGAGGAGGTAGCCGAAGCCATTATTACCGTGGCTTGGTTTGGTCGCTGATGGTAGCTTGAGCAAAGGATGACGATCTTCAGATGTTACGTTACATCTTCTCAAATTGACGTTAGGCTAATTAACGATTTTAAGTAAGCATTCGGGCATTAAACCGTTCTTACGCGCTGCGCTAACACTTAAGCAGAAAAAGTTGGTCATTAATAAATGCTATTGTTACAGATGCATATATGGTAAAGTACAATCATGATCATTATCTTTTGGAGCTATCCATCGGTTTGGGAGGCAGATGACGCGGCCTGGCAGGAAGTGTCGATGAAGGTGTGGAAGGCTTCTTTTCCTCTTGACGATCTCTCATCGCTTGTAATTTGGCTTCCATAGCAGCAATGCGTGAATTGGTGGTATCGTTGCGTGTTAAGTTCTTGTTTAGACTGAGTGAAGTCGGTTTACTGGGTTCTTCAGCATGTCTCCCACCACTCCTCTTCTGCATTCCTCCGCGATAAAGCCGGGTATGATCAGCACTAGAATTGATGGAAGCGAATCCGATATGCATCTCTCTTCCACGTAATGGTTTTCCATCTAAGCTTGCTTTTGCTTTAGCAGCTTGATTCGCTTCTGCATATTCAACAAATGCATAGCCTTTTGGCTGACCTTTCTGTGGTCCGTTCTTGTGGAATACCAAGTCTAAGTTCTTCAAAGTGCCATAAGGTCGAAAAGCGGTGAGCAAATCATGTTCGGAAACAGATGAAGTGAGATTGGCGATAAACAGACGTACTTCCGAGTAAAGCTGCTCTGTCGGTGGCTTTGATTCTTGGCCGATCACAGACCTTTTATTGAGACCATAGCTTCCTTCAGCATTCGAAGAGGAGGATGCCATCAGGTCTCGATTGGGAAAAGCATGAGGATGGTTGAAGGAATGAAAGTGTGTGTGTGGAGTTTAATACCGCGTCTCGCTGCAGGGAAATCGGACAATAGATGAAAAAAAAAAGTTTAAAGTTGAACTAGCGGAATTGTATCAAGAAGAAATTGATTGAGAGGCAATTCACTACCATCATACCAAAGATGAGCTCGGATGATGATCATGAAGGTGGCTTGGATATGTTCGCAGAGCCAAAAGGCTTTCGACCCGCAACTCCTCCACCGACAGAGGCAAGGTATGACTTTCCAAAGTCTGTAGGAGGATCATCCTCTTCTCTTACCAGCTCGGAACCGATCATTATGTCTTTGGTGGGATCACACCCGCTCTGGGGACATCATCTATGGAATGCAGCTCCTACTTTGAGTGACTACTTGGTGCGAGAAATGCCGCAACTATGCAGCGGAAAGACTGTTCTGGAACTGGGAGCAGCGGCAGGTTTACCGAGCATCGTTGCTCATAGATTGAAAGCTTCAGTAGTTGTTTCGACCGACTACCCAGATAATGATCTGATCGAAAATCTACGCAAGAACTGTGATGGAAATACAAGCAGCACGGACTATAAGCTCGCAGTAGAAGGATACATTTGGGGATCAGATACCAGCAAACTCAAAGCACTCTTGCCGAAAGGACAACAGTACTTCGATCTACTGTTACTGTCGGATCTGATCTTCAATCACCAAGCACACCCTGCAATGCTGGCAACATTAGACAGCTGTCTACCACCTTCTAGACAAACCCCATCCGGACAGGACACGGAGGAGAGCTCATATGCCGGACCCCAAGCACTCGTCTTCTTCACGCATCATCGTCCACACTTGGCTCATAAAGATATGGAATTTTTCGAACAGGCCAGACAGAAAGGATGGATATGTACAGAAGTGGGAAAATGGAAGATGGCAGTAAGTACAGGAGATTTCTGTTGTGACCGAAATGATACTAAATATTAACCTTATTCACCTTTTAGCCCATGTTTCCAGAAGATCCAGGAAGCGAAGAAGTTCGGGCTACCGTTCACGGATGGCAGATATATCGATGAATTGTTCTAATTGATAAAGAGTTGCCAAGCCACGACGCAGAACAAGACATGCAGCAAGAACAAAAGTGTGATCTTGCCATGCATATCAGAAGAAGCACCATTGCTTTTTTGAGCCGAGGTTGCGTTTGAAGCACTTGTGGTCGAATTCGCCGAACCACTGGATGTAGTGTGATCTTGCATCATATCGCCAACCATAGGAGCAGTTCCGTTTGGATAAGCCGGTGGAGAGCCATCGTAGCTTTTGGTGAGATCCAAGGCAATTCCCGTGTCATGTCGATTGTGCTTGATGAGAGTTGCATCAACAGAAGCAGAAGCAGGCGAAGTTGGAGAATATGCGAAAACATGATTGACAGCGTTCAAGGAATCGTTTGTCATTGGCATATTCCATGACCAAATTGTCATACCAGTCATTGTACTTGAAATATCCGAATTCAACGAGAATGCTTTAACGGTTACTTCACTTGTTTTTGGTTCAATCATTTCTTTTGTACTTCTGTGTGAAGTTGTTAATGTGTTATCACCATTTACCCAATTGATTGCCATATTTGCATTTTCCATTTCTGTTCCTTGTGCAACACCGTACCAACCCAAAGGAGCGCCACCTTGTGGGACGATCAAGGTGTAGTTGATCATCTTGCTTGAGGGAACGTACAGTGCTGTGAAACAGTATCCATCACCACAGTGGGAATCTGAGGTCATACCCGTTTGAACTGCAACTTGTGCTTTTGCAAAGCCTGCCAAAGCGGGCAGAACATACCAAACAACGTTAAATCGCATGATTGTGATTCTACAGAGAGGGGATGGAAGAGTAAAAGTTGAAAAGCTGTTGTGTTTAAGAGAGAAGAAAGGTAAATGATGTTTATCCTGCCTTTGTACCTGCTTTGGCGCCCAGAACAGTTACACTCGAAGCGGAACCGGAATTTCTTGTCTTGATTTGTCATTGTGCTCTGACAATTTTCATTTTTGCGTTCTCTTCCAATTAGAAAAAAGTCTGCTTCATTTTTTCATTTCGTCTCAGGAGTAAACCGCTTTCGGTTCTCCTTTTCCTCTCATCATTTCAGCCCGCCCATCAATGCGGACCCGCTGATGAGTACGAGAGTATGCTAAAAGGGGCATTTTTCCCTACTTGCATGTCAATGTTCGGCACCTTTTTTTCGTCAAATGACCAATCACGCTCGGCTGAATATACACGCAAAGACCAATGCAAATGCTGATAATAATGAATGACAACATAAATACAAATGAAAATACTGTACAATTGAATTTGCGACATTTTTAATCCAAGATGATGATTGGATCCCCTTTTTTGCTGGACGGATTCTTTTCTACACGAACAAACTCAACACTGTCATCACTGCCTTGAGGCGGAATCATTCGTTCAGACTGCTTTCCATTGCCAATAGCAAGAACAGTTCGTTCGGCCTCGTCTTCGCTTCCGGATAAAGAATACGTAGACGATGACGCATGTGGCGTCTTGATTGCTTTACGTTTAGAGGGCGATGCGGTAGGAGAAGTGTGACTGAATGCGCCATCGATTGCGCCAATCAGAGAATCCGCTTTCGAAGTTCCAGCTTTTGGCGTGACTTTGGCTTTAGACGACGGCTTGAAGCCAGTTTTCTCTGAACGGAAAAAGGATGACAATCTTTGTTGTGATTCATCAAATGATTTCTTCTTTTCCTGTCGATTCTTTCGATCATTATCGACCTTTTCGCGAGCAGATTTACGCTTCTTGTACTCTTCATACTGTAATACACCCTCTTCTCTCAACAACAGGACTTCCAAAGGAAACCAAAGTCTGATTGGGTCTGATTGATCAAAGGGTTTAGCAGGTTTCCTGGGAGAAGTCTGTGTATCATTAGTCTCTGAAGGAGCGCTGCTTTCCAGTTCATCCTCTTCTGATATGCTCCGAATACTGAAGCCATCATCATCCACTCTAGCCGCAATTCCTTCATCGATACCAACTTCAACCGCCTGAGCCAGTTTGACAATATTGAATTCCACATAGACTTCCGATTCTCGATCTTTAAGAATCTCAAAGATTATATCTTGCGATGAGGGCTTTGCGACGTCTGATTTGTTTGCATTTGATTTGCTTGGAGCTGAAAGCATCGCACGCAAATCTCTTCCATGTACTGCTTTCTTCTTGCCTTTGCTGGGTGATTGAGATGACTTGCTAGGCGATTTAGGCGTACTGGTAACCGGTGTAGAAGACGGAGTGTGCAACTCTGGCAGTGGGTCGAGAGGTGCACTGATACGCTCGTTATGCATCCCTTTAAACCATTGTAGAAGGTGACCAATGAACACATTTTTCCGAACCGTCTTTTGAGCATACTCTTTATCCCATGCAAATAGAGTACAAGCAACTTTAGCAACTTTTTGTACATTGAATGCTTTTTGTTCAGGGATCGATTCACGATTGGAGATCGTTGGCCATACATATGCTGCCAGCACAATCATCGATTCTGGCGTAGACAGTATGTTCGAGATTACATCTGAGTTGGCAAGTTTGGATTGTTTCCTGCTCAGGTTCCCGCTTGCATTCGTGCGAAGCTCTTTTTTCATATCATCTTTCCATTCCTGTAAAAATTCTTGCCACTTGCCCTCCGATTTGATTCGCGGAGGCTTGGTGTGAGAAGTTGGCGGGTCCATATGTCTTTTCACAGCTTTCAGTAGCCGGTCATCAAAGCCACATTTTGAAAGTCCGATCGCAGTTCGTATTCCAAGTTGTCGTACACCGCTCACATCGTAGTCTCCTCCACCGAGTAATCCAATCAGTAAAACACAGGAAGCTGCATCCAATCCTTTTGCAAAGTCGTCCACTCGATACACGAAGACATAGTCACCTTGCTTTGCTTTGTCTGTGAATATACTCTGCTGAGATGAAGAGCCTACTTTTACCTCACTGCCATCATCAGATGAGAGCAAATCAGATTGCGAGCTTTGAGTTGAAGCTGGCGAGGATGCTCTTTTGCTTGTGTGTGCTTTTGCTCTTCTACTTTGAATAGCAGTAGTCCCAGATAGCTTTTCACCCCAGTTCCTGACTACAGTCTTGGCACCGAATAGAAAACAGTCGCTATCATCACTTAAGATAGCATCGATCAAGCCTCTTCTGTTCAAATCGGATAAGTCTGCTTCTGCTTCGCCTGGAGCTTGTAAGAGAACGAAACCAAAAGCCTCAACGAGTTGTTTGACTTGTATCTCTAGCTTGCCAAATAGGTTCCTTCCCGATGGCGTGCGTGTGAAGGGCGTCTTTTTGCCTCTTTTAAGAGCAGGTCTTGAGAATCCATCAAAAACAAAGACTGGAACGAGATATGGTAAAGCGGCTAATTTGCATAATCGGTAAAAGATTGTTCTTAAGAGCAAGAATTCTTTTCCTGCAATTGCATGTTTCATCCAAGCAGAAACATCGATCCCCAGTCGTACTTTATTTGTACCTTTTCCATCTTTTGCTAAGAATGTATGAAGACCTTTCAAGCTGACTTGATGAGCATGTTCGTATAATTCATTCCAGAGTAAAGGTATTCCCATCCTGTCATTCTCTCACCATTACCTCTGGTGTATTAATAAATAAAGTGCACTTGTATTCGTTATCAGGATGCCATTTTTGTTATGGTGTGTGTGTTGGAGGAAGTTCCAATTGATTGACCCAGAGTTAAGAAATACACGCGTTTAATGTGTTGTTTTAGCCCGGCTTGCCTTTCTTCTTCTCCGCGGGGTTGATAAATATTAATAGGAATCCCTGCATTAAATTCTCATGTAATACCCATGGATAAGCAGCAGCAATCAGGCACAAAAGCATGAAAACGGCTTGTTCGTAGCTAGTGCATTTATAATCAATTACCGTGCAGATTACCTCAATAGGTGGAGAAAAATGGATCTGAGATAATGCAAGCATACACAATTCGACTCTGGGAATGGAACATATGCAATATGATTGATTACCTTCCCTTTAATCTAGACACCATCATCCCCCTATCTTCATCATGTCAAAAGTTAAAGATCACCAGCAATCAAAGACAAAAACACTCACAGCTTCCGTGCTGTCTATTTCAGCTACCATTATTGCAATCTTGACATGCATTCAGCTCACAAAGGGTGGCATCTCCTCCCTTTTATCAATGCTTCACCTCCGTTCCAATGAAGCTCCTCCCTCAATTTCACAACGCATCACGGACATGTTTTCTTCATCCGATATCTCCTTCAAAACGATTGCAATCGGATTAGGATTGATTTATACCATCTTGGCAATCATTCCACGTATTCAAAAAAGCTTTCAAGCAGATCCATTAGCAAAGATTCCCATGATGAAACGAGAATCTTTTCTTTTTGGTAACTTTAATTCAGAGAAGTCTTCTGAATATGACGGACAAAAGACTATTGAAGCAGCACGCGAACTTGGCTCAAACGTTTTCCTCTTACCAATGCCAATGGGAGCTTGGCAATTGGTCATAGGTGACAGTATCGCTCTTAATCATGTCTTGGGTGATATTGCCAAATTTCCAAGTACGCCATTCCGTCACGAATTCATTCGATTTGTCGTTGGAGGAGGCTTGATCGTAGCAGACTCAAAAGCACATCCTCGTCAACGCCGTGCTTATGCACCTGCATTCACACAAAGTCATGTTCGTACACTTGCACCAATTTTCACCCAAAAGGCAGACGAATTAGGAGAAAAGTTGTTGACTTTTGCACGTAATGGAGGTCAAAAAGAATGGTCAAGCGATCCAAAAGGAGGCTCAGTCGTAAACTTTTCAGAAATGCTGGATTGTGCAAGCTTTGACATCATTGGAAAAGCTGGCTTTGGCGTCGATTTTGATTGTATTCAGCATGGTCTGAAAGGAGTCAAGCTTGCAAATGGATATCAAAATATGCTTCAAGTGAGTTTTGGTACAGCGAAGCGTATCACAGATCTGAACTGACATTTTTCCTTCTTTTTTTTCTTTAGGCATGTGTTAAGTTTGATGTGCCACGTATCCTTCTCATCATCTTCAGTAGCTTCACCCGTGCAAAATGGTTAGGCTTGCCAATCAATCATGCTAATCGTACGATCCGTGACCAAAATCTTGAAATTGATCAATGGTCACAGATGGTGATCGAAGAAAAGGTGAAGAAGACACAAGCAATGCTGGCTGACGGTGGTGATACCGCAAAAGATGATGGTAACGGTGAACCACTTGATTTGATGGAAAAGATTGTTCGTTCAAATGAAGCTTTGAGAAACAAGAATGACGCGATCACCGTTTCCGAAAAGGAGCTACGCGAAACAATTCGCTTGATCTTGTTTGCCGGATACGAGACAAGTTCGGTCGCAACCAGTCTTACACTCAATTACCTTGCTCACGATCAACGCATTTTGGGTAAAGTACAAACACAATTACTCGCATTTCTCGAAAAGAGACGAGAACAGAACGGTGGCGTGGATACCAGACTGAACGCTGATGAATTGCAAAGTGAAGAATTGCTCCTGTTGACAAATTGCATCAAGGAAACTTTGCGTCTGTCACCTGCTGTTATCAAATCTGACCGTCAAGCAGCAGAAGACTGTGTGATCCCGTTGGGAAGACCAATCCCGAGTCGAGATGGAAAGGAGATGTTACATCAAATTCACGTTCCAAAAGGTGAGTATATGCTAGAGTAAAATTATGACTTTTTTGCTGACCTGATTTGGTACTCCTTTAAGGCACTATTCTCGGAGCATGCTTTAAATTACCCAATTCCGACGAACAGATCTGGGGTCCTGATCCCGAACAATGGAATCCTGAAAGATGGACTAATTTACCCAACACTTACAAGAATGCAAACTTCCCCGGTCCTGCCGGTGTTGCAACATTCTCAAATGGACCTGCAAGTTGTTTAGGATCAAGATTTGCCATGTTGGAAATCATTGCACTCTTGGTTGGTGTTTTGAGCCGTATTCATTTGGAACCTTCAAAGTATGAAGTCAAAACGTCTCCTGTCATGGTTTCACGTCCTGTCATTAAAGGTATGGATATCGTTGGTTTACCTTTACGCATCACGCCACTTCCTCATCTTTCTTAAATTGTCACATATATTTTCGTTCCTGTACATATTGAGATTCCTTTACTATGTGAGATGCAACTGGGATTTAGAGCGCTTGATCAGACTTTGGAATGATGAATATCAGGGAAAAGGGGGTGAACACATGAATTCTGGAACACTTCATATGCGCGTTTGATAAGATAGAAGCAGATCGTGTAATTTCATCAACTCATGAACTTCATATGCCCAATTCTTTATTTTGGACTTCACTTTACCATTCCTGCCTTATATCTTGAAATGTAGAAGTCATGTAATAGACTCTCATGAAGATGAAATCAGGGCGCTTTATCCTATAAATACCCTTGTTTTCTCCTGGATATGGAGTCACCCCCCATCACCCATCATTAATCATCCAACATGTTCTTTTCAAGTAATACACAACAACCACCAGCCCCCGCAGAAGTGACGCCAAAACCTCGTTCGAGAACAAAGACAGTCGCAGCTCTCTTCCTTTCGGTTTGGGCATTGGTTACAGGAATCTTGGTTTTTATTCAATTGACAAAAGGTGGAATTTATTCTCTTTTGGCTTTACTTCATCTTCGCTCTAATGAAGCTTTACCTACCCTAACCCAACGTCTCACGGGTACACTCAACTACTCTGTTGGCTCGTTCGAAACACTGGCGATCGGATTGGGATCGATGTATATCATCATTGCTGCAGTTCCTTATATCAAAAGGGTTTGCACGTAGACCCATCAGTTAACGTCTTCGCTGGGCCGTGATCGATAAACAAGTATCTTTGGCCTTCTACGTATCACGCCACCTTCTCATCCAGCATCCTATCTACTCCCAATCTGACATACCTACATAACCGTTCTCACGATCATTACAAATTCCATTCATTTATCTTGCATTTGACAATGGTCTCGCTATGATGATTATGTGATCAACTCTTACGTCCGTAAATCCCAATTTAATATCGCACGTGTGAGTTATCCTTGCGATTGCGTGATTTGGATCCAAAATGACGTTTGCCACTTTCACTGTTGATCCAGCGCAGTTTACGACTCTAGCGCGCGTTTAGAGGCGCTTAATGGAGGCTTACCTATTTTTACTGCATGCATGTTAGGTGTTCGGCCATAAACAACCAAAAGCCACTGTACAGACGAGTTGCCGCTTAAGAAGAAATTCGAATCAGTCAAAACGCATTCTAGGCGCACGACAGGGCAAAAAATAAAAAATAAAAGTTTCCGTAACTCCTCCTCATTTCGTTCTTCAAATTCTTCCTGCTTTTGGTGGAGAAAAAACAAAACGAATGAAATGTTCGGATGTAAGAACCTAGTTTATTGTAGTTTGGAATGAGATCAAATCCCGTACCCCCGATAAGCGCACGAGAGTGAAAGTGAGAAAGAAGCGGCTACCTTTCCCTCCTTTTACGTGCGTAGTGGAAACAATAATCCCTTCTTCATTCAATTGCCCGCCCCCCTCGGATCTCACTTTCCTTCTACTCCATCTACCCCGCCTAGACGCCTTTCCTCCGATCTATATAAAAGGCAATAAAGATCCATATAGAATTTAGAGAATAAACAAACTATCTCTTTGCTCATCACGGTCATCAACATACAGGTTCAATAGACAAAATGACCTCTGCCGTACCATCCGCTTCGGCATCATCTTCACAACAAAGACTACAAGATGATCAACAGATCAAAAAGGTAGTCGATAACCTACCATCAATCAATAGACATTTGGCAGAAGCAACACCAGAAGAGATTCTAGAATGGTCAATCGAGAATCTACCAGGACTATACCAAACAACCGCTTTTGGCGTCACAGGATGCGTCACTCTTGATCAGGTCTCTCGCATTTCATCAGAACGATCACAAAAGCTTGCTGCTACCACAGGACAACCTGTTCAACACAAACACTTGGTTCCTCTCATCTTCCTTGATACACTATACCACTTCCCACAAACAATCGCCCTGGCTGAACGGGCAGCACGCCATTACGATGCACCAATGTACATCTACCGACCCAAAGGATCCAACACTGCACCCGAATTTGAACAACAATGGGGTCAAAAGCTATGGGAACGTGATGAAGATACATACGATTACGTTGTCAAAGTTGAACCAGCACGAAGAGCATACGAAGAATTGGGCGTAAGAGCCGTATTCACGGGAAGAAGACGCAGTCAAGGTGACGATCGTGCAGAATTGGCAGCAATTGAAGTTGATGAAACTGGATTGATTAAAGTTAATCCTTTCTTGAACTGGTCATTCGGTCAAGTCGATGCATATGTCAAAGCAAACGCTGTCCCATACAACGAATTGCTCGATATGGGTTACAAGAGTATTGGTGATTGGCATTCAACCGCCTTGCCGGGCGCAAGCGGTGGTGAAAGATCAGGAAGATGGAAAGACAAGGGCGGAAAGACTGAATGTGGATTGCACAAAGATTACTTCAAGATGAAATTGGTTGCCGAAAAGAAGATGCGTGAAGCTGAATTGGCACGCAAAGATGAGGCAAAGGATAAAGCAGAACAAGTCGCAACTGGTGCTGAAGCAGTCGCTGTTGCAGCATCCCAATAAGCTATCAAAAAATGTACATACTCTTCATTACACATTTGTAACAAAAGATTAATGAAAATTTAGTAAATGTCTGATTTGCAGGGTATGAATGTGCACAGTTAGCAAGGATAATGCGAAAAAATAGTACATGAATACTGTTTACATGATTGTACATTCATCGTCTTTTCCGCTGGTTTGTTGAGCCAATTTGTTGGCAAAGCCAGAGTCACGATATGCTCCTTGTGGTGCATTTGCAGCGCCACCCAAATGAACTAGCAAGACACCTGCATTCTTTGGGTCCAATTCGGCAGCGATACCGTAATCCTTCATGAGTTTCTCGATGGCAGGTTTGATATGAGCGACGTGATCCTTGGAATGAATACCTTTTCCGACAATAACTCGTAATTCTGGCATTCCTTTACCTTGTGCTTGTCGAATTGCTTCTTCGGTTTTTTGGATAGCTTCTTGTGTGTACAATCCGTGTAAATCAACTTCGTTTGGTCCACTGTCTTCGTTGTTTGCATGATAAATCCAATCAGCTGCTTCTCCGTTCAATTGTTCCATTTTGCGCTTGTGTTCGTGTCCTTCGTTACTCAATTGTTTTGCTCTACCACCATCGCCGTTTGAATAAGCTTTATGAGAATCATCAAAACATCTGGCCATCTTATCACCTTCTGAACGTGCTTGGTTACGTAATTGCATATATCTTTCATTTTTTGAATTGATTTCGTTATCGTTATAACGTCCATGATGTGGTTTAACACCTGCAGGAATGTTTGCAGGTGCGTTTGGATGTCCGTATTGTCCTTGTGGTGGTGGATGATCCCATAAGTTTTGACCTTGTCCTCCGCCGTATTGAGGTTGTTGTTGTTGGTATGGTTGTGGGTATCCTGGTCCTTGTTGTTGGTATGGCTGCTGTTGTTGTTGATGTTGTTGACTACCATAGTAGCCTGCTGCTCCACCGGCTGCGCCTCCTGCCCCAGCTGCTGCTGCTGTATTCTTTTTGTTTTTCAGGAAATTAAAGATCTTTTTCCCGATCGCCATAATCTGACGACGATGGGTCTTGAGGAAGTATACAATATCGTTCGCCATGATGAATGACGTTGTAGAGGGGTGAAGTTGATAGGCTGGTGTATTGCCTATTGATGATCACGACTGGAGAGAATGACGGATGTATAAGAAGCACGAAGATCTTTTTCTCTCATATTAAATCGGCTATTTAATCTTCAATCGTTGCCTGTCAAAATAGCGTGTCTACAATGTATATTAGTTAGCGCGTTTTGAGAGAGAGGGCCAACCGCGTAATGTAATGAAGAAGGGGCATTCATTTCCCCTTTTTACGGTAAAGATCGGACGATGGCATGCCAAAAGAAGAGCACAACACACACTTTAAATCTCCACCTTTTCCCCTCTTTCTCCCGCTCATTCAAAGCGCGTAAAGGTTAACACAAAGGCTGCTACTCTCTTTCTTTCTATACCATACCACATCACAACCCAAGCAAAGATGCCATCTTCATTGGATGGAGAAAAGTCATACTTTGCACAAAGGTATGGATTGACTGGTTTGGAATTAGCAACTCTTGCTGCTACTCCATTGTATGCATTGAGCGCGCTTAGAAAAGGTCAATTTAGCATTCGCAGTTTAGTCAGGTATAAGTGAGTGTGTCGAGAAGGAAAGATATGATATAGCACTGTTCATTGACATTTTCCATCTCTGCAGCTGGACTGTGCCACTCATCGGAGGTACAGCAGGAACGGCAACTGCATACGGAATCACTTCTCAAGAAAGCTCTGCTGCAACTGCTTCACGTACATTCTCACTGAGAAAGGATGCCAAGCAAATTCGACAAGATGATATGTTCCTCGTCGGTGCTTTGGTAGGATCACTTCTCACGCCCGCTTTGTTCCTCAAGAGAGCAGGTTTGATTAATGGATTGCTTGGTGGTGCAGGTTTAGGAGGAGCGGGTGGATTGATCACATTCTTTGCACAAGGCGATGGATTGGAAGGATTGCTGGAGCAGGGTAAACAAATGGCAGGTAGCAGTGAGAGTATAGGCGAAAAAGGTAGATCATTACTAGGCCGGGCAACTGACAAAGGAGTAGCATTGGCAGAGCAAGCTGGAAGTACGGGCAAACAATATGCCCTCGGTGCAAAAGCAAAAGGAGAAGAGGCTGTCAAAGAGCAGCAGCAAAGGGCATGAATGAGTAAGTTTCAATTTTGTTTTTTTTGGACATCTTTCGATACCACATCATCCATTCAAAATATTGTGTCTTCATGTAAATTATGATTAAAACATTGATGCGAAATGAATACAGAAAATGCTTTTTTGACAACGGCTATTCTTTGCCTGCTTTCAGGTCTTCAATTTCCTTACGCCATTGCAAGAATTTGTTGATTCTGTCGAAGATAAGCGTGTCAGCATTCAACCAATTCCATACCATTCTTAGACCCTTTCTACTCACCCTGCTTTTCCCTGTGCAAAGTCTCCGTCTTTGGACAAAGTGGTTCCTTCACCTTTGAACAAATCAATCACTTCATCCAAAGCTGCTTCTAATTTATTGAGTGATTCTTTAAGTGCATATGGATTTTCGATCGCATGAAAGATTGAAGGACCTTGTTGACCTTCTTTACGTTCAGGCATATAACTTCCACTGTTTGCATCGGTTGTAGGATGAACGCCTCCCGGATTCTCGGCTGATGCTCCTGGTCCTTTGTTTACCACTCCCGTTGCAACTGATCCATCTCCTGGAAAGTGTGGATCTTCGTTTACGTTATTTGGCTTAGACATTTTTGTTGTTGTTGGAAGATATGATCATACATTTTCAATAGTATTTGTCAGGTACATTGAATTTGTTTAGCGTCAACGTCATTGTTGTATTTGGGTAAGGATGCAGAAGAATGCGCGCAATTAGACCGAAGTGGAGGAGAAGATCGCGCTTTGGGTATGTGTACCCAGCAGCGCTTAGGCGGAGATGCTCTGTAAGGCAACTTACCAAAGTGGCTAATGGGTTGGTCTCGAATTATTTCGACCTTGCTTAGCGAGGGTAATCGTGCTAAACCAATGGGCTCTGCCTGCACAGGTTCGAATCCTGTAGTTGTCGTCAATTAGCTCCTGACGGATCGTTTCGATCTCAACTTTTTGCTGCAAGCAATGGATTATCTTTTTGATATAGAAAACAGTGAATATAATCATTGGATCCACAGAAGAGAGTACAAGCAGTATGTATGAGCAATGAGCAACATGAACAGCGATTAATATCTGCAAATGCATTGATTATCCCATCACTCTTTCTTTTGTATTTTGATTCCTTCTCGCAACCATGATAGAGGTACAAGTCGTAGAAACAACTGTAATCTTGCACCTACAATAAAGGTTGCTTAATGAGTGAAGGAAAGGAAGAAGTGATGATGAGAAAAATGCCATATTTCAACGCGTCCATAAATGCAACCAAACTTATTCTCACGTGTTCGGAATGTATGAACAATTGACTCTCTAAGACGAGCTTGGTGATGGGTATAATGTAGTATTGCGATAGAATATCTTCTTAAGAACCTTTAGCCCCTACAATGATTCGATCGGATCCGCAATTGTGTTAAGATAAGGTCCAATACACTCGATCAAGCAAATTTTCTCCATTCCTGATTGTTCTGATTATGTCAGCATTTTTACGCGTCGGCAATTTTTTAAGGTTTCCTTTGAAGCTTGGAGGGAGAGGAGCAGTCAAAATGATTGAAATGTGTAGATCTGAAACAAATAGGGCGGGGGAGAGTGATAAAGTGCTTGTTTATCGAATAATGCATCTAAACTGTACATGCATAAATTCTCTCACTCAAGCCCAAGCCTCCATTCCATTCTCTCTCTCTTTTGAATTTGCGGTGATTAAACAAAGGAAGCAAGAAGAGCTTTACTTTCTCTACACCATCATACTGTCAACTAAATCATACCATCCCACCCCACCACCAAGATGAAGACCGCACGTCGTAAATCAACTCCTCATCGCTCGCCAAGCGCTACTGTTTACCCTGTCAACACAAACGGTAGCTCTAGCAGCAGTCAAGTAAAAGTGGAAGATAAACAACCTTTTGAATTGCATGATCGTGCTCCGGCTACATTTGGTACGCCTGCTTTGCAATCACTAATTTATGCAACCTCTAATGATCGTTATCCAGGTGCACCAGGCACTCTCTTACACAAAGCAAAATTGGAAGCAGCAAGAGCATTGGCATCCAAACAACGTGAAGCACAACGAGAAGCAGAAAGACGTGAAGAGATGAAAAGATTGGGAATACTCGGAATGGGCAAAAAGAGATCAACAGCAAACGGTAACGGAAGCACAAACGGTAACAGTCGATTTGGAACACCTCCAACCAGCGATCGTACACGCAGATCCAACCCAGCATCCGGCAATACCACAAACGGAAACGGTCATACAGCATCAGTGACGAACGGGACATCCACTAGACCTGGAAGAGGAAATGGAAGGAACGTCAGTAGTGCAATCGATCATAATGCACTTCCGACGCCAGCATCACAACCTGATGCCAAACAACAAAACGGTGTCAGTAGTCCACTCTTATCCTCTTCTGGAAGGCTAAGGAGGCCAGCAAGCGGAAGTAGAGGTACAAGTCCGATGCCTCTAACTGGATCATCTACAAATGGCTCTGGCATGGTCACACGAACAAGATCGCCAATCGTTGCTCCTTTGGAATTGGACGATGATGCTAAAGTTGGTTCAGGTGCATTAGGCTTAAGTTCATCATCAGCTAATGGCGTCTTAGCCTAAATTGTCTATGGAAGCGTATAGAGTATGCTGGGCGTCATTATCTCTCTCTTCTTGTATGATTTTTATGGATTGAATAATATACGTCCTCTTTTGTGGTAACCGCCGACAATGCTGAGAAGTTAGCTGGCTATCAATCACCACTCGGATCGTTGCATCCTTGACGTCGGCCCGCGCCTTGCAACATATCTGATAGCCTTTCTTGTGTACCTAATTTCGTCAAACCATGTGTAATTGGGTTCCTTGCAAAATTGGGGTCACATTGCCGGACTTTGCAGTGGACAAGATATATTGACATGTTTCTTGCTTGCGGATCCGCGCTTTGATATTTGTTGATCATGTCTTGATGAGGAAATGTCTTACAAAACGCCTAAAGATGTACATTCTACATCAGCACCAACCATCTCCTTTCAAATGCATACCCAGCATGCGACTTTCCGTACGAACTCTGGTCTTTGTTGCGACTTTGATCGCTTTGGTTGTTTGGCCGATCGAAGGCAATAACCACAAACATCCTTCTGCTCGTAGACTCGTATACCCTCCAGTGCGCAGGGTCAATCAAACTTGGTCTTATCGTTCAGCAAAAACGAATGGCAATGTGACTTTTGATGATCCATACTACTGGCTAGAAGGATCAAATGACGATAAAGATATTCAACAATTCATCGCCGATCAATCCAACGTTACGGAAACGTACATGCAAGGCTGCAAGGAGAAAGATGCGATCCTTAAATCACTTACCGAAGCCAGCACGTATGACAGATACAATGATGTCGAGCTTATTGAACCAAACAAGGGCGGAAATCCTTTCTATATCTATAGCCTCATTCGAGCAGGCGATCAACCACCGGTTTGGTACACAGCATCTGTTGCAGAATTCAAATCTGGCAAGAAAATCAATTTCGAAACACCTCCTGGCAAGCCATTCCTTAATGAAACATTGTTGAGTCCAGACGGTACAGACAGCATCCTTTATCACAGTACATCGCCCGACGGAAAAATATTTGGCTACCTCGTCGTAGGAAATGGTGAAGTAGGAACATGGTATTTCCGCCGCTTTGATTCTCCATTGGTGAATGTCAAGACGAGGCCGAGCGGTGGAGAAGGACGATTGAATGACACCCTTCTGTTGAGTTCTGATGCGATTTTATGGACTCCTGATAGCGGTTGTATTTTCTATTCGCAGACTGTTAATTCAAATGGTGGCACAAATACAGATCTAGACTACAAGATTCGTTATCACGCTTGGGGGACTGATAATACAAACGATATTACGGTATTCGATGGAAAAAATGCTGGTGAATTAGGGATTCTCACTTATTTCTTCGCTTTTTTGAGCAAGTGAGTACATAGTGGTGCTTTATCCGAACGTATACTAACTACAAACATGCTTAATCACTGCAGTGACGGTCGCTGGCTTATCATCTCGGGATCTTACGAGGTAACGACTGAGAATATGGTTTCTTATGCCACTTTGCTCGAAGGTCAGAACATTTCCGAGAATATGAAATGGATCTCTCTCGCACCATCTTAAGATTTCTCATTGTACCCCATTGGAGTAATCAACAACACGTTTTACATTAAAACAAACAAAGATGCAAAAAATTTAAAAGTTTCCAAGATTCATCTCGACTGGAATAAAGCAAAACAAGTGAAAGACTTTACAGAGCTGCAAGATAGGCCGGAAGTGATTGATGTGATTCCTGAGCGCAACAATGCTTCAATAACCCCCTTTGATTTCGGACCTTATATGATTGCTCAAGACAAGATTGCAGCTGTATACGTGGAGAACGGCCAATATACTTTGTATGTGTACCATGCCGAAGATGGTAGATTGATTCAGCGATTGATACCAGATGGTAAGTGGTGTTTCAATATGTGCTACAGAATGATAGCTAACATGACCTTTCTTTTCCTTATCGTAGCGAAAGGTAGAATTTTTCAGGTGACAGGAAACCAGGACAGCACTACGCTCATTGTAGCATTCACAACTTGGAATCATCCGAGGGTATTATATGAATTCGTGGTCAATGATGATCACGTAGACACTTCTATTGTCACGGCTCAACGTATCACAGGAGCGAATCCGGATGACTTTACGATTGAGGAGATCTATGCTACTTCCAAAGATGGTACAAAAGTACCCTATTTCATAACATACCGCAAAGGCACTAGAAAGGACGGAAAGAGCCCTTTATGGTTACACGCATATGGTGGGTACGGTATAGTCGATAACCTTTACTACAAACCGAGCTATTTTGACTTTTTACGAAGCTATGACGGATACTTTGTCTGGGGATCACCACGGTGAGTAAAGAAAATCCTTGACACAGTAATTTCCCTACTGATGACCCTTTCATACTTTGCAAAGAGGTGGCGGTGATAAAGGAGGCGATTGGCATGATGCTGCGACTGGATTGAAGAAACAGAAGACATTTGATGACACTCTTGCAATACTCAATAGTGTGGTTGCCTTGAAATACACTTCACCTGGAATGATCATCGTAGAAGGAGTCTCGGGAGGTGGAATGCTTTTCGGTGCGGTAACAAATCAAGCAGCTCAAGGCTTAATTGGAGTATCTCTTTTGGTAAGAGCACCTTTGGATATCTTTGAATTTGAATTACGTAACACTATAGGAGCCTTTAATCGTGAAGAGTTGGGAGATGTTACAACTCCGGAAGGATTTGATGCCGTCTTTGCATGGTCACCATATCAGAACATCGATCCACATAAGAGCTATCCCGCCGTATTTCTAACGCCTGGAACTGGTGACGAAAGGGTTCCGCCCTCACATAGCTACAAATTCCTTTCCAAACTTCAATATCTTCATCCGAACAACAAGTCGCCACTTTTGATGTACGTGCAAAAGGATAAAAAGGGGCATATTGCTAGCACAGCTGAAGAGAACATTTATCAGTTCTGTATCATTGAAGAATCCTTAGGGATCTCGAGAAGAAAAATGTAGGCGCCTACCTTGTGCCCTTTTAGTTAAAGATCAATGTTCATACTCTTCCTATGTCAAGTCAATGGTGACAATTCGAGCTCACATGACTATCAACGCTTTGAGCGGGGTTATACAATTGTTTACCAACAAGCTGTGCTGCCCGATCTTCAAAGAAACGGCTTCCGTCTTTTTGTTCTATTTTGATTAGCCAGGGGTTGAATTCATTTTACTGTGGCGGAATTGGCAGCGCGGAGATGAAGGATTGGATTCATACAATCATACGGATCCGCATTGTAGTTACTTGAGTGCAGTTGCACAATCTAATTTCCAACTACCCACTGATAAAAGTAAATGCAACTCTTGTCTTTTTCACCGTCATAACCACTCTTCTCATGATCATCCCAGAGAAACATAATCATGCGTTTTATTGTTCCTTTTCTCGCCTTTGCCCTCATTTTGGAATCTGTCATATTGGCTGTTCATCCCAAAGGTCGAAAAAGTCTACCTACAAGTCTTCCTGCTTATCCCAAGGTACATCGAGTGGACAAGACATGGTCATACCGCTCGGCCAAAGCAAAAGGTAATGTGACGTACTCTGATCCGTACTTTTGGCTCGAAGGATCAAAGAATGATAAAGACATTAAAAAATTCATTGCAGATCAAACAAATACAACGGAAACATACATTCAAGGCTGGAAAGGAAAGAACACTACTGTTCAAGCATTGAAGGATGCAAACTATTATGACAAGTACGGGTATGTCAAGTATATCTCCTCAAATACTGGAAGAAACCCTTTTTATCTTTACAGTTTAGTCCGCGCTGGAACAGATGGGACCGTTTGGTATACTGCTTCGATTCAGAATTTCAAGCTGCAAGAAAAGAAAATTTTAAGAACCCGCCAGGTAAACAGTTCTTAAACGAAACTTTACTAAGCGCAGATGGAAGTGCAAGTGTGCTGTACGTTAATGCTTCACCAGATGGAAAAGTGTTTTGCTATCTCGTAATCACAGCAGGTGATGTAGGAACATGGTATTTTCGTAATTTCGATTCACCTCTGGTACACGCTAAAACGTTTCCCGATGGCGGTGAAGGTAGATTAAAAGATACGCTCACAGTAAGTGCCGATCAATTATTCTGGACTCCCGACAGTAAAGCAATATTCTCACCTAAGACTGTCGAGACGGATGAAGGCACAAATCCTACTCTTGGATACAAAATGCGATACCATGTCTGGGGAACGGAGGAATCGAAGGACATCATCATTTTTGATTTCAAGAAAGCAGGGGATCTTGGTGAATATTCGTTCTGTTATACGTATTTCAGCCCGTAAGTCCATTTCGTGTGTACGATATTGATATTTATTGTGACTGACTTTCTTTATCACACACACAGAGATGGTAAATGGCTGATCATATCTTTGTTCTTGGATTCTGAATACAACATGATGACGTACGCCACAAGACTTACAGGTCAAAAGATCTCTGAAAACATGAAATGGATCTCATTATCGCCTTCATACAATTTTTCCATGTTTGCAGGTGGTGTTATTGACGATACATACTACTTCTTAACAAATAAAGATTCAAAGAACAGAAAGATTGCAAAAGTTCACCTTGATTGGAGCAAGGCACGCAATGTACACAACTTTACTGAATTGCAAGATCAGCCAGAAGTTTTTGATGTGATTGCTGAACGCAAAGATGCATTAATCAACTTTGATGGTTTTCGCATCACAAATAGGGACAAAGGTTTGGTAAATTACATCGAAAATGGTCAAAATACGTTGTATTCATATGAACTCAAGACGGGTGAATTAATTCAGCGACTACTTCAGAATGGTGAGTTCTTGGCAAGGTGGACTAAGCTTGGTTCCGTATAGGCTAACCACTCCTGAATCCAGAGCAACTTTCTTATACCGACGATCGAGGCGATCAAAATAGCAATATCATGATCATGTCTTTCGATAGCTGGAATTCACCAATCAAAATCTTTGAGTTCAAATGGATGAATGGACAACTCGATACTTCAACCGTATTGACAGGTCACATCAAAGGTTCCAGCCCGGATGATTTTACAATCGAAGAGTTTTATGCAACCTCAAAAGATGGTGCAAAGATTCCATACTTTCTGACTTACCGTAAAAATATCAGGAGGACAGGCAGTAATCCTACTCTCGTCAACGTTTACGGTAGCTACGGAGATGTTTATAGTCTATATTATCGACCTGACTACTTTGATTTCATCCGGAGCTACGATGGCTATATGGTCTGGGCTGGAGTACGGTGAGTTTGATTTGCCTTTCCGGACAGTAAAGCAGTACTGACACTATGTCTTGTCATTATTGTAGAGGCGGTGGCGATAAAGGTGGATCATGGCACGAAGCTGCGCAAGGATTGAAGAAGCAAAAGACGTTTGATGACACAATTGCAATTTTGGAAGACTTAGTCAAACGAAAAATCACTTCACCGGGAAACCTTATTCTGGAAGGTAATTCAGCTGGTGGGTTGGCTGTAGGAGCAGTGGCCAATCAAGCCCCTGAAGGTCTTCTTGGCGCTGCTTTTCTCGTCAGAGGAATCTGTGACGTGTTCCAATTGGAGTTACGGTCAACAATTGGAATGGGTAATGCTGATGAATTTGGTGATGTGACTACGCCTGAAGGGTTCGACTCAGTTTTTGCCTGGTCTCCGTTACAAAATATCAATCCAAAGAAACAATATCCTGCTATTCTAGTAACGCCAGGATTGTTTGATGAGCAAACTCCTCCTTCCGGTTGTTTCAAGTTTGTTGCTCAGATGCAATATGATCACCCCAAAAATAAAAAGCCGTTACTGATGTACGTCAATCCGACCGGCGCTCACTTATCTGTCACGATTACGGAATTGTCTTATCAGTTCTGTATCCTGGAGGAGACCTTGGGTATTCGAAGAACAAAAGACGAATAGTCTTTATCTTCATTCAATAGCCCTCTAGAGAGTAGCAACCAGATCTGCATCATTGAAGAAACTCTGTGGATCAAAAGGAGAGCTATCTAATGGTAAAAGAGCTCAAACAAGCGACAGGAACTTTTTAGTCCCTGGATATGATACTAGCATTTCTGACTTATCCTCCTCTGTAACTGTTCAGACCTTTTTTATATGGTTCCGTATTTCAATTTATATTTTGTTGATTATAAAGAAAATCTCCCGCTCTTTGGCGTAATACGCAAATTACGTTTGAAATATGAAAACTCGTCCCATGTGATGTACGTGCCACTCATCCTAGCGGTTTATCGGCATCATTAAACACCTTTATACCATCAAATTTTCGCATATCGCGGATCATACATGTCCAAGAGCTATACGGATGCCTGAACATCCGTCTGCGGCGTCAATCGGAAATATCTGCCCACCCAATTCGATTCACGCATGACTTCGTTGTGATCTTAACATAACAGTACTCAGCGGCAGCGGAACAACAACTGCCGATATCAGAGAAAGTTCTGCCGATAATGACGCACAAAGAGTGGAAATCCTACATTAAAGAATTTCTTGCCTTTCTACCATCGCACTTCGAGTAGAATGCAAACTATGCTGTCGCCCTCTTTTCCATTCTGGTCAACCTTGGTGGCCGTCATCTTGTTGCATACTGCCCCAATTCAAGCTGTGCCTTCTCCGACTGATTCAACACTCTATGCACGCAATCTTTTACCCGCATGGGATCCAAAATCTAATCCTTACCCATCTGTTCGTCGTGATGACGTAAGTTACACGTATCAATCTACCGCATCAAAGGGTAATGTATCAGTTGCAGACCCCTACAACTACCTTGAACCGTCCCCCGCTTCATCAAAGGAAGTTCAATCATTCATGGAGAAGCAAGCTGCTTACTTCAAAGGTTATACGCAAAACATGAAAGATATTGAGGCAGTTCGTGCTTCTATCAAAAGTGCTGGCAACTATGATGAACTTCAATTTCCACAAGCATTTGGTAGCAAGGAGAAGCCGTTGTATACGTTCTATTATAGAGAGATTGATAAGGAAAGCCGTTCATATTATGTCGCTACCCAGGCAGACCTCGAGCAAGCCTACAAATCCAAGTTCTCACCCATTCCAGGCAAGATTGTGCTTGATGAGGCATCTTTAGGTAGCGATATCTATACCTACTTTCAAAATATTTCTCCTGACGGCAAGAAGTTCTTATATCGTACAATGGTCAAATCTAGCAAAAAGCCAGGTACGATTCATGTACGGGATATTTCGGATATCTTTACAAGCTCTAAACCTCCAAAGGATTATCCTGAGCAAATTACAGGCAATTCAGATACATCGGATGGCTGGACTTTAGACAGCAATGGTTTCTTCTACTTGCATAACGACCACGATTATGCTGACGGGACAGACACGGTCTTATACCACAAAATAGGAACGCCCGTTTCGGATGATATCGTTGTCGCCAAAGCAGACAAGGATGCATATGAGTCGTTCATCTTTCAACTTTCGAATGACAAAAAGTTCATCGTCTTATTCGTTTCCACCTCTTCTGACAAGTCTCGAGTCTATGCAGCCTCTTTGGATCAACCAATCTCTTCAAATATGAAATGGATCTCAATTGAGCCAGAAGAAGATTTACAGTTGGAATATGTGACAAATCTCGGAAATGAATTCTACTTTGTCGCGAACTATGACAATGAGAGTAATGAAGTAGTGAAATATTTCGTTGATTCGACAAAGGCAGTTCAAGTTGCTTTGGGCAAATTGAAGAAATTGAAAAGTAAAGCAAAAATTGAGCCAACAGTTATTCCTGAGGATAAGTCTGCTCTCATTGATCGGTTTACCACATTCGACACGGATAAGATGCTCCTCTGCTATACTCAAGACGCAAAACGAAACTTCTACATCTATGACTTGAAGTCAGGTAAACGCATTCAACACGTTTTACCAGACTTTGTTGGCAGCTCTAGCGCAATCACTTCTCTAGCAAGTGGAACGGATATGTTTCTATGGTCGTGGACATTCAATACGCCTGAACAGCTGTACCACATCAAATGGAATCAAGAGCAAAACTCAGCAACTTCTGACTTGGTATTTGAGGCAAAGCTAAAATCCATCGATCTTTCACAGTTCACCGTTGAACTGAAGTATGCCACCTCAAAAGATTCCACAAAGATCCCATTTCACCTCTTTTATCGTAAAGGCATCAAATTTGATGGCACAAGGCCAGCAATGCTCAACTTTTTTGGTGCATTTCGGGTTATTTGGCTTCCGTTTTATGATGCTTCGTACATGACATGGGTGAACGACTACGATGCAATCTATGTTGAGCCATACCCTCGCGGTGGTGGAGAAGTAAAGGCGGAATCATGGCATCAAGCCGGTATGCTTGGCAAAAAGCAAAACACTCTCGATGACGTGAACGCTGTCATTCAATATCTGATTGACAACAAGATTGCAGCAAAAGGTAAAATCGTCATGTATGGTCAATTCGCAGGCTCAACTGCAACAATGGCTGTCGTAAATCAAGGTCCAGAAGGAAACATTGGTGCGGTGATTTTGGCAGATGCTCTGTATGGATCCTATGGCGAGTATGATCTTTTGCGACTTGATACTGTTCCTGGCACTTCACGAGATGTTGCAGAATACGGTGACCCACATAATCCAGACGCATTCGATTGGCTGTACAAGATTTCACCTTTGCATAACGTGAACAAAACCAAAATCTACCCTGCTGTTATGTTCCAACCGGGGAATGATACTTTATCTAATTGGCATGGTAGAAAGATGGTCGCACAACTTCAATATGATTTACCGAACAATCCAAAACCTTTCTTGTTCAATTCACCGGATCAAGCATTGACAGACGATGAGAATGTTGAACAAAGGTACTCATTCCCAATCGCTTTTGCTTCTCATGTTCTTGAATTACAGCGCAAAAGTCAATAGCATGTATTGTCAGACCGACCAGTAAGGTCACAGCAAATGAATGAAATACATTGTTTGACAAATTGGCGAATTGAGTTCGTATTGCATTTCATATGCGTATTCATTTATTGTAGCTTTGCGTGCTATGAAGTAGCATACTCGGATATACATTATAAGCGTCTGAATCGGCTCATAAATCACCGTCTTATTAAATATATATTGCGCCAGTGCTGAAGACGGGTTATGATGATCCGGCTATATTCTAAAAATGGAGATTTGCGCTGTTCTTACATGTCGTACGTCAGGAGGTTAGTAGCCGTGTTCAGAATTTTGTGATATTAACCTCTCTTCGAAGCCGTAAAAAGTCGGAATATAAAAGTGTGAGTGTGATTGAGTACGGGATTGAACGACCCTTTGTACTTTCGAGATGCCTTTTGCAAAATGAGACCGATGGCTTCAAGCGCATATAAGCCACATATTTCCACGAACTTGTCTCACCCCATCACCTCTTTTGCAAGGCAATCATGTTACAGTTCTCCTTCCATCTCGCAATTTCAGTCGCTCTCACTGTGTCGCATTTTGCGTTCATCCAAGCAATTCCTTTTCCAAATGGCCAAGCACTCTATACTCGCAAAGCTCCATCCCAAGCGACATCAGGTTGGGATCCAAAATCGACTCCGTACCCATCTGTTCGTCGTGACGATATTGTGTTCTCTTATCAATCTGCAGCAGCGCATGGTAATGTTACTGTTGCTGATCCTTACAACTATTTGGAACAATCACCTGCATCTTCAAATGAAGTTCAAACGTTTATTGATCAGCAACGTAGCTTTTTCAAGACTTACTCAAAGAAGTTTAAGGATTTTGATGCAATCCGCGAATCAATCAAGGACGCAGGACACTATGATGAATTGCAATTTCCTGAAGCATTTGGAAGCAAGGACAATACCTTGTATACGTATCACTATCGAGAACTTGGAAGTGATAGTCGTATCTTCTACGTTGCAACTCAAGCCGATCTTGAACAAGCCTACAAGACCAAATTCTCTCCACTTCCCGGTAAGAAAGTGTTGGATGAAGCTTCGTTGGGGAATGATAGTATTGCATTTTTCCAAAACATCTCGCCTGATGGTAAAACATTCTTGTATCATGCAAGTAAAAAGGCTGTTCCTGAGCTTGCTACGATCTATACCCGCGATATCTCAAACATCTTCACAGACACATCTGAGACAACTTTGAAGGACTCTCCAGAATTCATTACGGGTACCTCGGATGCATCTGATGGATGGACATCAGATAGCAAGGGATTCTTTTACATGCGTAACAATGCATCATACGATGACGGTACAACTTCTATCCGATACCACAAGCTGGGCACGCCCGTTCAAAGCGACACTGTCATTGTGAAGCCAAACAATGATCCAAGTCAGACGATGGACTTCGAATTGAGTGACGACAAGAAATTTATCATTGTATATGTGTATAATGACAATGATAAGGCTCGTGTGTACGTTGCTCGGTTGGATCAACCCATCAGCTCTAGCATGAAATGGACCTCAATCGTGCCCGAAGCAACGTTACATTTAGAATACGTTACAAATCTCGAAAACGATTTCTATTTTGTTGCTTATTACGATAATGAAAGCAATCAAGTTATCAAGTACACCGTCGACACTAACAAAGCCCGTTCAGTTGAGATGTTGAAAGAATTAACAGATAAAGCCATTATCGAACCTACGGTGATCCCAGAGGACAAGAATGCATTGATCGATCAATTTACAGTATTTGATACGGACAAGATGTTCCTTGCTTATACACAAGATGCTAAAAGGAACTATTACATTTATGATCTTCGCACGGGTAAGCGTATCCAGCATGTCATACCCGACAGTGTGGGTAGCGCAAGCTCAATCACTTCTTTGTCAACTGGATCGGATATATTTTTATGGTCATGGACTTTCAATACGCCTGGTCAGCTTTATCATATCAAATGGAATGTCGAAAAGGGCTCAGCAACTTCCGATCTTGTATACCAGGCAAAGTTACAATCGATTGATTCATCACAATTCGACATTGAACTCAAATGGGCTACATCCAAAGATTCAACCAAAATTCCTTTTCACTTATTTTATCGAAAAGGCGTAAAGTTTGATGGTACTCGTCCTGCAATGATCAATTTCCACGGCGCATTTCGAAATATCTTTCTTGCATCATACTCACCACTTTGGATGACATGGGTTAACGATTACGATGCAGTCTTTGTTCTTGCTTATCCTCGTGGTGGTGGTGAAGTGAGAGCTGAAGCATGGCATCAAGCTGGTATGCTAGGCAATAAGCAGAATACGATTGACGACGTCAATGCAATCATTCAGTATTTGATCGATGACAAGATTGCTGCAAAGGGTAAAGTGGTTCTCACTTCTTCGAGTTCAGGTGCAACAAATGCTATGGCAGTAACCAATCAAGCTCCTGAGGGCAATATTGGAGCTTTAGTCTTGCAAGAACGAACATATGGCTATGCCCTCTATGACCTTTTACGATTCAACACCGCACCAGACAGCTCGGGATACGTTGCAGAATATGGCAATCCGCAAGATCCCCAGGCGTTCGATTGGTTACGCAAGATTTCACCTTTACACAATGTCGATAAAGCAAAAGTGTATCCAGCTATCTTGATTTTTCCAGGAAATGATCCAGTCAAGTCTTGGTCGGCAAGAAAGATGATTGCTGAACTTCAATATGACTTACCGAATAATCCGAACCCTTTCTTCCTCAGCTATCCAGATCCTGCTTTATCTGGCGATGATAACGAAAAAGATGGAACAGCTTGCATCATCGCTCTTGCATCTCATGTTCTCAATTTGACCCGCAGAAACCCATAGCAGATGTGAATACATGTGTAACTTGCCTGTCAATTTGTTTTTGTGATGAAAAAATTCGACCTTTGCAAAGGGTTCCGTGTGATGACCTTTTCTCATATTTGCTAAACAGCACCGACGCGGTATGCTGAATCATTTATTCGATAGAGAGAATGTTGCGAAGTTCGGACCCTTGAATACTGAGTTTCACCAAGATGACTTTCCCAACGGATCCGCCCGAAGGTTAGTTCTGCGCCCTTTGCACGTACAAATACATTTTTCCAAGACACACTTTCAAAGCTACTTCTATAAAGCCCTGCTTTCGTTTTCAATCCTTCATCTGCCCTCCGGACAACAAACTACAGGAAATTTTACGCAAACATGCTTCCTAAATTCTACAACATCGTCCTCCTCACCCTGACTTTTTCAGCTCCTGTGTTGAAGGTGTGACCACTCCTGGCGCTCCTTTTTGGAATTTATGGCAAAACCGCTACCCGAATGCGGAGTCGTACAGACACATACCTATCGTTCAGCAGAAACTAAAGGCAATGTAACATTCGCGGCTTCCTACAATTTATTAAAAAAAGATCGTACTTCTGATCCAGGTGTGATCAGAATTATTCATGATCAAACAAACTTGACTGAAAGTTACATACGAGCTATTTGTTGTCATCAAGGTCAAATTTGCTACACCGCCAGAAAACAAAAATTTTGATGGAAAGATACATTGACGCAGATCGCAAATGAAGTGACATCCCGATGACTGCATATTACGGCGGAGCTCATTCCGGCTCAGAGTAGGCCGACCGCGGGTACAGAATGTAGACCTCCTTCACTTTCTATGACACGATCAAGGGGCATTCCAAGCCGTCATTGTCATACATTCTTGCGTATTCAAACCAGCCCGGGCAAGCAACGTCAAGTCTGCATTCTATGATTCCGATTTGATCTTGTAGGGTGAGTGTACGGAAGCTTCATTGATAGTACTTAGCAACTTTCCATCCGTCTAGTAATTGATATATAAGCTGGCATTTTCTTACCACATTGACTCCTATCCCCATCACCACCACCATTCCACAGACATGCTCCACTTCACCTTTCTCTTCTCGTCAGCATTGACGATTGTGATTGTTTGGCATCTCGCTTTCACTCAAGCAGCTCCTCAAAGTCGCCCAAACCTTTATACACGTAAATCTGGTGCCCATTGGAAAGCTGATTGGGATCCAAAGTCGACCCCTTACCCTGCAGCACGTCGTGATGACATAAGCTTCTCCTATCAATCAGCAGCAGCCCATGGCAATGTAACAATTGCAGATCCGTACAACTATCTCGAAAAGTCAGCATCATCATCAAAAGAAGTGCAAGATTTCATTGATCAACAGAATTCATTCTTCAAGACGTACCAGCAACGAATCAAAGACACAGATGCAATTCGTGCTTCAATCAAAGATGCAGGTCATTATGACGAGCTCAGTTATCCGGAAGCATACGGCAGCAGCGACAATCCGCTATACGTATATACTCACAAAGAGCTAGGAAGTGATCTGAAATCGCTTTATGTTGCAACAGAGGCCGAAATCGATCAAGCAGTAAAGAACAAATTTTCACCTTTGCCCGGCAAAAAAGTACTTGATGAATCTTCTTTGGACAAAAACTTTCTCATCTTTGATCAAAATATTTCACCTGATGGCAAAACCCTTTTGTATCGTCTTCAACAAAGAGGCACGAACGATCTTACAACAGTACACCTTGTAGACATCTCTGGACTTCATGAAGGCAAAGACGCAAAATCATATCCCGAGCAAATTTCTGGAAACCAAGACATTCTCGATGGGTAGACTTCGGACGCCAAAGGCTTCTTCTACATATACGAATCGTTGAAAGATGATGGTTCGTTTGATAGAAACTCACTTATGTACCACACAGTGGGTACTGATGTCAAGAATGATATCGTTTTCTTGAAGCCAAGCACTGGTGATGGTCAAGACTTGTCATATAGCTTCGATGTTACCATTGACAGAAAGGTTCTGGTCGTTTATGCATTCGGCGATACTGGAAAGCCTCGGCTGTACGCAACAACTCTCGATCAGCCACTCTCTGAACCTAGGAAGTGGATTTCAATCTCACCTGATTTCGAACTCGAATTTGATTATTTGACCAATGTTGGAAACGATTACTATTTCCTTGCAAGATATGATAATGAAAGCAACCAAGTCATCAAGTACAAGCTCGACTTCTCAAAAGCACGTCATGTCAATCAACTTAGTGATCTCAAGGACAAAGCTGAACTTGAACCAACGGTGATTCCGGAAGACAAAAATGCATTGATTGATATTTATACGATTTTCGATTATGACAAGATGATGCTTTGTTATACGGAAGATGCACAGCGGAAATGCTTCATTTACGAATTGCAAACCGGTAAACGAGTACAATCTATCTTGGCGAACCAAATGGGAAGTTCAAGCTCACTTGCATCGCTTACAACAGGAACGGAAATCTTCTTTTGGTCATGGGCATACAATACACCCGGTCAATTGTACTACATCAAATGGAACAAGGATCAAGGACATGCAACTTCTGAGCTCGTACACGAAGCCAAGCTACAATCAATTGATGCAAAAGAATTCACTGTTGATTTGAATTGGGCTGTATCAAAAGACTCTACAAAAGTACCTTTCTACCTTTTCCATCGAAAGGGTATCACATTTGATGGAACACGTCCAGTGATCCTCAACTTTTATGGAGCTTATCGTATCATCTGGCTGCCATATTATTCTCCCACGTTTATGTCTTGGGTGCGTGATTATGATGCAATCTTTGCTTTTGCCTATCCTCGCGGAGGTGGTGAAGTTAAGGCTGAACAATGGCATTTGGCCGGTACAAAGGCGAACAAGCAAAAGACAATTGATGACATCAATGCAGTCATTGAATATCTGATCAATAACAAAATTGCTGCTAAAGGCAAATTAATCATCTATGGACAATTTGCCGGTTCAACAAGTGCAATGGCTTTGGTCAATCAAGCACAAGAGGGTAATATTGGGGTTGTGACACTACAAAATGGAATGTTTGACTTTTTGCGTTTCCCTGATTCACCAGCTAATCTTATCAGCAAGCTTGACGAGTACGGTGACCCAAGAAAACCAGAAGACTTTGACTGGTTACGTAAATTATCACCATTACATAATGTTGATCAAAAGAAAGAATATCCGGCCATTTTGTTCTTACCTGGAGACGATGTTGATTCACAATGGCATGGTAGGAAAATGGTCGCTACACTTCAACATGATCTGGCAAACAATCCAAATCCGTTCTTTTATAGCACGTACGATTCGAAGCTGTCAGATGAAGAGAATTTGAACAATGACCCGGTATACTCAATCGCTTTCGCTGCTTATGTTCTTGGCTTACAGCGTGTCACGCATTGAGTACCTCCGGAGAAGGATGTTACTGTTCGACAGAATGTTGACAATTTTACTCATTGACTCTATACATTTTCTAGCGATCAATTCGAGTGAGGCCGTGGCTATGATTTGAGAGGTGTGTACATTGCGGAAGCCGGTCTTGGACCCCACATTCAGCCGATCAACGAGTCAACGAGTGTGACTCAAGTCGGAGTTAGAAATCCTACGGAGGCGGATCGCAACAGAAATACAGCAAAGGACGCTGCTATCTTGTTTCTTCAGCAAAAGAAAATGTAAGAAGCGCAGTCTGTTATCATCACTTTTTTCTATCCTATTCACTACATCTCTGCTCGTCTCAAAATGACGGACCATACTCGCAATCTTTTCTTCTTGGGCATCTTTACATTTCATCTTTTCAGATTGAGCGGTGTATTCGGTCAAACGTACCCATTTTGGACCACCAGCAAATATCCTTATCCTCACTTTAAGCAAGTTCCAAAAACATGGACCTATCCTTCAGCAAAGAATGGAAGTGTAACATTTGCAGATCCATTTTATTGGTTAGAAAAGTCAATCAAGACAGACTCATCTGTGAAACGTTTCATAGAAAAGCAAGCAAGAGTTACGGGAGACTTCATGAAGCGCTGTACAGAAGCAGAAGCTATCAAACAGTCAATCATGAATGCGTACAATTATGATGACTATGATTTAATGCAACTTCTAGCTGATGCTCCCAGTCCGTTCTATATCTACCGACTGAAACGTGCAAATGAAGAACGTCCTAGGTGGTATACGGCTACACCGGACGAGCTAGAGACGGCCAAACAGTCCAACTTCGCAACACCACCAGGCAAGGAATACCTCGATGAACATCTTTTAAACCCCGCACACACCGTCTCAAAAGTCATTGTTTCACCTGACGGAAAGTATGCTGCAATCCAACTTTATGAATCAAGCTCTCGTGTTGCAACATGGGCCTTAAGTACTTTTGATTCGCCTTTTGTTAATGAAATACCAAGTCCAATCGGTGAAAAAGATCGTTTGCACGGCGTGATTCCGTTTGCCGATGGTGAAATAGCATGGGCAATAGATTCAAAGGGTTTCTTTTACACAGATCAAAGTACGGAATCTGGCCCACAAGTACGCTATCATGAAGTGGATGCATTATATGAGAATGACGTAACACTCCTTCATGCAAACAAGTTGGAAGCAGATGGAAACAAAACTCATTGGGGTATCGCTCTAAGTCATGATGGTCGCTGGCTCATTCTGACTATAAAAGATGACTCTTCTTTGCATGCCAAAGCATATGCAACTCTTTTACCTGGACAAACGCTTTCTGATCATATGAAGTGGATTTCCATAGCACCCTCGTATGACTATAGCATCATTCCTATCAACGCCATTGATGACATCTTATACGTGCAAACAGATCATGATGCACTGAATGGGAAAATTGCAAAAGTCAAATTGGATTGGAGCAAGGCACTTCCAATTAGCGCAGTGGCAGACTTGAAAGATCGATTGCAACTGGAAGAAGTTATCCCGAACAGGCCTTTCATCAAGATGACAAAATCAGCAGTCTTTAATGTTGATAAGGTGGTCATCTTTTATATCATCAATGGCAGACAACTACCACAATTATTTGAGCTCAAGACGGGGAAGCACCTTCATGACATCTTACCAGATGAAGACTCAAGCGTGCAAGTTGTATCAAACACTGCAAAAAGCAAATCGATAATTTTACTGTATTCTGGTGTGATGTCTCCAAGGAAGATATATGAAGTCACCCTAGACGGAGCCGTCTACACGGAAACCAAACTTCTCGCTCAAAATATCAAAGGATCGGTAGCGAGCGATTATATCTCTGAGGACCTGTTTATTAGTAGTAAAGATGGAACACAAGTTCCTTATACAATTGTGTATCACAAAGACACCAAAAAAGATGGAACCGGTGTCGCTTGGATGCAAGTTGATGCTGCTTATGGCTTTGTTGAAACTTCTCTATGGGATCCGAGTCGTTTTGCATTCTTGACTAGCTATGGAGGATTTTTTGTTTATGCATCTGGTAAGTCAAAAGTTTTGCAAAGGGTGACGTAGAGAAGAGCATTAACTTCATGTCTCACATCGTCATAGCTCGCGGAGGAGACGATCGAGGAGAAGAATGGCACATTGCCGGTCAAAAGCTTAAAAAGCAAAACACGTTTGATGACATTATCGCAGTAGCTCAGGACCTCATCAGACGCAAAATTGCAGCACCGAGAAAAATTATCGGAGAAGGAAGATCAGCTGGCGGCTTAGCGGTAGCCGTTGTTGCCAATCAAGCTGCAGAAAATACATTTGGTGCCATCTTCCCTGAAAGAGCAATTTGCGACAGCTTTTTACTCTATAGAACACCCAATGCAGCTGCACAAACTGGTGAATTCGGTGACGTTCACAATTCGGCCGACTTTGATTACATTTACGCCTACTCACCCCTTCAAAATATCAGCCCACACCATACCTATCCTGCAATTTTATTAACGCCAGACGATTCAGATAATCAAGCCGTTCCTGCTCATAGTTTCAAATTCTTGGCTGAATTGCAATTCACTCATCCAAGTAATCCAATGCCTTTGCTCATGCATTTGGTCAAATCCGGAGATCATACGCTCGATAAATTGAGTAGAGATGCTGCAGTTACAGCATCCCTTCACCAACACTGTGTTGCACATCTGTCATTCAATCTTACAAGAGTGAAATGAATCAAGCCAAATGAATATTTGTCAGATTACCTCTCTTCATAAGTTCGATCCTTCTTCATTTTTATTCTCCGCTTCTTTAAGTGAGGAAGCCGTATCGGAGTTTCTTTTTTTAAACAAACTTCATTTCACATCAAACTCAGACAACGCTAAGCCAAAGTGGCGCAAGTAAGAACCCGAAATCGAAAAAGTGGCGTACGCTATCACCATGAATTATTAATTGCGGCGCCGTGAAGGTTGCGGAGAAGAATAATCTTTAGAAAGAACATATGAACTGGGCTTCAAGCATGGCGCAATTTCTTACGCTCAGCATCCACCTCCAAAAAATGCTGATGAAAGAGGGACTACGATGATTGTCAAGTTCACATTGTCAGGAAATGCCCTCTTGTCAAAATGATTTCAAAACAAGCAATCATGTTCGATGTATAAATTGCCTAATACAATCACAGCAATTTCTGTCTACACACCCATCTTCGTCCATCTTCTCCACCCTACTTCTCTCATACCATCAGGACAATCACTTCTGTTTTTCTTTCGATGATGCGCTCAAGCTTATTCAAAGCTCTCCTTGCTGGGGTCACCCTCATCACATTCGTTTGTGTCGAGAGTACAGCAGCTCAAGGTGCTCCGTTCTGGAATCCCAAACAAGACAAATATCCTGCGGTAAAGCGAGTCGCAAAGACCTACACCTATCGTTCAGCAAGAGCAAAAGGCAATGTGACCCTTCCAGATCCGTACAATTGGTTGGAAAGACCAATCACTGATGCAGACGTGAAAGGTTTTGTCGCTGATCAATCAAAAATGCTTGAAGGTTATGTATCAAAATGCACAAACCGTAAAACGATTGAACAATCAATTCGTGACGCATTTGAATATGATGACTATACAAATATTGATTTCAACACGAATCCTGCCACGCCTTTTTACACTTACTCACTCAAACGTGCAGGTGACGATCGTTATATTTGGTATATCGCAACTCCTGCTGAAATGGATGCGGCAGTCAAGAACAACTTCGCCACTCCACCTGGCAAGAAGTTTCTGGATGAAAAGTTTTTGAGTGCAAATAACACAGCCACAATTGGCAATTGGCAAACTTCTTTTGACGGAAAATACTTTGCTTATATGGTGGCTGATTCTGGCTCTAAAGTTTCAACCTGGTTCTTCCGTACATTTGACAAGCCTTTGTTATCTGGTGGTCCTTCTACTCCCTTGGGTGGCTCGGGCACTCTTCCGGACGTGATTCCAAATGTCGATGGTTACTTCAGTTGGAGATTAGATAGCAAATCTTTCTTCTATACCGGCACTTTACCCAGTGCAGGAGGTTCAAATACCGATCTTGGTTCTTCCATTCGTTATCATGTGATGGGAACTGCTTACGAGAAAGATATCACGGTGGTCAAGGCCGAACCTGAAGGTGCTGATGGATCTAACAACTATTGGTCGTTTACTACAAGTGATGATGGTAATTGGCTCGTGGTGAATGGTGCTGATGGTTCTTTAGGTTATGGAAGATTGTATGCAAGCAAAATGACCGGTCAAGCAATTTCTGGAAATATGAAATGGATTTCCATTGCGCCAAATCAAGAAGACATTATGGCTCCTTTGAATGTGATTGACGACTTTATTTACGTTCGAACTTCTCGTGGTGCTCTTGATGGCCAAATTTCAAAAGCAAAGCTTGATTGGAGTAAAGCAAAACAAACCAGCGACTTGAAAACATTGAAGGATAAGTTGCCATTGACCACAGTCGTTCCGGAAGTCAAGAAAGAATCACTCTCTTTAGCACAGGCTTTCAATCATGATAAAGTTGTGACTCTTTATACTATTGATGGGTCTTATGCTGTCAAGATCTTCAATTTAAGAACGGGAAGATTCATCGGTCAACCAGCGCCGCAAGAACATCCAGGAAGCTTATTCATTATGGTTCCTGCCAACAAAGGTACATCGATCAAATTAATCATGGCAACTTTGACGTCTCCACGTAAAGTTTATAATATGGAATTGGTAGGCAATTCGATCAAAACTACTTTATGGACTACCCAAAGTACAAAAGGTGTAAATGCACAAGATTTCGTAACGGAAACAATGTCTGCAACAAGTAAGGATGGAACAATTGTGCCTTACCTTCTTATCTCTCGCAAAGGCACTCCTAAGACTGGAACAGCTCCTGTTTGGTTGCATGTGTTTGGTGCATATGCTTATGTTGAATCAAACTATTACGATCCCATCCAACTGTCTTGGCTGAACAGTTATGGTGGCTTTGTTGCATATGGCTCACCGAGAGGAGGTGGGGATAAAGGCGAAGGATGGCATCAAGCGGGACAAAAGCACAACAAAGAAAAGACGTTTGAAGATACAGCAGCAATTGCAGTAGATTTAGTAAAAAGGAAGATTGCTGCTCCTGGAAAAGTGATCGGTCATGGTGGCTCGGCAGGTGCTATTGCGATCACTGCAGCTGCAAACCAAGTTCAATCAAGCTTTGGTCTTCTTTTAGGTGTGAGACCAGTGTTGGATTACTTTTTGCGTAAACGTTCCCGTGGTGGTTCAGCTCAAACGGACGAATTTGGTGATGTTGATGATCCGGTTGACTTTGATTACGTTAGAGCATGGTGAGTAGTTGCAAAAGAGGTGAAGAATAGATTGCTAATGCTAGTTACTCTCTTTGCAGGTCACCATTACAAAACATCCCAACAAAAGGAAACTATCCGGCCGTTCTCATGACGCCCGGTGAAGGGGATGATTCAGTTGTGGCTGCACACGCATTCAAGTTCTTAGCAGAAGCGCAAAGAGACCATCCAAATAATCCATTGCCAATGATGTTCTATTTGGTCCCTAGCGGTGGACAAGATAATTACGGTGTAAGCACAGACGCTGTAGTTAACGAAGGCTTCTACCAACAATGCTTCGCACAACTTGCTTTGGGTTTGCAACACAAGAAGTGATGCGGACAAACGTGAAAATTGTATGCTTCTATTGGCTTATCCAAACGTTCTCCTGATCTACTGTCATGATTTAAAACAGAATCGAATTCTTTTTACCCCTGAAATTTTCAAATAATCGAATATCGAATTTAAAAATAGCTCTTTCGTGCTTTAGCCAAGCGCAATAAATGCACCCTAAATCATAAATTGATGGCTTTTCTGACATTTTTCGGACGATGATATGCCGTGCTTTTGCTTTAATGGCTTGCAGAAGCAATACATAAATGCGGCACCGTGAGCTTATACTCCGCAAATTATTCTTTTCAGAAGTGTGTATGAATTCATATTCAATATCTCAAGTGGCGCAGCAAATCAACAACGGATCAAGCCATAATTCATGGTCTGCTCTTCATTAATTTGCTAAAAAAATTAAAGGACCGGCTCCGTCAGTTGATACCGGCGTAAAAGGTCATCATTTATGGTTTTCTTTTGAAGAAGAACATTCTGAGGAATCGGCACTTTTTCATGCAAATATCACGCCACTACGCCTCAAATGGTAATCAATCCATTTAATACCTTAATTCAGGGTCCGTCATCACCGCCAAGCATCATTTGTATGGTTTGAGAGGAGACAAACATTGTGCCAAAACTTGGCAAAGGCGTATGGTATCAGAGTGAGCTTACTGTTGTGTACCCGAATGACCTTTTTCGAATGTATATAAATCACCCCATACATTACTCAACGTTTCCCTAACCTCATAGAGCTTAGCAATTTGTCTCTTCATTCATCCTTTTCCTATCCGACTCCTTCTTCCTTCTTCAACAATGCGCTCGAGCTTAATTCAAGCTTTCGTTGGCCTTGCCTTTGCCACCTTCATTGGTGTAGAAAGTGCAAACGCTCCAGGTGCACCTTTTTGGAATCCCAAGCAAAACCCTTATCCAAGCGTTAAAAGGGTTGATAAAACGTTCACCTACCGTTCCGCAAAAGCAAAGGGCAATGTCACCGTTGCTGATCCATACAATTGGTTAGAACAACCACTCGCAACGGACGCGGGTGTAAAAGGATTTGTTGATGATCAAACAAAATTGTTGGACAGTTATTTGGCCAAATGTACGGATCGCAAAGCCATTGAACAATCAATTCGTGATGGTTTCGCTTATGATGGCTACAGTGATATTGATTTTGTCTCAAATGCTGCCAAACCGTTTTATACCTACACTCTCAAGCGTGCAGGCGAAGATCAAGCGACATGGTATGTGGCCACGCCTGAAGAGATGCAAGCTGCGGTCAAGTCTAAGTTCACCGTACCACCAGGCAAGAAGTTCCTTGAGGAAGCGTACCTGAGTCCCAACAAAACCGCTACTATTGCCAATTGGCAAACTTCTTTGGATGGTAAATATTTTGCTTATTTGGTATCAGATTCTGGCTCTCAAGTTTCAACTTGGTTCGTTCGCACGTTCGACAAGCCTTTGCTGTCAGGTGGTCCAAATTCTCCATTAGGCGGTGATGGTGCTCTTCCAGATGTGATTCCAAATGCTGATTATCAACTCAGCTGGTCAGCGGATAATACGGCATTTTTCTATACTGGAACTCTGCCTAGCGATGCAGGATCAAATACCGATATTGGATCTTCTGTTCGCTACCACGTAATGGGAACAGCGTATGAAAAAGACATCACAGTCGTAAAAGCAGAACCTCAAAGTGCTACTGGAAACAATAATATTTGGGGCTTTGTCATAAGTCAAGATAATAAATGGTTCATACTTGGAGGCGCCACTGGAACTGACAATAAAGCAAGAATGTATGCAACCCGTTTAGAAGGACAACAAGTTTCAGACAAAATGAAATGGATCTCAGTTGCTCCATCATACGATTATCAAATGAGCGCTTTGAATGTGATCGATGACATTCTATACGTTCAAACAGATTTGAATGCCCTGGACAGCAGAATTGCGAAAACCAAGCTTGATTTTAGTAAAGCACGTCAAGTGACCAACCTCAACGATTTGAAAGAGAAGCTTCCATTGACTACCGTTATCCCGGAAGTGAAAAAGGCGCAACTCACTTCCGCTGCGGTGTTCAACACTGACAAGCTCATCATTCTCTACACCACAAATGGATACGCTGTAGCAAAGCTCTATTACTTGAAAACGGGTACATTTATTCGTCAAGTCATCTCCAACGAACGAGCTGGAGGGGTGTATGCTCTGACCCCACCTAGCAAAGGCAAATCAATCAAACTGATTGTTAATTCGCTTACTTCGCCGTTGAAAATTTATGACATCACTATGCAAGGAACTAAATTTGTTGAAACGTTGTGGTTGAGTGTAAACATCAAAGGTACACGTCCGGAAGATTATACGACTGAAACAAAGTTCGCTACAAGCAAAGACGGAACTAAAGTACCTTATCTCGTCATTTCTCGTAAAGGTACACCAAAGAATGGGAAAGGTGCCGCTTACATGCATGTGTTTGGCTCTTATGGCTATACACAAGTCAATTACTACGATCCCGCCCTCTTTTCATGGTTGAATAGTTACGGAGGCTTCATAGTTTTCGGTTCACCAAGAGGTGGTGGTGATTGCGGTAACGAATGGCATGTTGCTGGTCAAGATCATAAAAAGCAAAAAACATTTGAAGACGTGATTGCTATCGCAGATGACTTAGTCAAGCAAAAGTATGCTGCGCCCGGAAAAGTCATTGGAGATGGTGGTGCTGCAGGTGCAATTGCTATTACTGCCGCTGCAAATCAATCACCTTCGAGCTTTGGAGTTTTATTGGGTGTTCGTCCTGTCCTTGATTATTTCTTACGTAAACGTTCGCGTGGTGGAGCTGAGCAGACAGATGAATTTGGTGATGTTGATGACCCGGTTGATTTCGATTACGTTAGAGCATGGTCTCCTTTGCAAAACATTCCAACGAAAGGTGACTATCCTGCTGTTTTGATGACACCTGGTGCAGGTGATGATCAAGTGGTTCCCGCTCACAGCTTCAAATTCTTGGCAGAAGTACAGCATGATCATCCCAACAATCCTTTACCATTGCTCTTGTACCTCGTTCCAAATGGCGGCTTAGACAACTACGGTCACAGTACCCAAAGCGCAGTAGATGAAGGCAGCCGTCAACATTGCGTTGCTCAACTCGCTTTAGGCTTAGAACGTACAAAGTGATTGTTTGCAGCAATCAAAACTTTCATACAACTCTTACTGATTTCTATTTCATTTCGATATCATCCTACCTTCCATTCATCCGAAATCTAATTCATTTTTCCTCCTTTAAGCTTCGAAAGAATGATCGTCATTATCAATCACCTGAAGTAGCCAGCGAGATAAAGATGGCCGTTGTTAGCTAAGCTTTCATGAGTGCGGCATTCCTCTTTCGATCCATCCTCATCACTGTTTCTTCCACGGGGAATGAGGAAAGTTCCCCCTTGTCTAAATGTAGTAAATATAGCTGATCAAGTATTGTTGATAGTCAGCAAAAAAAGCGGATAGACCGCGAGCGGCGATCCAATATTCGTGCAAACTCATTCTCAGAACGCGGTCTATTCTTCGTGATGCCATCCTTCTCTTGGCAGGCTGAAGAGGAAGAATAGAAAGATTTCGTGGCTTCTTGTACATGCTGTCACACTATAGAGGAATCGCATTTGTGTTGTACGAGCTAGGTTCTTTCAGTACGTTGAAAGGTATAAAAAAGCAAACAGAATATGTCTTCCACTCAATAACTTCACCGATCCATCCATTTCTCTCCTTTCTCACTCTCAACCCATCTCATCTCTGTCTCTCATTGTAACGTCTCCATCATGCAATCACGCTTACTGCAAGCTTTTTCAGCCGTTGCTATTGCCCTGGCGGTATTGACAGATTGCGTCGAAAACGCTTTCGTACCTGGCGCTCCATTCTGGAGTCCCAAGCAAAACCCATATCCAACGGTGAAGCAAGTACCATTCACACGTACCTACCGTTCTGCAAATGCTAAAGGCAATGTTACCTTCAATGATCCTTACACTTATCTGGAAGCAACAGGAAGTGCAGATGTGCAAAAGTTTATCAACGATCAATCCAAACTTACAGAAGGATATATGGCAAAATGCAAGAATCGTCAAGCTATCGAACAATCTATCAAGAATGGCTTTGATTATGACAATTACAATTATTTTGATTTGATTGCAAATGCTGCAAAACCATTTTATACCTACACTCTCAAAAGAGTTAATGATGATCGTCCGATTTGGTATATTGCTACACTTGAAGAAATTGAAGTTGCAAAAAAGAACAACTTCGCCACTCCACCAGGCAAACAATTCTTGAACGAAGTCTTCTTAAGTCCAAACAATACTGCCAACATCATCAATTGGCAAACATCACCCGACGGCAAGTACTTTGCTTATTTGGTATCTGATTCCGGTTCGCAAGTTTCAACTTGGTTCATTCGTACGTTCGACAAGACTTTGTTGAAAGGCGGTTCAAGCACACCTTTGGGAGGTGGTGACACTCTTCCGGATGTTATTCCAAACGCTGACGGAACCATTTTCTGGACAGACGATAGCAAGGGATTCTTTTACACTGGTACTTTGCCAAGTGATGCAGGTGAAAGCACCAATTTTGGCTCTTCCGTTCGTTACCATGTATTGGGCACTGCATATGAGAAAGATATCACGATTGCCAAAGCGGAAAAGCCAATGGCCGATGGTTCAAACAACCTTTGGAACTTCTTCATTAGTAGTGATAGCAAGTGGCTCGTATTAAATGGTGCCAATGGTTCATTGAACAAAGCAAGGATGTATGCAACTCGTTTAGATGGTCAAACAGTTTCAGGAAACATGAAGTGGATCTCCATCGCACCTGGTTATGATTATATTATCAACCCTTTGAACGTCATCGACGATACTTTGTACGTTCAAACTTATGAAGGTGCTTTGGATGGTAGGATCGCAAAGACCAAGCTCGATTGGAGCAAAGCAAAGACAGTAACCGACTTTACTCAATTGAAGGACAAATTGGCATTAACAACCGTGGTACCGGAAGTGAAGAAGGCGCAACTTACATTGGCCTCTGCATTCAATTCGGACAAGTTGGTCATCATCTATACCATGGACGGTACTTATGTCACCAAAGTGTTTGAATTGAAGACGGGCAAGCTCATTCGTCAAGTAGTGCCAGACGAACATCCAGGTGCTATTTCCATCATGATTCCAGCCAGCAAAGGCAAATCGTTCAAGTTGATCCTTAACACATTGAGTTGCCCAAACAAAGTGTACGATATCACCTTGGACGGTAACAAGTACACTGAAACGAACTGGTTGACCAAGAGCATCAAAGGAACAAATGCAAACGATTTCGTGACCGAAACAGCATTTGCTACAAGCAAGGATGGAACGAAGGTGCCTTACATCGTCGTCTCTAAGAAAGGTACACCGAAAGACGGACAAAGCGCTGCTTGGATGCACGTTTTTGGAGCATACGGTGTCACGCAAAACAACTACTACGACCCAGTCCTTTTCTCATGGTTGAACAGCTATGGTGGCTTCTTCATCTTTGCATCTGTAAGAGGTGGTGGTGACTGTGGTGAAGAATGGCACATTGCCGGTCAAAAGCATAACAAACAAAAGACATTCGAAGATACGATTGCCGTTGCAAATGATTTGGTCAAACAAAAGTATGCTGCACCTGGTAAGGTCATTGCCGATGGTGGTGCTGCAGGTGCAATCGCCATCGCTGCCGCTGCAAATCAATCCCCTTCGAGCTTTGGAGTTTTATTGGGTGTTCGACCTGTCCTTGATTACTTTTTGCGTAAACGTACTCGTGGTGGCGCTGAACAAATTGATGAATTTGGTGATGTAGACAACCCAGTCGATTTTGATTACGTTAGAGCATGGTCACCTTTGCAAAACATTCCAACAAAAGGAGATTATCCTGCCGTATTGATGACCCCAGGTGAAGGTGATGATCAAGTAGTCCCTGCTCACTCCTACAAGTTCTTAGCGCAAGCTCAACATGATCATCCCAACAATCCTTTGCCTTTGCTTCAATATGTCGTACCAGGTGCTGGTTTGGACAATTTCGGTTCCAGCACTCAAAGTACTATGATCGAAGGTGGTCATCAAATTTGTGTTGCTGAGTTGGCCTTGGGTTTGCAACGCAAGAAGTAGTTCTTCACCTCTCTTTCTGACGTACTCCTCTTACACTCTTTCACATAATACTCATTTTACCTTTACGAACATTTATGATTTCTACCCTTCAATTCGATCGTCATCATGTTGATCATCCAGTGTGTCGTGCTTCATTTTGGTCTATCTTTCTAGATTGGTGTGTCATGAATGGTGTGAAGAAGGTATGATAACGTTGAGGACTAATGAAATGAAGCTAGAATATATGCGGAAGAGAATTTCAAGGCACTGCATCAGTGATAAGTCAAAGCGATAAAGAACGCGTCTTAAAAGCAGATTTGATAGATTCATTCATTATCATGAACCAATGAGAATTCGAGCAATGACACCCTCTTTTTCGCTGCCGACATGGTCATCTGTTCTAAAGCCATAAATAAGGATCAGTTTCAAAAACGGTCCCGAGCATGAATCTTAAAAGCACATGACCTTCACGTGTGTATGAGTAAAGGCGCGTTTTCTGTAGTCCATCTTTTTTCTTTTTCGGATAGATGGCCCGCTAAGCTAACTAGCTGATCGATCACATTTTATTTGGCTGTGTTAAAGCACTAATCTTTTCGGCGCCAGAGGTTATAGGAGTGCCGAAGACTGCGCAGCTTACACGCGTATGCTAAGGAGAAAAAAAAAGAGAAAGAGGGAGAAGAAAGTGCGTGTGTGCGTTTCGGGATTGTGCAAGGTGTGCAAAGGCAGGCAAGCAAGCATCTTTGCTGTACATGGGGTTCACTTTCTTGCCTTCTTTTTTCATCATTCTCCGTTCCATCTTTCCCACCTCTATGTTCAACTGAAACACAACACAAATCACTTCAAATCTGAGCAAACTATCATCATTTATCTTTGATCTTGAAGATATTTGAGGGGTGAAAAAAGGGCGTTTGCACAGATTGCAAAAGCAAGGTGGAGAGGTAGTAGAAGAAGAAGAGTGACGTGAATGAAAACTCTTTCATCCTAATTCTCTTTCTCAAGATGGAAGTATATTCAACATCATTCACTGTACCAAGATCGTCTTCTGACGCAATCTCATTTGCAGAGGAAAGACCTGCACTCTCTTCGCCCGCTTCCCTTCACGCAGCAGCGGCAGCAGCAGCCGCTTCTACATCTCCTAATTCCAATTCAACTCTATCAGAAGTGAACAATATACAGAGAAATGATGCAATACAACCTAGACGGCAAGATGGCTCCACTTTTGCTAGATTTGGATCGATGCGATCCAGATTACCTCCAAGTGTGAAGGCATTCATGCCAGCAGCATTTGGTGGAAGCAAAAGAACAAGCGATCGCATAGCAGAAGCAGTCGGAACAGGATCCGAAAAAGAAAGTGAAACAGAAGCTGAAGGAGATGAAAATGCTGCTACAGGCACGATCAAGGAAGACAACAAAGCAAAAGAAACCCCAAGCACGACAAAGAATCTCGTCAGTCTATTCAAAGATCGATCCAACGAAACTTCCAATGATCCTCCTGCAGCTGAACAAGGCGACAGTGAGAAGCACGAAAAGAAGGAGACTCAAATAGACGAAGACGCAAAGGACGCCGAGACAGTCAAGAACGACTTCATCAAATCATCCCCAACAAAGAATCGTGACAGTCGCTCGACAGTCGGTACAAAGTCTTCTGTTGACCTATCCTCAAGCGCTTCAGTTGACAGTACCGCACCCAGTACTGCAGCTGCTTTTGGGGGAAAGACCGGACTGACACCATCAGAGCCCAGGAGTGCTTCCCATAGCGCTTCTGGTTCCCTGTCTACGTTTGGCTATGCACAAAATCCATTTGGAGCACAAGATATGCAAGAAGCAATGCAGAAACTCAGCTCAGAGACGATGAACTCGCATCAGTGTCTCGTCCACTTTACACCGGTGGAGACAGAGACTTTGCGTACTTTGCAATCCAACGGCAGCTCCACTTCTTTGAGTAGCGACCCTTTCCATCGTAACACCTTCCCATCTATGCCACCATCAAGCTCATCTTTCGCGTCACCACATTTGGCTTTCCCTTATATGCCTGGTATGGATCCCGGATCAGGTTTCGGAACATCCAAATCAGGTTCAATGCCAGCAAGATCTCCTGTAAACTTCAAAGAGTCACAAAGCGGCAAAGGAGGCAAATCATCTTCGCATTTCAACTTCCATCTTTCGGGAGGATACCAGCAAGTGATGGCAGCAAGAGGTCAAGTGTTGCGTGAACATCCTTTCCGATCTCGCGCTACGATCAAAGTTCCCCGAAACGATTTGTTGACAACGAATTCTAGCGGCGGCAGTATCAATGGATCTATTCCTTCGGAAAATCTCAAGGCTGACATTCGAAAACGATTCGATGAAATCGCTTCGTTGTGCAGTTGTATGATCTCCATCTCTGCTAATGAACAACAAGGATCTGATCTAGGTAATGGATTGGAAACGGAGAGAAGTGCAGAGATTATCATCGCTGGTCCGTTTGAAGGTGTTGAACAGGCAAAAGTGTTGGTGATGGTCATGCTGGATGAGTTGGCTGGACTATCTACGGAAGTGGTTGAAGTTGACTACAAATTCCATAACATCGTTGGAGGCAGAAAAAGATGCGTCATTCAAAAGATTCAAGAAGAGACCGGCACAAATATCTATCTGGCAACTCCATTCCCCAGCGTCTTGTCAGCCAACAGAAGTCCTTCGATTGTTTCTCGACAGAATACAATCTTTATTACCGGTGAATATTTCGGCGTACAAAGAGCTCGTGATATGTTCTTCCAAGTGTCGATGCACAAGAGCAAGAATGTCCTTTCGCGCAATACAGCCGTTCTACCACGAAAGATTGATTGGTTGTTGACAGATCGATTGGAGGATCTTCGCTCAATCATGCAAGATAATGCGACATTCATCGGCTTTCCGATGTTGGGCTCGCAAGCAAGTTTGCTGACGATTTATGGAGACAACAGAGTTAGCATCGAAAGAACAATTCGCTCGGTCATGCAACTTGCTTGTCAATTCTTCATTGCATCTGTTTGGCTACTTCCAATCTCCTTCGATGGTGTCATGGCGCCCAATACAGTCACAGCAGCGCAAGTGACACCTATTCTCAAGTATGTGAGCACCAATTCGGGAGCAGAAGTTGCATTCAAGAATAATTGTTTCGAAATGCATGGAACTGAATCGCAAGTACGAGCATCTGTTTCGCTTCTGCTCGAGTCCGATCTATTGAAGACATTCAATTTAGAGATTCGATTCCAGATTGAATTAGCTAATGAGCACAGAGATTTCATCAGCGGCAAAAAGAATGGTAAAATCAACAAGATCATGAAGCAAGGCGTGAGGATCAAGTTTGAAACGTTCAACGATTTCAACTTCCTTATTGACGTTTCCAGTAACGATCGTGCTGGCACGGTCTCTGGTTTGTCTTTATTGTTGGAAGAATTGCCGGCGGAGATGTCTTTCCATATTCCGGAAAATTATCATAAACGTATTATTGGGGTGGGTGGAAAGAATATTCAAAAGACTATGAAAAAGTTTGGAGTCTATGTGAAGTTCTACTCGAAGCAAGATTTGGACATTGAGACATACCCTTTCCTGGATGCTGAAGACAATGTCATCGCACGTACGCCAGCCAAAAATGCAGTCAATCTCGAAAATCTCAAGATGGCAGTGACAGAATTGGTCAGTCCGAAAGACAAGGACTTTGTGTGTGAAACTGTGCCGATCGCACGCAGATATCATCGAACATTATTGGGCGAAAAGGGTATCTTCATTCACGATATTGAGAACAAACTTGGTTGCATGATTCGATTCCCCCCGCCCGAATCTGCCAACGATTTGGTTTCGATCTTTGGACCTGAATCACAGATTCATATTGCCGCTCAAATGCTTTTGGATCATGTTCCATTCGAGGCGGAATTCCGAGCACCAGAATCGGTGGAATTGACAAGAGTTTTGGAATCGCACGAATTTGTTGCTCTTGTCGAACGTGTCAAGAGGGATCTGAATGTCAACATTGTCCCAATGTCCAATCAAGCGAGTTCGTCGCCCACTGCACCGGTGCAAGATAGAACCTCGCCTCCTGCAAGTGATGTTGTGTTCAAATTGAGATTGAATAGGAGTAGTGCGGATTTCCTGCCAGCTGCAAAGGACGCATTGGAAGACTTTTTGATCAGTCGCAATATTCAAATTTATCGTGCTGCTGAACGCAACCGAGCCGATTCCTTCGCATCAAGCTTCCATCACTTCGCCAATAAGCTCATCTCCGTACCACAAGCTGCCGAATCGACAGACTCCTTCCAGACGGACCCTTCTGCACGTTACAATCGTCAACAGATGCAAATGCAACAACAACAATTACAACAACAGGAAAACAATAGATTACGCGCTGCTGCTTCTACACCTGATATCAAAGCATTGTTTGATTCGCCCAGTATGGCATCAGGTCCTTTTATTCCGCCAAGTGTGCCAATGTCTGGTTCCAACATAACGCCAAAGTCAACGATGTACACCAGTCCATATCAAGACGCATTGCGTACTAGCGCTGCTTTTGGTGGTAGTGAGGTATGGGGAGCTCCTACGAACTTGACAGGAAAACCAAATTCGATCCGAACAAATCAACCGCCAGGGCCATCTTCCTTGTCTTCCAATGCTACTTCTCACACTCAACCATCAACACCATCCTCTGCTGGCATCGCGTTCCCACAACATGTCACCCGATTCTCTGACGATGTGGGTGCTATGCAACAGCCAAATAATAATCAAGGGATGTATGGAGATGGGATGGGCTTTGAAGATAGAGTGAACACATTGCGTAAATCTAGAGCATACTCGCATCGTGCTCAAAGTCTCGATATTGGAGCATTGGCAGCACAACAAGTTATCCAACAAGCAATGTCAGCAGGTCATCCAAGAGTTATGACCGGTAGCAGCAGCAGTGGTAGCTTTGGAAGTGCGGCAGAAATGGGTATTCATCCTCAGGCTTCATTGGTCAATCAAGCTCATGCAAATTCCATGAACAATGCTCAACGTCCTTTTGGTGCCATCGGAAGTAAATTGTCGGGAGCCAATGATACCAATCAACCTCAACACCATCATGTGGGCGGTAGCAATAGCTTCAGTGGTACGCATGGTGTGCCATTCAATGCGTCCATGTTGGGTGGTGGCGGTGGAGGTGGCAATGGAATGCAACACGTCAGTGGAATTCCATCACACCATTCTGCTCATCACTCCTTACCGCCAACATATGGTAATGCACCCACAAAAGGTCCGGGATATGGTCAATTTTACAATCCAACAATGAACATCAACATGCCGCAACAAAGTAATCATAAACATGTGCTCCAACAACAACAGCAGCAGCATCATCACTTGCCCTCGCCCAGCATTTCACGTTTAGCACCATCTTCATTGCAACGTGCTCCTGGACCAGAGACGGCAGATGAAGTTTTGCGTTCGCTCGAACAGTTGCATTTCCAACCACCGTCGAATTAATTATTATTTCTATTGCGATTGCTTTCTTTCGCCTGACAGATGTTTTCAAATCAAAAACAAAAAGAGACGGGCATGCCAATACCTTTCAATCGCATATCCAAGCATTGCTCGTCTTTTCAAGGAGACATTCTGTCGATTTTTCTTCTTTTGCTTTACCTTGCCGATAATCCAACACTCATTGATTTGGGTGACCAGCACCTTTTTCCCTTTTTTATTAAAGCACATTTTTTTCCATTCTCTCTTCTTTCTATAGTTTCTAATACAGAAAAGGAAGTAGGATCATGTATAAAAGAACTCCCAATCCAGTCAAAAAGCACAATTATGTTCATATCCATCAACAATATATATACTAAGCAGAAAATAATATCCTGATTTCATAACAAATTGTGTGTATGTACCGGTTCAAATCGGGTAAACACCACGTTCACACGGTAGTGTCAAAGGAAAGGTACGGAAAGTGTGACCGCGTTTCTCTCTCGCTCGTATTAAAAGCATTTATTCACGCGCGTCAGTCAGGTTCACTTCATCGGGGAGTTTACCTTAGTTCTCTTTGTGCCTAAACCGGTAACTGATGGTTTCTTTCAAACTTTTGTTGGTTAGAGGTTTTGAATGACGTTTACTGGTATGTATGCATAACGTACATACATGTATATGTTCCTGAAATCAACATCATATGATCAATACGGATGTGTAAAGCGAGCGATGCCGGTCTTGTGGTAGAAGGCGTGATCAAATCATTACACTGAATTCGGACAGCTCGGGGGAATTTAGGTACAGACATATGTACATAAGCTTGCACTTTCAAAACATTTTTGATGCACTTTCATTGTATTCACATATGCCCGAAGCCCTTAGATCTAGTAGAATGTTTAATGTTTTTCGGTATTATTACAAAACGGATAAGCTTATGATAACAACTGATGTATTGTAGATGATCAACTTCTCATCATACCTGACTGCCACCATCATCACATCAGCCTGAGGGCACAACGACCATCTCCGGACGTCTTGCCAGATAAAGACTGCCATCGAATTATGCCACTAAGCATACAACGTAAGCAATCTAATTATAATCGTTCGATATTCGATTAAAGATTGGGGTAAGTGATCAATGCTTGCTAAGTCTAAAAGAATCCATGCCGACATCCTCGAATGGTCATCGTGTGGGGCAATAACGATCCGTGCTCTACATCAATACGCACGCTATGATTATTCTAGTGATTCTTTTTTCTCGTTGATGGCCAGCAATTCTATGTATTGGCACACGTTCCCCCGGCTTGGAGCAGGGTCCTCTTTTGCCAATTTGGGGTGCATAAAGTTGAAATTGAAGATGTTTTAATGAGATGTGAGCTCATTTTCTATCAATCAATACTAATCGAATCATTCTTTTCCCTTTTTCCTTTTTTGACAGACAGATAAATTGATGGTGATCAAAGCACGCCGCCGCCCGTTTTAGTTAAAAGCACATCAAATTTCGTCATCGCCTGGGAATAAAATTCAATTTAAGCTCGTCTGTCTTTAATTCCAAACAGATCGTTAAAAAACTCTTTGTCCCTTTTTTAGCATCAAAATCAAAAGTTGAAAATCAAAGCGAGCGTTTAAAGCGAAAGAGAGAAAGCACCAGAGCACTTTACTGTTTGTAAAGGCACAAGCGCGTCTTTTGATTTAAATTGGAGATACGGCATTAAGCGGCGTCAAAATTTGGATTTCAATTCAAAAACGCTTTCACAGGAGTACACTCTCTCTAACTTGCCACGGAGCCTGCATGCAGCTGCATATCACAAACACACACAAAAGGACACTCAAACATACAAACTGCGCCCGTGTACAATTGGCCTGGCCCACCCCTTTCCTCTCAAGGCAAATTAGGAGAAGAAGTTTCAACTTTTGTATATTCTTATCATAAGAAAAGAAAAGATGTCAGCCAGAGCCTATCAAGAATATCCAAAAAGAGGCTCTTCCTCTTTCTCTTCTTCATCATCTTATCCAAAATGGACATCTTCGTTTGAACAAACAGCAAACAAACGGCATCCCAATACAACAACAACAAATGATCACTTATCATATTTAGTCGAACAACCTTATTACCAAGGTCAATATTCAGAAATGCCAATCTCAAGAGCTGCCAAAAGGCTGGCTGCTTTGACACAATTAGAGGGAAACACAACAAACGAAGAAAGAAATGATTGGTGGGAAAACGTTTTACCTCCTGGACAACTTGTCGATCGATTAAAGAGAACACAATCGAATCCATCAACTTCACATCTTGAAGAAGCAGATGATGGACCACGTCATTCACGCAAAAGTATCCTTCGCAGTTCAAATGATGGCAAAAAAGTAAAACAACACTCTTCGAACACTCTTCCACGATCCGCTTCAAGTACAATGGTTGACGATCATTCATCTTCCATGTACCTCTCGCCACCTTCTCAAGGCATGCGTGCTGGCACTTGGTCTTCTCAATCATCATCATATGGTTCATATCCCACACCATCAACAAGAAGCAGCATTAGTGTAGGAGAGATGAGCAGCTCAAGTAGCAGCAACGACGAAAGCCCTTCAGAACGTAGAAGTCCAATTCTGGGTGAAGACTGGTCTTCGATGTTACACGGATTCGGAGATCGCAGCAGTGGTGCTACTTCTCCTACTTCAATCACACGATCGAAAACAAACCGAAGGCGGCGATTCATTGGAAGTGATGATGGCACTGGCCTTGGCGTAACAATCAGGGGAGCAAAAGGTAGTGTGGTCGATTTAGATGAACGTTTACGACAATGGAACAATGGTGTTCCATTCACCAATGCAGAACGTCTCAGATCATCTTCATCAGCGGCAAGCTTGCGTCCATTCCCTTCATCTAGGCAATCAAGATCTGGCTCATTACTTTATGATACCCCAGAGCATAGCTCTGCAGAAGAAGATCATCATGGATCATACTACGGCAATCAAAGATTCCCACGTACATCCAGTACACGCACAAGTGATACCGTTCGTGAAAGTATTCGAACAAAAGCAGCATCTTTGGCTTCTGCACCATCATCACGGCGATCATCGATAACTGCTGGTCATCATGGCAATACACAATCGTACAATCCATCACGACGAGTGAGCTTTAGTCAAGAGGTGGAAGTTGTTCAATCAAATGATGTCAAAAAGGTACAAACCATTGGACGTGCTCACGGTCGAAGTATGTCAACTTTAAGCGATAAACATGGAATGGGCTACAAACCTATTGCAACACCGCAAGCCCGCACTCATGCTTCCAACTTGCGTGCACAAGAAGCTGTACCGCCTACTCGTGGAAAACGATCTACATGTTACTCTGCGCCAACCAGCCCACGTATGGCTGCTGCGCAATTTGCCGCTGCTGAGGCTAAAGAACGATCTTCCAGAAGATTGAGCCGTGAAACGACGCCAACTTCAAGCGGTCGATCAACGCCAAGGACACGAAGTCGAAGAAATTCTATAAATGAAGAAGAAGATGCAGATGTTGCACGATTGGCGGTTTTATCGAATTCTTTGGGTGTTGCACATACACAATTGTCAAGCGCAAGAAGTTTGGCCATGGCATTGACCCGTCAATTGAGTGCTCCATTACGACCATTCTTTCATTTGACATTGCTTGTTAGCATTTCAAGTGTCGCTTTCGTTGCTTTGGCTAGCTTCTTGTTCGCTGGATACATGTGCACAGTTTGGGATGATGTCAACAGTCGTGGGAAGAGCTTGCAGAATAATGTCACTTCAGCAAGAAAGACTCTCGAATCAAGGGTACAATGGACTCGTACCTTGTTGGGTATCAGTTCGTCGGAAGAGAAGGCTGGTACAGAACAAACCAATGTCAATGAACCAGAACCTGTCAAACCTGCAGACAACAAAACACAAAGTGCTCTTGTGCGCTTCGTCTTTGCGTTACCCATTGCTGTAGCGCAAAGTTTGATCCCATCAGTTGTGGGAAACAAGGATTCCCATTCAACACACACAACCAGCGCTCCTCCTGGTGCTAAACGACCTCAAAGTACTCGCCGCGCAGGCAGGACTGATACGAATGCTTTTAATACCCTTCCTCCAAGACCACCATTGTCATCACTTCTTCCTTCGATCGCATTCACGATCGTGATTGCGTTCGGGGCCGGATTGGCAAGCTTTTTTGCTAACCGTGCTGCAGCTCCTGCTTCTGCTGGAGATACCCCACATCCAAGCGTTTCTGCTTCAGGACGTAATGCTGCTTCTGGATCACAAGCCAGTATTGCCGCTTCTTCAAGACGTCATGGTCATCATCGATTTGACAGTAGTTCTTCAAGTCGGATGAGCGTGCCCGTTCAACCTTCTGCTCATGCTCGCCAACGCAGTTCTCATTCAATTTCCGAATCAACCAATTCATCTGGTCGTAAATCACCTTATTCTTGGCAAGAAGGTGTTTCTGCTTTTTCGTAAATTGCTCTCAATTTAATCACAACTTTTTTTTTGTATACCACACACACACAAGCATTCTTATTTCTCTGCTTCATTATACCTTCTCGTACATATTATTAGAGCACATTTGTACCATTCTACACATTTAATGATTTTTTTATACATGCCAGATTGATCACATTCCCACAATTCTTAAGCGAGACCGTATCTCTGAGGATGAAGCAGTATCCCGTAAATATCTGCTTGCGCTTAAGGGCAATGTGTTTATATGCGAAGTGATTGCCGCGTGATCCTCTTCTTCATCAATCAAGATCCTTATCTTTTTGCCCAAGACGGCCCACTTTGGCAGCCAATCACGTTCAACTTGTGACCAAACAACGCTTTCACGATACAGTTCGATAAATTCTTGATCCATCGAACGACTTTTGGGTGCGGAAAATCGTCTATATTCATCAAAGATTGTGGTTAAACTCCATTGTTGTAATTTACGTAAACATCCGATCAAACAACCCGTTCGATGTTTTCCCTTGTTGCAATGGATCAGCATTGGATGATTTCTTCGATCCATAATCGTCACCAGCGCGGCTGTGATTTTATCTTGCGGGATTTGAACAAAAGGTTCTTTGTTTCCCGGTATGCCAAATTGAAAGAATGTGATTCCATTTTGATCTAAAAATTGCATATTTTGTTCTGGATATTCTTCCAAGATTAACGTAAGTACACTCTTGAGACCCAACGTGCGCAAGAATGGGAAATGTCGCTTCTTCGGAAAGCTGCTCCGATACACCCACGAATTGACCATTGCAAAGTTATCTGGCGGTATCAGAGGCGATGCTGAAAGAGTAGAAGTTGGATTGTTTGCCGCTCCATTCGTGGAGGCGGAAGTGAAATGGGAAGCTAAACTGGCCGAGCTTCCGTATAATGCTCGCGATTGTCCGAAAGTGCCTCTAGAAGGATTGTCTGGTGAATCTAGAATAGATGAAGACGAGGTGCTTGCATGCATACTTGCACTACCTGCACTTTGCTCTGTAAATTGTCTTGTCATTGCGTCACTTCTTTTAACAGTAGGAGCATCTCTAGTCTTTCTGGTTGGCGGTAAGGTTGAAGGTGATAGCATCGGAACTCCTGCACTGCGTACTTGCGGGAGATTGACCAATTGAGAGAACCAAGGCGCTTCCTCTTCTTCCGGCTGATCTTCTAGCTGCAAAGCATTGCCCTTTTCCGTTACTGTGTCGAGTGAGTTCGATGGCAGGCCACTTTCTGTTCGTGATGACTGTCCTGTAGAGTTGCCATTCTGTCCTGATTGCTGGTATTCGTCTGTTGATTGATCAAAATTGTCCAGTATATGCTTTAACCAGATCATAGGAGGTGGACTTGCTTTACGATTTGGCAACCTTCCTTTTTCTGTTGGAAGTCGACAGTAGAAATTCAAAGGACCACTACTTGCCTCAGCATCGAATTCATCATCTTTTGCCATTTTGCAATTCTATCGCCGGTAGGATATATTGACCATCATTTTCATGTGATGATGTGTTTGTACAAGATCCGATTTCTTAGTTTAAACGCGTGTGTTTTCAAAGCAACGGCTTAATATTATTATGGTAAACTGCCTTGTGGAGAGAGTAAAATCACATCAGCATTTGAGCAGTGTTTATTTTTAACCTTTTTATTGATGCAGGTTTAATTATCTTGCATGACACAACAATCAAACACTTTGTTGCTTTGGCCGCTCACCATCATGATGAGTGTTTGGATGTAAAGAGATACAAGAAAAGGTAATCTTTAGCATTCATCCGTCTCTCCCCTATTTCACGACACCAAAACAGCTTTCCCCGAAACTGGATGTCAACATATCAAAGATGACGACCATACAACGCTTCACGCCTCAACACTCACCCTCTCACCCTTCATCAAATGCATCACCTACTTCATCCGTCAGCGCAGAAGAAGAAAGAGCTGAAATCCACCCGCCTCAAGAGCAAGAACAAGAACAAATCCGACCTCCAAAAGAGTTTGAAATCCCAAATGCTCTACGTGGATGGACTGCACATCAAAGCCATGGCCAGGCCACTGTGCTATTCTACGTCCCACGCTGGGTACAAGCAGAAGCATTAGATGTGACTATCGAAGAGGATTACATCGTTGCAGGAATGCGAGGCCACAAACCAATCGTAAGTGCACGCTTAGCAGGTAGGATCAATTCTACCACTTCTGCATGGCAATTAGAACGAAAGTCAAACGGGAAACGCAGTCGAAGCAGAAGCAGAACACGAATGAGAACACGTTCAAGCGATCAAATCAGTAGTAACTCTTCTAGTGGTAAAGGCTGGGTAAAGGCGGGCGCAAGACCTTCAAGAGAAAGCGGTGTGGCCACAAATACGACCAGTCGTCCAAACTCACCCGTTCAAAGCGATACATCAAGCTTTGAAATGTTAGCCAGAAGTATTGATACGCTTGCTTCAAGACCATCAATGCCAAGTAGCGAAGGAATAGGATCGCCACGCTCTCTTTCACAAAGTATGACATTATCGGATGACAGCAACGCACGCAATTCCACAGCAGGAGGTGCTCGAAGTATGGAATCGAGCATCAGCATTGAGCATAGCCAGACACCTTCCAGTAGCAGCAAAGGAGACACTTTCGAAGACCCAACAAGGGATGCCAAACTTGTCACTTTGCACTTGGATAAGATCGACGGTGGAATATGGCCTTGTATTGTAGAAGGCCCCGTCCCTACCAGGGAAGCAATGGCACACCCTTCAACTCAACCACTTGCACGTCTCGTATCTGTGCAATCGCAAGGTTCACTGAATGCTGCAATCAGTGAAGCTATTCGACAACAACAAAGCCGGTCACGGGAAAATTCATTTGATTCTTCTGATGGGAACGAGCCCATGGTCAATGAAAGCACGTTGACCGTGGATACAATATCTAGTGACGATAGCACAACTGTTTTGGGTAGCGGACAAACGGCACAAATGGAAGAGGATTTGTACAATATGGACCCAATAAGTCTCACATTGATGGGAATGCAACATGCAAGAAGAAGCTCTTCCATGCCTTTTGGAGGGGCAAGTACTCGAGATGAATCGCAGGCGTTTGAATGTTACCGTCGAGCTTGGCGAGAAGCAGAAATACCAACGGCGATTGAACATCTTGTGCACTATTACCTCCCTCTCAATCCAGCAAAAAAGTCCACAATCTTGGCTTCCTACAGACAACGCTTGACTGCCGCTTTAGGAGGTTCAACAGCCTTGGCTCGTCTTTACGTCTCTTATGCTCACCTATACATGCAATCGTACGAATTTGATCGGCCACTTTTGGCACTTCCCCTAACAGGAATGTCAAATAATCCCTTTGGTGCACATTCTGTTATGCATGAGGGGATACAAGGAGACAATGAAGGGATCGGTCCATTGCAGTATTTACTAGAAGCAAGGAACTTGGACCCAGCTTTGGTCATCTCAGAGGATGATTGGCAAGAAGCAAAGAAGTTGGACGAAGAGCGAAGCGCACACCACAGTTGGAGTGGGGCAGCCTCACCTTCTGCCAGATCAGACGATACCGGCAGTCAACCGAGCTCAGGCAAAAGTCGAAAGACAAAACGTCGTAAAGCCGGATCAAGACGTGATAAACTTGGAGGACACCATCATCATCATCATTCGACAGATCAAGGAATCGTATTCTTGGTCGTCAGTAGAGCTGCTCTTTTGAGTGTTGCCGTGGCAGGTTGTATGGCCGTTGCAGGTTGGTATCGAAGAGCAGCTACTGGCGCAGGTGCTTAACAGGAAGGGTTGTTCACTTTCTTTTCTCATTTTTGTCATCATTTGTATTCAACACAGTACCTTTTCCAGCATGACTGAAGATGAGTAGGATAGATCTCATAATTGTGTTGGCAGGCTCTCAACTAGCTTTCGAGTCAGATTGCGGGACAGATGCATACTTCAAGCGTGTATCATATGGTATTATTGAAAGAACATTGATGGAGAGATTATCTACTCAAAAGAAACGACGATACGTCCCTTAAGATCCTTCTGATTATATCTGTCGTATACATCTTGAATCTTTTCGATCGGGAACGTTTGTTCGATGTATGTCTTGCAACCGCTCCTCTTATGCATATCGACCATCTCTTGACATTCGTGTGGAGTACAAATCAAACGACCACGAATAGTTTGTTCTTTGAAACTCAAAGCGAAGGAATCCACTTCCAAAGGACCATCAGCGGGTAAGCCAACATCAACGATCATTCCACCTTTTCGCAAGAATTGCTGAGTGAGCCTTGGAAGAGCACGATCTTCAGCACAAATGATCGCTTTATCAACTCCAGGATCCGAGTCGTAGAAACTGCCACTGAGCTTTTCAATGTTTTCGTCGTTGATGAGGTATTTTTGATCAGGTTTAAGATGATCAGGAATTGAGTCCAAAACATCCAAAGCTTCTTGACGATTATCCAATGCTACAACTTTGAATCCCAACGCTTTGGCGTATTGAACACCTAAATGACCTAAACCGCCTCCAGCTCCAACGATTGCAAGCCATTTATCCTTTTCTACACCAGCTGCTTTAAGAGCGCCAAATACTGTTGCTCCTGCACAGAAAAGAGGTGCTGCTTCGGTGAAGGGGATTTCTTTTGGAATCTTTCCAACAACGCGAGCGTCCATTCGGCAATATTCTGCAAATCCACCGTCAATTGTCAAACCCAAGAGACCCTTGATGTTTTCACATAATTGTTCACCGTTCTTCTTGCATGATTTGCACTTTCCGCAATATCCATATGTATTTATACTTCCAACACGATCTCCAACTTGTACTTTTCCATCTTTCTCCGCATCAGGACCTAAAGCCACGACCACACCTGCAGGTTCATGACTACCGATCATACCTTGAAATGTACCTTGTGATTTGTAGACGCCTTCTAATGTTTGAACGTCTGTATGACACATTCCTGCTGCTTTCACTTGAACCAAGATGTCATAGCCTTTTAGATCTTTTGGAACGGCATGTTGTGCATCTAAAGCCATGCTCTTCTTCCAATCCTTAATCACACCAGCCTTCATGGTGGAAGGAATATCGTTAATGCTTTGTACGGAAGTCATTTTGAGAAGATGGGAGATGATATGCTCAAAGGAGAAAATGAATGGACAGCATCTCGCTTTTATATATGATGTCGCACGACTCCATATTACACACATATACGACATCCACTTCATACCATAGAAGGGTTGATAAAGGGTCACTTTCTAGTGTTGGTCATAGAACCCTGAAATATGACACAAAAGATTTGTGGAGGAGAGGGATGCATGCTTACATAATCGCAAAAGTGATGTGAAAATCTTAATGCGATCGACTGCTTTGATAAATTAAGTTAGAAAATAAGCAGATTTCAGGAGTCTTCCGTCTATTTGGCGAAGTTGATAGTCATCATGTCGATGATGAAGATGGAAAATTGAATCTATGCAATTCCATCGAAAAAATTTACACTACATTTACGGAATGTGTGAAAATAAATTTGATAAATAATTTGTGTAAAATTCAAACAAAGATTAATTTAATTTCACTTTTATGTTATTTGTTTGTTCAACTTTCGGACACAGATAGTTAGTCAGGTAAGAGACAGCATAGTGAGCATGTGATGACTTCAAGCAAAATTGTGTCGCCCACTGTTTACCGTCAAAAAATGTTTCTCGCACAAGTCTGATGGATTGCTTAAATCCGTTGATTGAGCTAATTGGATCGCATCAAAGTACGTTGTACCAGCAGCAATGCTCCTAGTCCACCGTTGAAAATACTGATCTTCTAGAACTTGATTGATTAGTGATCCGTTTTTGCCATCGATATTCTCAAGGCAGCAGCACTGGCTGCTACCACTTTAATGTATTTTTACTGATGACTGTATTGGTATTGTAAGCTCTATAATCCCATCCAAAAATGTGGATCATCTACGGTACCCTGTAGGTGTACGGCTTTCGAAGAGATACAACGATGTGCCTTACTTTTAGCCATAATGGAACAAGGTACATCTCTCTCAAACGGAGACGTTGCAACAACAAGGTCGCCATCCTTAAATGTGTATATCAAGCTACATATATGCCTTCCCTATGCATCAAAGTGTGGTTTAATACGTGCTGAGATCTATAGTACATTGTATCCGATATTATAATGTCTCTCATCTCGAATCATTTCCAGATGAGGGTTGCTCGTTGTTTGGCAAATGTCCATCACGTAAGCTCAAGAACCTCTTTCGTAAACGTTCCATCGGACTGAGCATACCATCACCATCTATCTGTGCAGGTTTGAGTCGCATATGTTCCTTATCCGCCGTTCCTCCACGAACGAGTCCTTTCCACCAAGCCCGTACATCATGTGCACGCGATCGTAACCTAGCAATCGGTCCAACGAAGTCACCGTCTAAGAAAGGTGGTCGTAAAGCAGCCAACAATCTTGCCTTTTTCGATGGAGGAAGAACATTTTGGATCTCTACACCACTTTGACCTTGAAGTGCATTCACCACCAAAGCATTTATCCTGCCTTCTTGCAAACGTTGTTGTAGGAATCGTGAATATGTCATCCATAGCCCTTTCCTGGATGTGTCCACATGCGTTCGTACACGTTGATAACCAAACTTTTCTATTCGAGATTGCAACAAAGTGAAACCCATACTGGATTCAACATCGTGCGTTGAATCTAATCTACTTGTGGAGATTGGAGCGTCTTCCTTGTCTATTGAAGCTGGTAATTGTTCTGTGAATGTCAAGTTTTCCGTCACTGCCATAACTGTTGTATGATCCAGGTTTCGTGTCCAACATTTCATCTTTCTTCCTTCTCCGTCTGTCCGTTGATCGGATGCTGAAAAGGGTGAATCCAGTTCTACTTCACTTTCTTCCAATACCCAACTTTCTGCATTTCGCAAGATTCCTGAAGGTGCCCATTTCGGTAGTGTTCCTTTTTTGAGAATCAGCCTTGTGGTTTTGAGAATGTGCTGCATATCTTCTCCCTCCCCTTCTGTGATTGATGAACCCCAAAAGCTTCTTGATGGTCCTGCAGCTTCTTCCCGCTGCTGCTGCAAAGCTGCCTGTCTTGAAGAGCTGGGATCGGAGATTGTTTCATGTTGGGACGTTTGCCTTATTCGAGGTCTGCTTATAATTTGCCTTGCTAGAACATCAACTGATACGACATGAGATGCCAATTCGTTTGGATATCTCAGAAAGTAAACCGGACATAAGATCGCATAAGGTATGTCCAATTGTGCATGATCGGTGAATGTGCGGACCATTTCCACGAGAGAGGTTTAAGGAATGGCCACTACCTCTTCTACCTACTTGATGATCGTGTGTGAGTATCACAAAAGTACTTTTATCATACTTTTATGTTGTGGAGTGAATTACCGCTTTTGCTTCGATCGGGAGCCGGGGCGAGAGAGAAAAAGAAAAAAGAAAATGGCAACACCACAGAAACACACACAGAAGGTTCTCGCTGAGCCACAAATCCAAAAAATAGACTTTTGTGTCCGCTAAACGGGCGGAAATTAGACTGGAGCTCCGTCCGACGGCAAAAGGCAAAAAGGCAGCATATACATTCGCACGCGACTTATTTCACATTCCAACACACTTATTCAAGGCGATCTGAACATTTACAATCAGCAATTTGATAGCATGCATACATCTTACTTGACAAGCTGATCTTGGCCACTTTTTTGCGTCAAGACCAAGAAAAGGGTAATAAACAATGCTTCAACACGTTGTTTGACAACCATAGTCGTTCCATGCGAAACAAGTCCTTTGAGCAATTGACTTTCCAATCCTTGATAAAGGCCTTTGACGCCATTCCTTCTGATCGTTTTACGTAGAACATCTGCTAAACTCCTGTAAACCCGTTTTCCGCTTGGACTCTTCCACTGCAATCTTGTCTTACTCAAAATCAGAGGGAACAAAGCAGCCGTGCTCAACGCATTACCACCTGCATTCACCAAGAATGTTTGAAGACTTGACGGTTTTGCTTGAGCAGATTTGGGTAAAGTTGCACGAGAGATAATATGCGATAAAGAAAACGTCAAAGCAGGCGTGATACTCAGCAAGACTGCAGTTTCATAGCCTGACCATAATCCTGCGATCCCCTTCTCTTTCCTGATCTGCTGCATCGTTTCCATAATTCCAGGTCCAGATCCGTATTCATCTTCATCGTCACTCTCAGAATCGTTCGGCTCAACTTGCTTGCCTTTACCTTTCTCATCCTCCTTTTTCTCCTTGGCAGTTGCGCTCGTTTGCAAACGTACAGTAACATTACTCAAAGGTGTTGTGAAAAATCTACTCAAAGCGCCTGCCAACATACCCACAATCAAATCTTCAGCAGTCGTCAATGCAAATTTAGCAGAATTTGCTTTGCTAGATGTACCCGAAGATGATATCCTTCTTTCCCGTACCCTTTCCACCAAAAATCCACGAAAATAAAAGAATAAGAAATTACTCAAAGCATTGGAAAGTGAATCAGCTCCCCATCCTTGATATAATCCAGAAACGCCATTCTTTTTCACGATATCCTGCAATGCTCCATAAATGGATTGATAGCCCGCTTTACCATCTTTACCTTTCGATTGCGTTTGCAGGCGAGTTGATAGCAGGTCTAGCGGGTATACGACTGTATTGCTTACCAGCGATCCACAAGCTCCAGCAGTTGCTTGTGCCAATGGTGGCTGTTGTAGAGGGAGAGAGAGAAAGAAGCGTTAGCCGTTGTCACCGCTTTTGCTTCAGCGTCACTGTGCGAATCAGAATTAGGATCTAATCCTTCCCATGACTACCGCTCTGACTCTTCATCGTAATCATTACTCACCAATTGACTCTCTCCCATATTGATTAGTTGTAGCTGGTAGTTGTCAAGCAAGATTGTTAATTACCCGTTTCGACCGGATGTGGAGAGTAGCCGAATAAAAGCAAGCCAGAATAACAGTGTCTTCTTATACCCTGAAAATCCCGTCGCGCCTGAAAGTGGGCAGACATGAGCGCAGCGCACCCATAAGCTCTTCTCTATCACACACACGCGGGAAGGTGCGAGAAAATCACATCAATTAATGTCATGATGAACAATTGTATGTAAGAGTATGAATGAGTAGCTGAATGAAAGAGTGCTTCCCCAAAGATGTCCTTCGAGTTTGCCCACCATTTACAGCATTTTTTTGGTTAATGACAAGACCGTACGATAAAGAGGCAATATACATGTAGCTTTTTCCAACAATTTATCTTGTGGCACCGGCCATACCCTTTTGAACGGCCCGCTTGAGACGCAAAGATGAACGACGGTAATCATCTGCAGATGCATCTTCAGTTTCAAGCAATTCCAAAGCCTTGGCCAATTCTTGTTCAACTTGAACCTTCAAGTTACGCTTCATGTTAACGTTTGGTCCGCTGATCGTGCTTTCAACATTTTCGGCGTATTGGCTCAATTCTTGACGAGCATCGTGACGGGCTTGGAATTCTTTGTCGGATGCCTTGAATTGTTCGGAATCCTTGATCATTTGTTCGATTTCAGTGGATGACAAACGACCGACAGAGTTGGTGATTGTGATGTTTGCCTTGCGTCCAGATGTACGTTCTTGAGCGGAAACACGCAAAAGACCGTCAGATGTAACGTCGAATGTGCAGATCAATTCAGCTTGACCCTTTGGCATTGGTGGGATACCAGTCAATTCGAATTCACCCAACAATTTGTTTTCCTTGCATTGAGTACGCTCTCCTTCGTAAACGGGGAAAGTGACTTGTTGTTGGTTGTCTTCGACAGTTGTGAATGTACGGGTCTTGGAGCATGGGATTGGAGTGTTACGGGGAACAACGACACCGAAAACGTCACCTTGCATAGCAACACCGAGAGAGAGAGGAGCGACATCCAACAACAAAAGATCAGCAGTCTTGTCGCTGGTTTGGTTGGTCAAAACAGCAGCTTGAACGGCAGCACCGTATGCGACAGCTTCGTCAGGGTTGATAGATTTGTTCAATTGACGTCCACCGAACAATTCGGAAACGAGAGATTGGATCTTGGGGATACGGGTAGATCCACCGACCAAGACGATATCGTCAACCTTTTCGGCGGCCATCTTGGCATCCTTCAAGACCTTTTGGACGGGGTCCAAAGTGCTCTTGAATGCGGCAGCGTTAATCTCTTCGAAACGTGCACGGGTGATGTTTGCTTGGAAGTCAACACCGTTGAACAAAGAGTCAACTTCGACGGTGGTTTGTGTAACACTGGACAAAGTACGCTTAGCACGTTCACATGCGGAACGGAGACGACGGGTTGCACGTGGGTCACCAGAGATGTCAGCCTTGTGCTTACGTTCGAACTCCTTCTTGAAGTGGTCCAACAGAGAGTTGTCAAAGTCTTCACCACCCAAGTGAGTGTCACCTGCAGTTGCCTTGACGGCGAAAACACCACCGGTGATGTTCAACAATGAAACATCGAAAGTACCACCTCCCAAATCGAAAATCAAAACGTTCTTCTCGGTTGCGGATTTGCTGTCCAAACCGTAAGCAATGGCGGCAGCGGTAGGTTCGTTGATGATACGCAAGACTTCAAGTCCAGAGATGGTTCCTGTTAGTAGAAAAAATGTGTGTCAGTTTGTCACGTTGTAAGATATCACGGTGATACTGTGGCCATGCGCTCATTTAAACAAGATGAATATCTCGTTTTCTGCATACATCGTCTAAAACGATGATCTCAGTTTTAGCATGGAATATTTGTGTAATCCCAGCGCACATAGTCCCCAAGGAGAAAAAACTTACCTGCATCTTTGGTTGCCAAACGTTGGGAGTCGTTGAAGTATGCGGGAACTGTGACGACTGCCTTCTTAACTTCTTTGCCGATTTTTGCTTCAGCAATTTCCTTCATTTTGGTCAAAACCATTGCAGAGATTTCTTGAGGAGAGAATTGCTTCTTTTCACCCAAGTAATCGACTTCAATGAATGGGCTTCCTTCTTTGTCGACGACGGTGAAAGGCCAGTTTGTCATATCCTTCTTCACTTCTGGGTCATCAAAACGACGTCCGATCAAACGTTTTGCATCGAAAACGGTTTGACGAGGGTTCATTGCGGCTTGGTTCTTTGCTGCATCACCGATCAAACGTTCAGATTCGGTGAAAGCGACGTATGAAGGTGTGGTACGGTTACCTTGGTCATTGGCAATGATTTCCACACGTTCGTTGGTCCACCAACCGACACAAGAGTAAGTGGTACCCAAATCGATACCGATGGCACCTTGGTAAACGTCATCAGACGCAGCTGGGATTTCGGCGGACATGATGTGAAAAGTCCTTGTTGTATTTTTGGATGATAGAGGTAAAGATGATAAAAATTCGCTCAAAAAAGCGAGAAGATGGTAAAGGCTGAGAAGATTTTAGCAACAACAAAAAAAAATTCTAAAAGGCAGGCGCGCGCGCTTAGACCCCGGGCATTAAAGCAGGACAAATTAGTCGAAACTAGAAGATGCACACCTATAGGCCCAGAGTTGATGCATCTTCTGCTAGAGCGAGCAACAGCACCACTGTTTGTGCTTAAAAAGAAATTAATTTTTTTTTCTTCCCATGCATACACGCGTGACGGCTGTTATTGTATTGCAATACAATGTAGGGTAAAAATTGTATTGCTCCGTCCGCAGCCGTTAACATATTTTATTAGCATTTGTATATTCTGTCTATTCATTCATTTTCATACGTAAGCAAACTAATAGGTCAGGGTCGGAAGACTGCGTACGACTTTAAATTTTTATGCTATGACCACACCATCACTATCAGTAATCATGGCTAGTCCTTTGGCAAGTACGTCAAGGCATATGCTTGGCAACAGCGGTCATGGCAAGGGGTCAGTATCAGGCCTTGTCAGACGAGCATTTACTTCTTCAGCCTACCAAAAAGATGCTCTTACTGCTTCAGGAAGTAGCGTTAGGGAAGCAGAACCAGTGGCATCTTCGAAAGAATATTATGACAATCTCAAAGCAAACGAGAGACAAGCTGCAATAGATCAAGAAAGGGAAAGACTTCATATTCGACAGGCTCGTCTACGCAATTTAGCTGATTTGGGTTCCACACAAACTCGTGAAAATTCATACAGGCCGCATCACGGACGTTTGAATCCAATCACAGCACGTCAGTTGACTGTTTCCCACTTGATGGCGGCAACAGCACATGTCGGACATGCAAAATCATCTCTTTCTCGAGCGTCTGCTGGTTTTGTGTATGGTACGAGAAATGGTCAAACGATCATCGATGTGGAACGCTTCACTTTGCCTGCTTTGCGATTGGCTTGCAAGATTGTCAAAGAGACTGTATTTAGGGATGGTGTAGTTGTATTCTTGGGGACAGCCGAAGGTACGGAACATGCAATTGTCTCCGCTGCAAAAAGATTGGGCAAGAATGGGTTCCATGTAACAGGTGGACGTTGGTTGCCGGGTACATTGAGTAACGCTCCGAAAGTGTTGGGTCGTGCAATTTTGGCAAATGTAGACGAATACGAAACATATCTTCGTGAGGAGCAGAGCGAGAAGGAGTCTAAAAGAAACAACCGGGGTCGTTCAAGAGGCAATGAAGAAGTCGAAGCAGATCCTCTCAATCTGGCCACACAACGATTAAAGCCAGATTTGATCGTTGTTTTGAACCCGAAGAGCAATCTTTATGCCATCAATGAAGCCACACAAGCAGGTGTTCCCACCATTGGTGTGATTGATACAGATGTCGATCCACGTTTGGTCACGTATGCTATCCCTGCAAACGATGAAAGCGTGCGAACGTGCGAGTTGGTGGTTGGCTTATTAAGTAAAGCAGGACAAGAAGGTTTGGAAAACCGAAAAGTTTGGGAAGATGAACAAGATAAGAAGCAGAGCAAGGCTTTGCGCAATTCACGTCGGGCTCCCTCTAAGAAAGCCGCAGAATCAAGTGAAGCCACAGAATCAAGCGAAGAGTAGAACAAGCATTACATGTACACAAACAATCATCAATTCAATTTCTGAGCTAATAATATACATCAATAATGGGTATCTAGATATTTGCTGCGTCATGGGCTGCCTAAGCACCCCACTCGCCTGCATTGGCTAATTTGGAAAAGGGACCACCTTTCTGTCTTATAAGTTGCTCGTAATGACCGTCTTGTACCACCTTTCCGTTTTGCAAGACCAAGATTCGATCACAAGCCTTCATCAATTCCAACTTGTGCGTAACAATGAGAGTGGTAAGGTGATCTTGCAAATTCAGTAAATTTTTTGAAACTTTTTGTTGATTTTCCGGGTCTAAAGCAGAAGTACATTCGTCCAAAATTCGAATCGCAGCTCTTCCTCCCATGAAAGAAGGGTCTCGGACCAGGCAACGTGCAATGGCAATCCGTTGTTTCTGACCGCCAGAGATTGTACTTGCTTTTTCTCCAACGATTGTATCTAATCCTTTTCCTAATGAACGAACGAAATCAGCAGCACATGCGATCTCCAATGCATACCACATTGATGCTTCTGTTAGGCTTGGGTTTGCGAGCAAAAGATTGTTTCTGATCGTATCGTCAAATAAATCAGTTTGTTGTGAAACAGATGTCAAATGATCACGTAAGTGATGGATAGCAATTCTGCATAGCGGAGATTGATCGTCCATCACGATCACACCGTCCGTTGGTTCGTATAAGCGTTGTAGCAGGGCTGTAATTGTACTTTTTCCGCATCCACTCTGTCCCACTAAAGCAACCTTTTCACCTTGACGAATCACAAAAGAACAATTGTCCAACACCAATCGATCTGGTCGTTGCGGGTAGGCGAATGTGACGTTATGGAATGCGAACGAGCCAAATAGAGGAGGCACAGATTGACCTGCATGTTCGCTTGAATTGTGTGTGTTCATATGCAACAATTTTTTGACATCATGAATAGCTTTGATGGATTTGGTCATGTTCGGCAGATAAGCCAAGATATGTGCTGCAAAAGTGATACCAAAGATGATCAAGTTGAACACGATGATCATACTTGCAAGAGACAATAATCCTTTGATGAGCAAGATTGCGCCGATATAATACAAAAACGCTTGGGCAAGATATGTGCATCCATCTTTCAACCCGTATGCGAATCCGCTGTAAGGAGCAGCATGGAAGGCATTGATTGATGTCCATCGAACAGCATCCTCGAAATTCGCTGTAAAGACTTGATGAAGTGCCATTGCACGAATTTCACGGGCGTGTCTGATCATCATATAGAACCGTTTGGCAACACGTTCTCGTTGAAGTTTGTTTTGCTTCTCGTAATGCAACATAATCTTGGATTGCATGGAGATCACGAAATAAAACACAGGAGCTAAAGCCAAACCTGCCAACGTTAATTGCCATGAAACGATGATTGCCCAAACAAAGATTACCAACATCATCGTGAGTACGACCAACATCTCACCAATGATTCTACTGATGAAACTTTTTGCATCTTCTGCATCTTTGATTAAGCGGGTAATGAGCGTTGAATTTGAATTTTCTTCCCGATCGAACCAAGTTTTGTCTTGGGAAAATGTTCGCATTACCGCCTCACGTCGAACTGATTCAACCCAATAATTTGCTGAAAGTTGTAGGAGAGCAAATCGTAAACATTGTGCAGCACCATCAGCAAATGCCAAACCGAGCACGATCGATGAAAGTTGCGTAACGGTTGCTTGTGCATTGGATATTGCCATTGTTGCAAGAAGTTTACCCATTATGAACGAGAATGTTGGTTGAACACATCCACCGATAACAGTGCAGAATAATCCCAGAGTAAACACGAACTTTCTTGGTTGTGTTGTCCAGGTGATTCGTATGGCTCCAAGGAACATACGACTGAAATTATCTCCCTTTGCACCACTTTCAATCTTGTCATCTTCATCATAAATCCATCCTTGCTTTTCTTTCTGTTTATCAAGGACTTCAAGTTGCTCTTCTTCTTCTTCGTCGAACTCTTGCAACTCATTTTCACTCCACATCTTTCGCAAAGGCTGATCGGGTCTCCGAACACTCACTGCCACACTACTATTCTTCAAGCTTTGTTGCATTCCATCCTGTACAACATTGCGAATTTGTTGCTCCTGCGGTAATCGAAGTGGTCTCAATTTTGCATGATGGCCAACACTGTATGCTCCTGTCAGAGTGGATGTGGAAGATGTCATACTTGAGATTGAGGAAGAAGATTGCTTGTGTGTCATGCGCTTGACAGAAGGTGTTGGATATGCTGGCACTTTGTCCATACTCTCACGAGATGCCATCATCACTTCTCTGCTTGTGTGCCTTTCAACGTCCATCATGTAATCTTCCAATCCGCCACCGGGAAAGATGCTAGCGGCCCATCTGGAAGCACGATGATGCTGTCTTTGCATGAGGAATTGCTGCTGAGAAGCTGCGAATGAGGTTTGGTTGGACAGTGCTCTTGATGCACGCCATTCCATGCCGGTGGGGCTTGGAACATCCTTGGCTACTTCATCATGTCGCTCTTCCTCAATCTGACGTGCAAATCTACCTCCTTGATATTGCTCCAATTGGGTCCTGTACCCGTGTTCAACAACTTTACCCGATTCCATCATATACACATAATCTTCTGGATCAATCTGCTTCCAATCGTGAGTGATGATGATTGTCGTCTTATTCTTACGCCATTGTCGAATCAAAGCCATGACTAAAGATCTGTTTGTGATATCCAAGGCACTCGTTGCTTCATCAAGTATTAACACGGTAGGATCACGTATGATCGCTCTTGCAAGTGCTAATCTTTGCTTTTGTCCACCACTCAAATCTACTCCTCCAACGCCCAACTTTGTATCGTATCCGTTTGGCATCTTTCGAATATCTGCATCCAACAAAGTCATCTTGCATGCCTCAATCACTCGTTTCCGTGAAAGTTTTGGAACGTGGTTTTCTTGAATTTGAACGTCTTCTTGTACTCTTCCACACAAACCCAAAGCGATATTGTCATGAACGTTCATATCAAAGATGATCGGATTTTGATCGATTGCAGAAATGTGCGCTTTTCGCCAGACTGGATCTAAGAATTGCAGGTCTTGCTCATCCAGCAACATTGAACCACGATAACTGTCATAGAGACCTAGTAGAAGATGGGAAATTGTCGATTTACCCGAACCACTTTGTCCCAGGATGAACGTCGTTTCTTTTGCGGGAATAAACATGCTAACGTCACTCAAGACAATATCGTCCGACCGGGACGGATAAGCGAAAGTGATGTGTTGCAAATCCAATTCTCCTTCACATGATCTTGTCGGCCAAATACGCTTCATCGGTCGAGCAAATGTGGGTGAAAGAGGCAAATGTGACAATTTCGACCTTTTCTTCAAAAGTCTGCGGGTCGATTTGTCATCGGAGTAGAAAGACGATTTGGAGGTAGGTGTATTTGGTAGTCCCAATTCGATCGAGGGCACACGTTTCTTGATGCGAGTCACCATATCATCAAAGTCACCTTGAGGGGAATCAACAAAATGTTCTTGGCCGGGTATGGCTGATTCAAAACCGTCATTGAATGAAGCTGTTTCATCCATTTGAGGTTTAGTTTGTATTTTCATGCGATCTTTTTCGTCTGCAGGTTGAACGATCTTTGTCAAGCTTGCGGCTGCTACCTTGCCTAATTCGAGGAACGTGAGACGTTGAATCATTGGACCGACAGTATTACCAACGATTACACAACTCCAAAACGTGGTAAAGATTTGACCTGGCGATGCTTTGTTGGATTGAACCAGGTAGCCACCGTACCAAAAACCTGTGGCAAACATCATCAAACCCATCCAAGCCATCACACCCAAACGACCACCATAAATCCATGCAAGCTTATTCCAAGCAATAATGGTCTTGTGAATCGATTCCATAAGCTCATGTACTTGCCTGGACTGTAGATTCAAAGCTTTGACAGTTGTGATCGCTTGAACAGATTGTTCCAACACTTTTCCTGCTTTTGCCATATTTTCCATATCCATCAAATGCCAAACGGTTGCACGTTTTTGAACAAAGTGTACCATGACCATCATTGCAGGAATTGTGGAAAGGACGACAAACGTAAGTGACCAACAAGACACAAAAGCCAAGATCAAGCCGGCCAAAAGCGTTGCTGCTGATTCGATCATTTGCCCAGAAGTTTGACTTGCTGCGATTCGGATTTCATCCGTTTCTCTTGAAAACTTTGCCATCAATCCACCTGCACCTACACTTCCTCCTTCTGCGGTAGAGCTTATTCCTGCATTCTTTGAAAGTGTAACTTCATACCAACTCATTTCATTCTTGTCCATTTTTGCATATGTTTCCAAACGCCATTCTTTTGCGACTCGTTCGCCGATAATTATCCAAAGACTTATCATTGTTGTACTTAATATCAGTGTTCCAACACCTAAAGCGCAAAATTTCCAAATCACACCAACGATCGAATGCATGAATGCATCTTTCTGTGATTGTGGAACCAGATCAGGACTCAATTGTTCTCGATTGTATTGCGTGAATGCATCGAATGCACCTCCAATCACTTTTGCCATGAGGGCGGGTATGACACCGGCACCTATTGAAGCTGCAATGGCAGGTATGAAGAGAATATAATCACGTTTTGATAGTTTGGAAAAGATGAGCTTGATCGATCCACGAGGGTTGGTGGAGGCCACTACAACGGGTGGCTTGTTGCTCATCTTTGGCTCTCTTGGTCGTTTCATCGTGACATGTATACTGGTGGCGATGTCAGAAGGGGTAGGGGAGCTGGGATGTGATGGAATGGTTGGTAAAGACTACTGGTTCCTGAATGTCCTCCTCATAACCACATCAGGACTTATGCCAAATTGGCTATCCGCCGCAAAGACGGGCCAAATGAACCGACTCAGCATTGATTCATTACATCTTCAAAAGGTAAAATGAGCTGTTCTCTTGGATCAACAGCCAACAATTGCCAACGGTTTTCGTTGAGAAGAACAAAGGGATGCTGGTAAAATGATTTCATGCATTTACAAGAAAAGGAAGTGGGGAAGCAAAAGATACTGATAAAGTGCACTTTTGTGGTGTGTCTTGAATAAGAAAGAACAAAGGGAATAAGAATCACGCTAAAAACAAAAAAATAATAAATGGGCCGTTGATTAAATAATCTGACTTGCAAGGCTGATTATATAAGATGATTTCTAGTTCAATGCGAATGTTTCCATTCCACGCTAAGACGAGCGCAAAACCCACGCAGTGCACAGGCAAATGAAAGAACCGGATTTAAACCTATCTTTGCATGAGAAGATACTCCACAATAAGAAGTACTGTTAAAGTGCAACAAGAAGAACATGCCACTCAAATCAATCACCGAGGTGGTGTGGAAAGAGGTTCAACAAATGTGGATGCATACTCTTCGCACCTTCTCTTCTCACCATAACCTCTTCTCGTTGTAATCATGTCTAGCCGCACTTTCTACGATCAAGTTTTAGCCCTTACCGGTAAGGGAACACCAAATTACTCGTTATATGCTGTCCCAATTGCGCTTGCTTTGTGTTTGTTACCTCACATCTTTGCAATCGTTGTTTTGAGCGGTGGTAAATTTGAAAATACAAGTCCACGTCAATACGTTGCAAGTGTCAACAAGAAAGAAAAGAAGACTGGCACAGATGCTGCTTTCTTGCGTGCTGAAGCCGCTCAACAAAATGGATTAGAACAACTCGGTTTCTTCGCTGCTGCCGTTGTAGCCGGCAATATCGTGAGTACATCAGAAAAACCTTAAAAGAGAACCATTACTGATCTAACCTTCTTTCTACAGGCCAAATTGCCAGCTGAAGAATTGAACGCTTTAGCATTCGGCTACTGTGCAAGCCGTGTTGCATTCAACATCGTTTACATCACAAACACAAGCGAAGTTTTGTCTTATTTGCGTTCTGCCGTCTTTTTCGTTGGTGTCGGACTCACAACTCGTTTGTACTTCCGTGCTGCTCAAGTTTTGGCATAAGAAGAAAGAAAGGAGGGAAATAAAGTGTAGATAAAAAATTGCATATTGCTATAATGAATGCTATCTATTGCTACATACTGGCGATCATGATGAGGGTTTGATGGTGTTTGTTCGATTCCGATGAATGGAATCCCATAGTCGTACATATTCTTCCAACATTGCACCATAGAATAACCACAAATCTTCATCTGAACTGTCGATTGAGGAGAATTCTGTACTAATTCGGTGTAAATCTTCCTCTCCCTCGTTGGTAAGTTCTGAGTGCAAACTGTTTGGAGGACTCAAAACTTGTCCAAAAGTCGATGAAGGTGGAGAAGAATAAATAGTGGAGGCCGAAAGTGAAACACTTCTTTGTCTTTGACGCAATCTTGGAGTTGATTCTACATCTTGTATGCTGTCATTATCCTTCAGCATCGCAGCAGCAGAGGAGATTGCTCGATTTGCTCGATTTCGTAAAGTAGGTGTTGAATCACCACTACTTCCTTTATCGAGTGAAAAGTGAACGTGTGGTGAATTAAACAGACTTGGTCGACGTCGTGAGGCTCGAGGAGTTCGTTGATGTTCTTCCACCATAGTCGTATGGCTTGCTGTTGGAGATGATGAGGCTGTTGTACTTCCCGTAGGGGTGTGGAGTGATTGTTGCTGTTGAAATGATCGGACGAAGTCTTCATAGCTAATCTCTGGTTGGCCGCGATCGAGATACTGTTGAAAGAGGCAGAAGTAAACCGCACCAATGCAGGACTGCGGTATAGCCAATTCCTCATTGCCGCCATTTAGAAAGCATTGTGCACCAACCACCTGGCCCATCACATCAGCAATGCATTCAGTCTCAACTTTTGAGGTTTCGTTGCTAGTGATCCAACACTTGTTAGGTATGCTCTTCTTATCAAAAGGCTTGAATGGAAGACAATTCGAAGCACCCCAATATCCGATCGTTTTATCCACCGTTGTCTGTGAATCTTTCTGTCTCAATTCGGACAATCTCTTGCGCACATACAATGCTTGTCCTTCCAACGTTGAACGAGGATTGGCACGTAAATCGTTGAATTCGCTTACACAAGTTCCAACTTCATATCTTCTGACGGATTGCAGATCATCTTGATCATCGAATAAGAAGAATAGAAACAACTTATCATCCAAGCCTGCAGTTCCACCTGGACTTACAACTTGAACAAGCTGTTTGAACGCTTTCCATGTTTTTGTGTATTCTTCTCGGATCGTATTTCGTGCTTTTCCGAAGCCTTGACAACGTATCTGAGCAAGAAATGGGCGATGGCCATTGTGATTGGTTTTGTGGTCATTAAGAACGAAGAAAGGATTTGACAAGAACTTTAAACTTGCATCCCCATGTTGATCCGATCGAATGGGAACCAAAAGCTCATCAGAGGTAGACAATTGCACCAAGATGTCTTCCGGTCCAACAGGACAAGATAGATAGGATGCCATCAGATCCGATATGGAATCGACTACTCGACAATCATGGCGAAAATTGAATTTGTGCATCATCCAATCCCCAATAGTAGGTAAAAGGTTGAAAGGCTTTGTGGTTATCGAAGCCGGTATTGGCTCAAATATTGCCTTTTCGATCCCGGTCAAAAGAGGATATAAATTGTACTTTGCATTTTCATCAATTGTGCAGATGATGCAATCAATGTCTTGCATCTGGCCAGGCAGATTAACCTGAATTTGTTGAAGTAGGTTTTCCAATGCGGTGGATAATACATCTTTGCTTAGTCGTGGTGATCCTCCTATTCTATCCAGGGCTTGAGAAGCTTGAGAAATGCAAAATAAACCTTGGCCATGTCTTGATTCAATTACTGTCGCTTTTATTTGATCTTTTCGTGATGTAAGTATGAGAACTTTTGTTGTTTGTGTGAAACCACTTTGCTCAAAGAATGATGAGCTCATCACGTCTTATGATCGATTATGATTTTCAACCGTCGGAGGTGATGATGAAGGACATCCTGCTAAAAGAGGGGGAAGTCTGTGATCTCCATACACAACATTCAACCGTTTGGCCGTCTTTTTCTGCACAGAATTGCGCAATGCCGGGCAAAGTTACTCAATTCAATTCATGATAGCAAGACCGCTCGCTTGACTGAGTGTGAAAGGTCTAGAAGAAGGATGTCCGTCTACACAAGACAAGTGAATCGGACGGAGAAAGGGACAAGAATTCTCATGGGGACTGTGTGGGTTTGCGTGTGGATTTAATGCATTTCATCTATCTAGATCGAGGGTTTTGACTCTTTCAATGCATCACTCCGTTCGGAGTTGGAGGCGTAGTATACCGTAATTGATCTCGATTGCATTCATCCCTTTGAGAGTACAAAGGTTTTCCTTTTTTTCACTTTTCCGGATAACATTTATCCGCTTCAACTGGCTCAGCATTGTGATCACAAAGGAGATATAACGGCGCCGTTCTTTTCTTCACGCACACATACTCATAAATTCATTCGAATTCTTTGGCGGCTTTCCGTGCATACATCACATTGCCTTTTTTACAACTCCCATCGGCCAAACATTTTATCTACCAAAGCTTGAATTGTCCACCTTCGATTCTCTCCCTCCGGGAAGACGATTGATCGATCACCATAGAACACTTCATCATCCACTTCATTTTGTTTGCGTGGTAAACAATGCATAAACTTCCAATCAGGTTTTGCATTCTTGCATAATGCTTCTGTCACTTGATATCCTGAGAAGTCACGTAAACGTTGTTCTTTGCTTGCTTCATCTCCCATTGAAATCCATGTATCCGTCACAACAACGTCTGCATCACGTACGGCTTGAGCAGGATCGTTTGTCCATTCAACTTCACCCTTACGCCAGCTGGTTGGAGCACGTAAGCCATCTTGCATTTCTCCCCAAACGACTTCATCACGATCGTATCCTTTGGGTACAGCAACACTTAGGTCGATACCCAATCTAGGATAAGCAACCAACATATCGGCCAAGATGTTATTGCTATCACCAACCCAAGCAACTTTCAATCCTTTTAGAGGAGCAAGAATACCCAACTCTGCATTTCCATCAGATTCTGAGGCTGATTTGGAAGCATTCATTTTGACCGACAGTAGTGGATCTTCTACCATTGTTTGTAGGTCTGCCAAGATTTGTGTAGGGTGGTAACGAGCGGATAGAGCGTTCAAGACGGGAACATCTGATTCTTTGGCGAGTAGCTGTAAATCAAAAAGGAAAATTTAGTAGGAGAATTTCTAGAATGCTGTCAGACATACTCACCTCAATCTCATCATGTCCTCCTACACGAGCGATAATACCATCTGCCATGCTAGAAACAATCTTTGCCGTATCATATAAGCTCTCATTGACGCCTAATTGAATATCACTTGGACCCAAGAACACCGGATGTCCTCCAAGAGAGTATACTGCAGTTTCGCTGGCAACTCTTGTTCGTGTACTTCGTTTAGAGAACATGATTGCAACGATTCTGTCCCGTAAAGATTGATCAAAGATACGACCTGCTTGTGCTTTCCCTTGTGCGGGTGAGTTTGCCGGGTCTAAGCCATGTTTAGGGGAGTTTTGACGATGTGCTAGTTTCATCGAACTGGATAATGCGATCACTTCGGAAATTTGTTTTGGACTCAAATCTGCCAAGGATAGCAATGAAGGGGGTTTACGTTCATTGGTCTTTGCAGGTGCTAGTTGGATGTTTCTACGATTTCCGGGTAATCCACTGATTGACTTTTGACAAGTCAATTGTCGACCTAGAGGCCTGGTTGCCGTTTGCCCTAATCGATTCATTGTCATTTTGCTGCTGATGGCAATAAAGAGAACATTGTTTAATCTTTCTGCTCTTTCTTCTTATCGTTGCCCTATCTTTCTATGCATGACTCGCATACAATTTAAGCTTTTTCTTCTCTTATGCTTACTAAGCGAAAGCCTGTCTGACGCGCTCAACATCTGTTGTTGGCTTGGGCGTTGATCAACATGCATGTACCAACACTGCTTCCCACCATTCATCACACCCACCAATCCTACAAGATGTTGGTTCTAGTGATAGGTGATTTGCATCTACCTCATCGAGCATCTGATCTACCGAGCAAGTTTCGCAAGTTATTAGTCCCAGGCAAGATTCAACAAATCATTTGTACGGGAAACGTATGTGATCGTGAAACCTTGGATTATCTTCGAACGATCGCAGGTGACGTTCATGTAGTTCGTGGAGATTGGGATGAAAACCCGTATTTCCAAAATTCTGTCTTGCTTCAACATGGTGCATTACGAATAGGTGTCTTGCACGGTCATCAAATCGTACCCGCTGGGGACGTGGACAGTCAATGTGCACTTGCAAGATCGATGGATGTAGATATTTTGATCACTGGGCATACCCACAAATTTGATGCTTTTGAAAAAGAGCAGAGATTTTTCGTCAATCCTGGAAGCGCTACGGGTGCCTGGTCGAGCGTTTGGCCGATTGCAGATGAAGAGAACCAAGAGGAAAAAGAGAAGAACACACAGAAGGCCGAGTCCTCCTCCGGCACAAAAGATGAGAAGGAAGCATCAAAAGTTGCAGATGTAAGCAAGACGTCAAGTGCTGACGAAAAAGAGCCAGAAGAAAAAGAAGAAAAGGTACCAGAAAATGAAGAAGAGAAGGAGCCGGTAGAGAAAAAAGATCAGGCAGATACTACTAAAAACTCAAAAGCAGATGAGGAAACGAAAGCAGCAGAACAGCCCAAGCCAACGGAGCAGTCGAAACCAGTCAAAGAGCCTAAAGCGGCCAAGGATCCTATACCGAGTTTTGCACTGCTAGACATTCAAGGCTCCAATGTCGTCACATACGTCTATCAGCTTATCGAAGGAGAGGTAAAAGTAGAAAAGATGGAATTCAAACAATCCATCGTTCGACCTGTATCGGAACAGACTGCGGGCGGAATTCAAGGTGCGACTGCAGGTGTTGGTATTCCTGTTGGAAATGCAGCACCACGTAGATCGGCAGGTATGAGGTATGGGTAATTGAGTCACATCTAAACAACGACAATGTACAGTATGCAATGATAGTCACACAAATTCAAACTTTTGAGATACACTGCGAATTGCGAGATGATGGTGTTTGTTTACAAATACAGAGGTGTGTCACTGTCCAAAGCAACATCTCTAAGTCTAGCACAGAGAATATAAAAAAGTATTAACGGAACCTATGGATAAGTATATAAAGTATGAAATCATTGTTTGTTTGTGTGTGTGTATTGGTAACAATCACACAAGTGCTTCTTCCAATTCTTGAACGTGGCTTGCCAAAACTTCATTTCTTCCGTTCAGCCAATGCAAAAGATCAACGGTTTGAAACAAAACTGCACTCTTGCTTCCTGCTCCTCCTCCTGCACTTCCTCCCCTTCCACGTCCTTTTCCTCTACCTGTACCGTTGAGGAAAGCTGCTGCAGCTGCATGTCCTGTCGCTCCTGCTTTACGTGCTGCTTCTACTGCAGCTCTTCTTCTAGCTTTAAGTTTGCGTCTCTTCGTTGCTGCACTTGGTTCTTCATCTTCCAACGTGCTCTCATAGTCGCTGCGATCGTCTAACCCTTCATCTTCAATTCCAGTTCCTGCTCCTGAACTCAGACCCAAACCTCGTGCTCCAAACTCTCTTCCAGCTTCCAACAAATCCACAAGCTCTTTGAATGCTTCACGAATGTGATTCCTTCTCCTTTGTTCGCTCAGGATATGGTTACTCCTCTTTTCTGATTCTGAGAGCAACTCGCGCGAGTCATACTGTGGTGGTTGTGGAGCTTGTTGTTGTTGTGCGTGTTGCTGATAATAAGGGTTGAAAGTGTTCATCTGATGTTGTTGCTTTGCACCTCTTCCATCAAAGCTACCGTGCTCGGTTTTCAGCTTTTTGCCCACACCGACATTACCAGATGTTCTTCGATTCGCACCTTGCTCTTCATCCTCTTCGTCGTTCCATCCCTCCATAGGATGTCCAAATGCGGCACCAATGCTGCTCTCCATCTTTCCTGCTGGACTTGCATGATTGTTTCCGCCAAAAGTGGTGTGCGGTGAACCTTTATTCGTACCAGTCCTGCCAATGCTGCCGAAAGCACTCCTCTGTCTTGAATTGCGTCTATTATCGGTGCTACTGGGCGAGGTGCCCATCTGATAAGCTTGCTTTTCTGCTTCGGCAAAGCTTGGCAAATCCATCGGTAGGTTTGGATTGAAATCCCATCCTTCAAATCCGGACAGGAAGTTGGTCAAGAAGCTGGTCTCATTTGCATCAAACAACGCAGCACCACCAATAGTACCTTGCTGCTGGTTGACAGGGAATGACTGAAATGGCATACTGGGATTACCCCAGAGTGAACCTCCAGCAGGAGGCGGGAAAGGTGCGACTGGAGGCTGCGACAGTGCTCCAAAAGATTGACTGGTTGGCATGCTGGTTGTCTGCGGTTGAGGTGGTGCTTCTAAGCCTAGCATGCCACCCGAAAAGATTTCCTGTTGTCCACCTGGTTGAGTGGAATGAGAGGCTGGTTTTGATGATTGTGAAGTGAGCGTTGATGTCATCATCGTATCGTCCAAATCATGAGTTCTGGGTGTATTTGGGGAGTTCTTCCAATTGAATCCAGTGGGAACCAAATTGGGTGTATGTGTTCCACTGGAAGTGCCAGGTTGAGGAACAGGTGTAGAAGCGGAAAAGTTGGACATCGCACCACTTGTACCACCACCACCGCCGCCGCCTCCAACTCCGCCGCCGCTACTTCCGAAAAGGCTTCCGGCATTGTTCAGTCCAAACAAGTCACCAAAGCCAGGCGATGCAACCAAGCTAAGATCGGAGGCTGTGATGTTTTCGGGGAGATTGAGTGAGAATTCAAAATCTTCGTATGGACCTGGCATTGATGGCAGCTCAAAAGCTGCAGCTGCTGAAGAAGACATGTGCATCGGACTGGCGGTGGATGTCATTGTGGGGGAAGATGCTCGTTCTCTGTCTCAATTCTCTCTCTTTCAGCGAGAGAGAATAGTTGAGATCTTGAAAGAGAGTGGAGCGTGATTGCGATTTGCTTTTATTGGAACGTGATCTTGAGTGATCAGTCAACGTTTGCCGTACTCAAAAGGAACGGAAACGAGGACTACTGAGTTGTGTGTGTGTGTGTGTGTTGTTGAGGTGGTGATGATCGTGGTCGTTATGGAGGGTATATAAGTCACACAAGCCAATCAGGCTGATGTGTGTCCAAGTAGTCTTTAACTCGGATGTCGGGAGGTAATGAGAGATTAAATTGCTGCAGCTTGAAAGTAGTAGTAGATCTAGAAATCTGTGACAAGAAATTAGCCTTCTCTCGACACAAACGGGTGGCTTGACTCTCTTTGTACGCAAACAGATCTTTGGCGTTTCATGCTTTGGTTTGTGCAAGGCGTGGAAGAGTGTGCCAAGTTAGCCTTAAAGCAAACGCCTGGCCTAACGCCTCTCTCTCTTGTGTGCGCAGTGCGCTTCTTCAACAGGCGTCAGGCGCAAAAGCGGTACCATACAAGACGAGACAAGTGTATTATTTCTCCAATAATATTGTTGCGGGGCTACAAAAATACAATGCAAGCGATCGAATGCATTGTTGAGACAATCAATCTTTGTGCAGCCCGTGTGGGTCGATTGTGAGAGCAGAAAAATAATTAAAACGCTATTTTTGTATAATTTCGAAAAGCGGGGAGGGGCAAAGGAAAGGGCGAAACGGGTTTGTTTACAACCCACACCTTCTCGCTTGCATTTCATCAAAAAGGCATCATGACGATGTATGCATCATTCTTTCTTTTTCTCCGAGGATGAAATGCTACTAAGATTATTCTCCGTTGCAGATGCCTGTTCCTACACAAAAATATTCCGACAAGCATAAGATTGCATTGCAAAAAGCCCCACACGTCATCACTCATCCCGTACTCATATTCGGCATTTTAAACGCCCATCTGCCTCGTTACCCTCATGAGTTAATAAGATCAAGATTTAGCATTATAAAAGTCAAGGTAAAGTTACAGAAACGAAACTAATTGCTGGCGTCGTAATCGTAGGGCAGTGTGATTGCCGTGAGGAGTCAGTCATTCCGTTTTGCGGTTATCTTTCTTCCTTTTTTGACCTCCTGAACCTGATCTTTTTTGATTCTTAAGATTTCTTTCATTGTCTCTTTTTTCATTCTCCTGTTGATTGACATGTTTATGACTCTTACTGTTTCTTTGATTGTCTCTTTTATTATTCGGGTTTGAGGGCAGGTCATCTTCATCACTTGGATCAAGCTTGACATTCCTTTCCGGAAGCTTGGAAGTTCCACGTTTCCATTGAACTGGTACTTTGGCCGGAGAATTGCGTTTTTGTTGGCTTGAGCTTGCTTTTGATCTACCATTGCTGATCGGATTTGGAATTTTGACCTTCTCTGGGCTTCTTGGATCAAGTTTGACATTCGTTTCTGGATTTGCTTCGCGTTTCCATACGATTGGTACTTTGGCCGGAGAATCACGTTTGCGTCGAATTGTATTTTCCGTTGCATGTTTATTTCTATTCAAATTTGGGCTCTAAATAGGAACATCAGATTAGTTCAGTATGCTTTGAATAACAAGAAATACTCTTAGCTCACCTTTGAGAAAGCCAAAAGAGCGTTCGTCAAAACGACCATGATGAGTAAAAGAGGCAAGGCAGTCTTTGAAAATGGTTTCATGTTGGCAGCTTGAATAGTTCGAGAAAAAGGGGTGGAGGGAAGATTTTTGAGGTTTATGGATTGATTCTGAGATCAAAAAACATCTGAAATGGTCGGCTTTTATCACTTTTCACTCTCACATACTGTCATTCGATCAGATGAGCTACACTATAAAAATAGAAGATAATTTTGAAAATCTTACTCGCAAGCCTTGGCATCTTGAGCGCTATTGATTGAATACGGGTATCCGCCTTCTCTTATGGAAGCCGTGAAGGAGCCCGCCATGAATATTTGTACACCATTCACGATATGAACTATACATCAGAGATGAATAGAAGCTTTACGGTGAAATTGACAATAAAATAATGTCAAATCTAATACTACATCTTCTCCGCACATCAGCTCATTCATTTTTAGCCGCTTGTGCAATTGTTTGTTTTGTTGCCTAGTGAATCTTGGAGGTATTGTTTAATTACGTGTGTAGATCGTAAACGTTAAATGCTGTTTCCGTCGGGTTCGAAAAGCGAGGGTAGCGGAAAATAAAGAAAGGCATAACGCATTTAATTATTAAGAAAAAAAAAAGCAGGAGGTATATACTTTTTGAAGCAAACGAAGAGAATTACCGAGAGGAATAGCTACTAGATCATTCTCCAGTGCAGATGAATGTTCTTCATACAAACTCTTTTCGAGAAGGAAGCATAAGATCACAACGTAAAAAGCCACACATGTCATCACTTATTCCGTGCTGATCTTTGGCTTTCAACAAAGGCGCCTCATAATTAAAGAGATAAAATTTTAGCTTTATCAAGGACAAGGTAGGGGAATAGAAGTGGGAACAGGTTCTGGAGTGGTGACTGTAATTTAGTGTGATTTCATTAATGACTCTAGCCAGCAGTCATCACGATTAACTGTGCCCTGCTATCTTCTTTTTACCTGAATTTGGGTCTCTTTTACCAGCCTGGACTTGTTCTGATTGACCATCTTTGAGTTCCTTTGGCATGTTGACCATCTCTGGGCTTCGCTTGAGATTCGTTTCTGGAATTTTCTTTGTACCGCGTTTCCATTGAACTGGTACTTTGACCTGAGTATGGCGTTTTTGTCGGCTTGGGCTCATTTGGGCATGCTGAGGTTCTGCACTGTTCTTCGGACTTGGTGCGTTCTGATTTGGTGCCTAAATATGAGAACAGAAACGAAGATGAGTGTATCAGCTTAAGAAATGTTTGAGATTTTAGCTCACCTTTGAGAAAGCCAGAAGGGCATTCATCAAAATGACCGCAATGAGAAGAAGAGAAAAGGCAGAGGTTGAGAATGATTTCATGTTGACAATTGGAGAAAGTTAGAGAAGAGGTTGAGTGATGATGTTTAAGGTCTGTAAGAGCAGTAATGGCCGGCTTTTATCATTTTTCACCATTGTGTTTAATGATTGGTATATAGGATTTACTCTACTAAAAACAAACAATCTTAATAAATTTCCGAATAAAACTTGCTTTTAAACCGCTATAAAGCGAACGCGGTGACCGATATCTGCTTGTACTGTAAATACCGTGAAGGAGACCGCGGTAGTAAAACTTCTACCAGAGTAAAGAATAGACGATAGACGATATCTTATAGATGTATCTTATACCGCAATTAAGTAAACGCGGTGACCGATATCTGCTTATACTGTAAATACCGTGAAGAAGACCGCGGTGGTAAAACGTTTACCAGAGTAAAGAAAGACGATAGACGATATCTGATAGATACATCTTATACCGCAATTAAGCAAACGCGGTGACCGATATCTACTTGAGCTATAGATTCTTTGAAGGAAACCGCGGTAGCAAAACTTATATCAGAGTAAAGAATGGATGATAGACAGTATAAAGGTTAAGAATATAATTTATGCTATAGATGATAATTATAAAGGTATGTGTTTCACGACTCCGTCTTCGCATATCCGCTCATTCGTCCTCAATCAATTATGTAAGTCTACGGGCAACTTCAAGATCCGTTCTATCCGTACGAAAGGCCTCGGTATTGATATTGCTCATCTAACATGCCCGCTCAGCATTTGTAAGAATGTTACATTAGAAGACTTTTTGTTCTTGAAAATCGAAATTTTGGCTTGAAGAAGGACGTCATACTTTTTTATGTGCAAGTAAGATCTGAAATAATTATCTGCTATTACCACTTTAGATTTACCACCGGCTTACTTCATCAAACGTCCAATCCGGAATCAACTACAGCAGAAGAGTTTGAAAGAATATATTCATACACCCGCAACTTCTCGCATGAATCTTATACCTGAAATGCAACATGACGTTGTATTCGTCTTCTTGAAGGAGATGAGGAAACTTTTCTGAAATGAGATCCCATTAAGAACTTTTGCGTTGCAGACGCCTGCCTATGGACAAAAATATTCCGACGAGCATAAAATTACATCTTCAAAGCCCCACGCATCATCAATTATCTCGTGCTGATCTTCGGCTCTAAACAAAGCATGGCTTATCAAAGTCAGAATTTATCATTCATCAAGGTAAAGTAACAGAAACGAAACTAACTGCTGAGGTCGTAATCGTAGGGCAGTGTGATTGCCGTGAGGAGTCAGTCATTGCGTTTTGCGGTCATTTTCTTCTTTTTTTGTCCTGCTGACCCTGATCTTTTTGATTCGCCGGCTTTTTATCATTCTTCGGATTTCTTCCATAGCCTCTTTTTTCATTCACCTGTTGATTCGCATGTTTCTGATTCTTAGGATTTCTTTGATTGTCTCTTTTATCATCATGCTGGCTTGCAGGCTGATCATCTTCATCTCTTGGATCAAGCTTGACATTCCTTTCCGGAAGCTTGGAAGTTCCACGTTTCCATTGAACTGGTACTTTGGCCGGAGAATTGCGTTTTTGTTGGCTTGAGCTTGCTTTTGATCTACCATTGCTGATCGGATTTTGAACTTTGGCCTTCTCTGAGCTTCTTGGAAGAAGCTTGACGACATTCGTCTCTGGGATATTCTTTGTTTCACGTTTCCAAGGCCTTGGTACTTTGGCCGGAGTCTTGCGCTTTTGTTGGCTTGGGCTTGTTTCTGATTCGCCGTCCTTGAGTTCCTTTGGCATTTTGACCATCTCTGGGCTTCTTGAATCAAGCTTAACATTCGTTTCTGGAATTGTTCCACGTTTCCATTGAACTGGTACTTTGGCCGGAGAATCACGTTTGCGTCGAATTGCATTTTCCGTTGCATGTTTATTTCTATTCAAATTTGGGCTCTAAATAGGAACATTAAATTAGTTTAGTATGCTTTGAATAACAATAAATACTCTTAGCTCACCTTTGAGAAAGCCAAAAGAGCGTTCGTCAAAACGACTATGATGAGTAAAAGAGGCAAGGCAGTCTTTGAAAATGGTATCATGTTGGCAGCTTAAATAATTCGAGAAGAAGGGTTAAGGGATGAACTTTCTGAGGTTTAAGGATTGATCCTGAGATCTCGAATACCTGAAATAGTCGGCTTTTATCACTTTTCACTCTCACATACTATCATTCGATCAGATGAGCTACACTATAGAATAGTAAATAATCTTGAAAATCTTACTCGCAAGCCTTGGCATCTTGACCGCTATTGATTGAATGCGGAACCCGATTTCTCTTATGGAAGCCGTGAAGGGAAGCCGTGGAGGAGCACGCGATGAGCCAATGAATATTTGTATAACAGACACGATATGAACTAAAATAATCAGAGATGAATAGAAATTCTACGAGATTGACAATAAAATGATGTTAAATCTATTACTACATCTTCTCCGCACATCAGCACATTCATCTTTAGCCGCGCTTATGCAATAGTTTGTTTTATTGTTTGGCGAAACTTGCGAGGTGTAGTTCAATTAGGTGTGTGGCTCGCAAATAGGAAAGGATGTTTTGGTCCGAAAAGCGAGGGAAGCGGAAAACAACGAAGGCACAACGGATTTGTTTACTGAGGCAGAAAGCAGGGAGCTATACACTTTATCGAAGCAAACGAAGAAAATTGCCGAAAGGAATTGCTACTAGATCATTCCCCGTCGCAGATGAATGTTCTTTATTAGGATTCTTTTCGGGAAGCATAAGATCACAACGTAAAAAGCCACACACGTCATCACTTATTCCGTGCTGATCTTTGGCTTTCAACAAAGGCGCCTCATAATTTAAAAAGATAAAATTTTAGCTTTATCAAGGACAAGGTAGGGTAATAGAAGTGGGAACAGGTTCGGGAGTAGTGACTGTAAAACAGTTGGAGTGGTGACTGTAAAAATAGTGTGATTTCATTAATGACTCTAGCCAGCAGTCATTACGTTTATTTGTGCCCTGGTGTCTTCTTCTTACCTGAATTTGGGTCTCTTTTACCAGCCTGGACTTGTTCTGATTGACCATCTTTGAGTTCCTTTGGCATGTTGACCATCTCTGGGCTTCTCTTGAGATTCGTTTCTGGAATTTGAATTGCTTCGCGTTTCCATTGAACTGGTACTTTGACCTGAGTATGGCGTTTTTGTTGGCTTGGACTGTTT